AACTTTCCTATTGCTCTTCACATCCCTTTCACCAACTCATCATAATACCCAGTCCCATTGCCAACCTAGCCCAATCACCTACATGGACCTATCACCCACTCAGCCCCATCACTTACTTGGACCTATCACCTAACTTGACCTAGCACACACCCCAACCTATCACCTGTCCCACCAACACTTGGTCTGGGCTAGATAAGCCGGCAGGGAAGAGAACAGACCAAATGTCTTAAGATATATCTGTACTTGATATTGATTTTGGCAGTTGGTTACCGGTTCGGGAGGTTTGCACTGGCAGATTACCTGTATTCATAGCTTGATTACAGGTGTGCAGTTGATTACAGGTGTGTTAAGTCCAAACCTTGGATGGGTTGACAAGCGGACTCTCATTTTATCAATGTGTTCACGCTGCTGTTCATGCTGTTTTGAAACCATTTCAAGTCACCTACTTGATATTGTGTGGGTTGAATGACTTGGAGGACTTGATCACCTAAACATTGAGTTGACCTGTGGTCAAGATTGTGGTGTATCTTACACAGTAAATATGATATGTTTGCTGCATTGATTTCATAATTTGGATGAAGTATCTGACTACACTGTGGCTACAGGTGGATGTGTGTGACTTGATTGGAGGTAAATTCTCATGTTGGCAGTGTGATGACCAGTGGTCAGAGATCAGGATTGACCAGTTTTGGATAAAATGAAGACATTAAAGTGGATCAAATGCTGGTTTGGAATTTGGAATGTTATGTCATTTGAACAAAGAAAGTGATGTGAAGACTATTTACATTTTGGATATTATGAAGACATTGAAGTGGATTAAAAGCTGTTTTTGAATTTGGGATGTTATGTCATTTGAACAAAGAAAGAGATGTGAAGACTATTTCCATTTTCACAAACATTAGTAGTCCTTTTGAAAGGATAATTGTGACAGAATTGTTGATAGTGTGTCTTGAAAATTTTGTTTGAGTGATTAGAAATATTGTCAAGATGAAATATTGATGTTGGACGATGAGAAAAGATAATATCATATTTTGTAAGAAAAGATGTGATGATACTGGTGATAGACAATAGAATACATGCAAGAAAGAAGTCAGCTGTATGTTTCCCTTCACATGGAATGTCCAGGCTGTCACACAAAGGGGTTTCAAATCAGTGGACTTGAAATTCTGCTTCTCTTTATTTCACAGTCAGCACTTACATAGAGCTTCTCAGTCAGGAGCACAGCTGATTATGGACATACTTAGACATATTTCATGAAGGAAATTATGGAAATTGTTGATAGTATCAGCAGAACATGGAAAACCAGAGATAGCATCAAGAAGTTGTACTTTGGATGATGTTGATTGCATGTAAAATCACGTCAATTACCGTCGTCAATGTCGGCTGTGAATGAGTTAGATCAACACCACCACTGATTGTCACCAGATTGAATTAACATTGATTTCTGCACAGGCTCCACTTTATTTATAATAGATATTTTTAAATACAATCCACTTGGGAATAATTCCATGTGTGTTTACCTCACATGCATATAATGACGGACAGATATTGACACAGGTTGTGTTGATATCGACATGGGAAACAATCATGATTTCTTGTGGATAAGTTTAAGATGTTTCCAAGTCTAGGCAGACAAGAGATCTATTACTAGATGGAGGTATGAATTCTGTGATGATATGACAGAAGAAGTGGTGGTCAGTCAAGGAAAAGTGGTGATCAGACAAGGAGAAGTGTTCATTGATCAATCATCAGTGTAATGACCATGGACTGATGTTTATCCATAGCAGTCACAGTTGGAAATGAGGCTGGCCTAGGAATGAGACCATGACTGTTTCTTAGATTGCAGATCAAGATATAGCTGAAGTGAAAAGGATTATGTCTTAAGCACTTGTGTAGAGCTTTGTAGCCTCATGGAAATATATTTCCTCGACATGGTAGCTACTTATTCTCTTACTGGATAAATAAAGATAGGGACAAAAGATATGTGACACAGGATATGTGATAGATGTTTAAGGAGGATAATTTTTGTGTCTATGGTTGCTTTTTTAAAGTTCAAAAGGGTGAGAATTCAAAAGTGCATGTGTCACAAATCCTACAACTTTCACAGAGCCATGTGATGAATTTAGTTTGTATATACTGGAGTATTGTTCGTCATAACGATTGGATGGTTGATGTCAAATGTCAAAATGAATTCCAAGAACTCGTTGTTGGTCTGCACTGACAGTAGTGATGAGAGTGACTCTAGTGATTCGGACCTGGGATTTTACGATGGCCCGTTGCGATGTTGTAGTCAGATGGAGGTCCTCCAGGACGTGGATATGTTCAAGAATGCAGGTAACATTTCAACTCTTCAGGTGTGGCAATACTTGAAGTATTGATGTTTAAGTTATTACAAAATGAAATACACTTTGACAAGATTAAATACTTTGTTGTGTTATCTAAACTGAATGATTTTTATTTATATTTCTGTTTTGTTTGATGGGCATTTTAGAAGTTGAGTAGTTTACAGTGAAACCCTCAAACCATAAGACTATCAAACAGATTATGAATTCAATGTCTATAGATAATAATTTAGCAAATTATATTGCAACATATCTATCAAATATCAGAAGAAATGTGATGTATACCTTTTCCTCAAATATCTTTATGGGCAACTTTAACAATTGCATATGTTTTATGAAGGATAAAACAGAGAGGAATCTTAAGTAAAGGTGTTCTCAGTAATATGACAGTGTTCACGAATAGCGTCTGACCCTCTGACAAATCCGGCAGATTTGCCAACGGTCCGATAGAAGTCTACAACCCGCCGGTCCCAGTGTCTGACTATATTTCACAATGATTTTGACTGAAGTTGTTTAATGTGACATGTGACACTTGTTTGCTGTTTATAAATCTTATGTGTGTTAATAATTTCAATGCCAATTATAAGAAATGTTAAATCTGATATGATTGCATTTTATTGTCTGATTGACTGAATCCCTAAACAAAATACCATAAATAACTGTGTATCCATTTAAACAGTGAGGTGAAATCAGGTTCTGGGATTTATGCAAGCTTTTAGCTGTTTTTATAATACACCCATAGTTGTTTTATATCAGTTTGTTACTCTTTGAAACTTATGCAAGTTAAATATCATGGTATAGGGGAACAAACATGGATTCACCTGTGTTACTAAATCACTTTGTTGACCGATTATTGTTAGCAGAGCTTGATATCAGTGAATACTCTTGTCTATTAATGATCTATGGCATTATTTATTACAAATGTGTTAATATCTTTCGCAGTAATTCCCAGTAATTCAGTCACAGATTTGTCGATTGACATGACACCCATTCACCAGATAGCAATCAAAGAAACATTTCTGTCACGGTTCTAGTTAATATAGTTTAATATACTCAGGTAATGAAATTCACAAGATATTGACAACAGGGCACAGGAACTCTCTCACCTTGCTCCCGTGATATATTGATTCATTGAGTGCTATTTACGACCCCTGGCCTGAAATTGACAACAATGTTCTGGGTGGCAGGGTCATATATCATTCTGTTGATGACTGATATGAAATGCTGTGTGTGTTAGGCACATCACAGTTTCTGGTTGATCTTTACAACACATGGTTTCAGATTGGTTCATTCTCTTGGACATTGATTGTTGATCAGTGTGTCATGAGGGTATTTTTTTTTATATAATTAGTAGGGCGGTGGGGTAGCCAAGTGGTTAAAGCATTTGTTCGTCATGCCAAAGGCCCTGGTTCAATTCCCCACTTGGGTACTATGTGTAAAGCCCATTTCTGGTGTCCCCCGCCCTGCTATTGCAGGAACATTGCTAAAAGCAGCATAAAACCATACTCACTCGCTCTAAATTTAGTTCAAATGTAATGGTATAGAAGAATGTCATTTCAAAGGTTAAGTAAGTCATGAAGTTGTTGTATTTTCTTACGTATGGTATTTGTCTTTAGAAAATCACAGTAAGCAGTACAAATTTCCATCTCTGTGGAAGTGTCACTCTTTATATAATACGACACACACTGCAACTGGCATATGATAACATGCATCAACCAAGTCAGTGAGCCTGATCTCTCAACCCTGTTACTGGCCTCTTACGACAAGCATGGGTTGATTAAGACCAATGCTAACCTGAATCTTCAGTGGTAGCACTTAGCTTGTATGTATATGTATGGTTTATTCTCATAAGTCACCAACTTGGTAAAACGCTAATCCCTACTGGGTGACTTTGTGCGAATTTCGCTAAATAGTCAATTATTGCAATTACGGGACATAATAGTCAGATTAAATTTACTAATCCGGATTGTGCCTGAAGGTGATGGGGGGGGGGGGAACAGATAATTGGAGCTCTTGTCTGGTAGCAGCAGGTAGACCAAGGGTAATATCTGACCGACGTCTGTAACAGCATGGATGGTGTGCAACTGGTAAATATGTGAGGCGTCACATAATACGTACCATCTGCAAAGAAGGTGTCCGCTTGACACAACTTCTCCAAGTTGGATGTGGTGGCGAATCCCAGGATCTTGTCCTCGTCCCCATCTTCAAATGCCAGGAACTGTTCCCCGCCTTCTGTTGTTTTGTACTGCTCAGGGATTACTAGGTCACAACGATGGGAGGTAGAGGAGGAAATGACTTCTTCCTTGCTCTATACAGGGTGTCCTTCTTCATATGAAACGTAGGTAAGTTGCCAACAAGGGTGGCGTGTTCCGGTGTCCAGTCATCACCCTGCATACTGTCTACCTCCTCCTGGAACAGCTGCGGCAGAGGTCTGATCATGGCCTTGGCTTTTCTTTTAGTGTCTCCATGGTCTCTCTCACCTTGATGTCGGTCTCCACTGGTGGGTGGTTGTGGTTCTGGGAGGATCTGGTGAGGATATCACTGATGGTGGTCACGGTCATACGGCAATTCTTGGTCGTACACTTCCATACTAAGGTCTCATCACGTCTCCTTTTGTTGACTCTGTACATGTAACCACCCGAACAAAGATATCTGCCGTCTCTCGAAGTTGGGATGAACTTTTACATTTGCCATGGTAGGACTTAGTGACGAAAGTGGTCCGGACCATCTATTTATATTTGTCATAAAATTGTTGAACAGAGTTCACTAATAAATGTCATGTAATTTGCAGTTAACCGTTCAGCTCATTAGCGTCTCTCGCTCGAGTGATCAACTGACTAATCCGTTAATCCCTAATCCGTTAATCCTGATTGGATTAGAAACTTCAAAGCAAAATCGCCAGTGACTTAGTGCGAATAGTGATCCCCCTACTGGTGACTTCATGAGAAGACACCATATGTATATGTGTTGGATTATTGTTGGGTAAACTTTGTGTGGTGATTTAGAATAAATATCTTTGGTATTATTTATCTCTTGGGTTTGGGGGGGATAATGGGCATGCATGTTCCATTATTTTCCATCTCATTAAGTTGAGACCTTATGCTTGTCAAGTCTTAAAATTTTTGAAAATAATAATTTTATGTATTCTTCAGTTGCCACATTTGTTATATTTGACACTATGCTCCAATAAGCAGCCCGCGAAGGTCCGGGTTAAAATGAGCCCTCATTAACCCATGCTTGTCGTAAGAGGCGACTAACGAGATCGGGTGGTCAGACTCGCTGGCTTGGTTGACACATGTCATCGGTTCCCAATTGCGCAGATCGCTGCTCATGCTGTTGATCACTGGATTGTCTGGGCCAGTCTTGATTATTTACACACCGCTGCCATATAGCTGGAATATTTCTGAGTGCGGCGTTAAACAACAACCAACCAACAAATTTTACTGGACTAGACTAACAAAAACTCATTTTTTGTGTATGGTTTTAAAAGAATCCTCTCTGTTTTGAGATGTAAACACAAATACAACTATTATTGTACAAAATGTATTCTATGAATCACACGCTTTCAATGTTTAGAGAATGTAAACATATCAAGTGCAACAATGTTTAGTGACACTTAATACCATGCCAATTCTCGATCGTTTGATGTGGGCTGATGAGATTAAAAATTGATGTAGATCATTTTCACTGGTCTCATTAATCACGTGTACATCTCAACATGAGCCGCTTCTGACAGAAATAGAAGACCGCCATGAATGATTAATGGTACAACAAAGTTAGGATATGAGTATGCCATATTGATACTCTCAGTAGCTGATTTGTGGCAGCTGTGCTCCAGCCTCCTTACACTCACAGCTACGCAGATGCATAATTGATGAAGTAATGACTTCACTGGGCGAAAAGTTACGTAGCACTTGATTAACTGATCTCCTGATCAGCCTTTAATATATAACAGTGTATATGCTATGCTTTGACCATCAGCTGGATATTATTGAAGCATGCATTGTTAAAATGTTATCAGCTGGGATTGAAATCAAGTGATTGGGAAGTTGAAGGGTATGCCAACTTACAAGAAAAACATATCTTTTAAAGAGGGACTGAAACCAGTCTGCAGTCTCAGCAGGCTTGTGTTTTGTTCAACTTTGTCTGCTAATTGAAGCATAGCAATATATCTAGCATTTCATGATGTCATCCATATTATTTTTTGTGATTCACAATATGAGAACATGAGAGGGTGCGAGCAAAAGAAATTAAAAAATACATGGTAATACAAACTAATAGAAAGTAGAGAAGTAATAGGTGCCTTTAGTATAAAATTGTGAATATTGATTCAAAGGACTGGTTAATACATAGGGGATATCATATGAGTGCCCATGTTATGTGCGAGCGAGAGCGAAGGATATACCGATATTTAGGCACGAGTGTCGTAAACATAGTATTATATGGGCACAAATATAATATTCTGTTTTCTTACCGAAGTAATCAAATTGAGGAAAATAAACCCAAATCTACTTTCAAACATAGGCTGGCTACCTGCCGTCGCCGTATGTAGAACGCAACGTCACAGAAGAAACGTGATGTCATAGCATTGTTCATGACGTCACGTCACCATGACAAAGGGATATTTTGGCCTAGGGCATCGTATGAAAAATATGAACCCCGATATTTTCACCCTCCTAGGTAATAAATTTATTTTTGACTGCTTCCTAAAGTCCATGTGCCCATGTACTGAGGCTGAAGGGGTTGTTGTCGGCACGGGTACTACAGATATGTAGGGAACCCCTTTCAGCTGTACTGAGATCATTGTTGTTCTGCTATATTCATTGTGCAGCTGTTGCTGTGAAAGACAGATAGAAATGATAGTATTTGTGTCTAAGCTATAGACAAACTTACTTCTTTGCATCCATTAGGGCTGTCTATTGATAAATATCATAGGGATTGATCATCGTCATATGAATATCGATTGATTATTGATAAATATCGGAGAAATAAAAATGACAAAAACATCTGACTGGAAACATATTTAGGCTTGGGATACCAACAGAACGTCATCCTGAACATACTTTAGGAGCAACCCATGAATTAAGACCTAACTTAATTCTCTGAGTAAATTAAAACATTATTTCATCACAATAGTTCATGTACGATATTATTGATTACACCATTTTCATATCGATAATTAGGGGATAACTGTACTGTGTTTGACGAATTTGGAACGTATACCGGTGGTTATATAGCTGCAAATTTAGTTATATTGGTACCGTGAAATCATTAATAATGATTTTCATTAACAATATTTCCAATTATCAATCTTTTTAGCCAGCCCTAGCATCCATGATACAACATATCTAAGATTTTGTTTGTCCAGAGCAGGTTCTTATTTTTTAAGCAGGCAAATAAGTGGATATAAATGTCCGGATATGATGGATACATACAAGAAGTTAGAGCAAACGCCCAACTCACAGTTGCCAGAATCAGATTTTTAACTTCTTTTGAGTAAGGGCGGTGGGGTAGCCTAGTGGTTAAAGCATTCACTCATCACACTGAAGACCCGGGTTTGATTCCCCACATGGGTTAAATGTGTGAAGCCCATTTTCTAGTGTCCCCAGCCGTGATATTGCTGGAATATTGCTAAAAGTGACATAAAACTAAACTAAACTCACTTACGCACTCTTTTGAGTAATACAGTGTAATGTGGGATGTATTGTAAAAAAAACCATGGTAGAATTGTAGTACTGACTTGCTAGTCCAGTTGTCCAGGCCGATAGTTGTTGTTTTCAATCTTACCTCTGTATCAATATTTGATAATTGTTCTTACTCAATTTCAAATGCATCGTAATGACTTGGAACCACTAGAGACTAGATTGCATGTCACTCACTCATGATCAACAACACTTCATCTGACACGGCGAAGACTATACACTAACCAGCTTGTACTGGACAGAAATCAGGCACTCTTGCTGTAATGGCACTCTTGTTTCCCTTACTTGCTATAAGTTTGCCTAAGTGAACAGAAAGTCACTTTAAACCTGACATTTTCTCTTAATATTATAAATTTCATTTATGAAATTATGTTATTATTTTTTTTCAAATTGTTAGATATGAATAATAGAGTAGACAATGAATAATTATCAAGCATTCGATGATTCTGAAGAGATGATTGGCCTGTGTTGTAATGAACTAGTAATAAGAAAGGCATGATACAGTCATCCCTCGCAATACAACAACTTCTTTATTATATAATGATGTGGCATTTCGGTATAGATTCTTATACCATTGTCAAGCAAGAGTGATATCAATTACTGGATTGTCTTGCTTAACAATGGTATGAGAATCTTTACCAAAACGTCGCATCATAATATAATAAAGAAGTTGTTGTCCATAAAGTATCATACCTTTCTTACTATTCATCAACTTCTAAAATGCCAATCAAACAGAACTGGTAATAGTCGAACTTTTAGTCCAGAATGTTAAGCACTATATAGAGCAGTGATTTTGCTGGAGTCAAAAGCCATTAGGACATTTTTATAATTTAAGAAAATTTGATTGGATATTGTTGTATACCATCACCCAAATCTTAAGATAACTGTTTATTTAATTTATTAATCAATATCCTCAAAGTGAATTTATCTGAAAACCTGTTGTAAGAATTTGAAAAATAACACTGAGTATAATTATATTTACTGTTAGTTGTCATTAATAAGTAAGTTCCTGGGTGTGATAGCAGAACAATAAAATTGGTTATATTAGACCAATTTAATCAAAATAATATCTTCTACACCAATGCAATACCTTTAATTTTGGAGGACACCTCCTGTTGAGTACCTTCAGGTGAACTTTCTAAAAAGCCAATCAGCATTGAGGCATCTGATGTTAGTAGTTACTAGTATGACAAGCATTTACATAAGAATAGCATATTGAAATCAGTTATAATCAAGTTCTTCAAACTGCCAGAAAATAGAACCTCACTTTTATATTGCTGTTCTTAATATGATGCACCATGTTTCTGAGTGGAATGGCATCTACACCCAAACTTACCAGGTTCACGATCGAGGGAATATTCTGTGTGAAGTTTCATTTATATAACAAAGTTTTCAAATCAAGAAAGAAAGGAGTATGAATTGTTTCAGAAAGGAGTCATTTAACTGAACAATGGTGTGTGAGTGAGTTTAGTTTTACGCCACTTTCAGCAATATTCCAGCAATATTACAGTAGTGGGCACCAGAAAAACGGTCCAAAATAATGTATCCATGTGAGGAATTAGACCTGGATCTTCAGTGTGATGAACGAACACTTTAACCACTAAATTATCCCATCAACTCTGGCTAAGAAAATCAAGAAAATGCCATTTCAATTGATTATTTAAAGTTTGCCCGTGGTTCATATATGACTTTGAGTAGAGGTATCTTCAGATTGTGAACACTTGTGTTACTACGCAGATTGTCACTGTTACTAGTTGCTCTTGCAATCGACCACATATATACATGTCAGATCTCGATTATTAAAGTGCTGACTGTGGTGTATAGCAATATTTATTGACAGCTCGCTGATTACAGAATGTTTTAGACCCCATGAGTACAACAAGATGCATGTCGATTTAACATTACCCAGACTGAACAACTGGCAACCACAGCCAGGCCTGCTATTTCCAACCAAATCCCGGGCATGATGTTGTCAATATCAATCAATCAGTCATCAATAACCACACAGGAAACACATATAGGAATATCGATGCAAGGATAACAAATTAATTCAACGCTGCAAGAACTTTGCTGCTGTTCTTGTAGGACTGTTTCATGATCTGGTGTTATCTTTGATGTTGAAATGAGCATCAGATTTCTCTTTGTGATGATTTTGTTTGATTTGCTCAATTTTAAAGTTAATTCAAAACAATTCCAGGTACAAGATATCAATATACCATTAATATTGTTCACAATTCTTTGACAACCAAGTCTGTCCTAAAGTGTCAGTTATGTTTGGAAATTATCAAAACCACAGAAAATGAGTTGATACTGAATGTTTTTAAAAAAAGTATATTACCACATATGATTTCGTTAACATGATTGTAATTGGAAGGTTTAGAACGCAATATTGCTATTTTGAAAACCTTAGATACTTTTCATCATTTTGTTTCAGGTTTATGCCATATTGAGATTTGTCAATGTGTTTTTCAGCATTAATTTCATTAGCTAGAAAAAAATCTGATTAAGTCTTCAAAAAGAAATTTATCAAAACCTAATGTCAAATATTAATCTATATCCAATCAAAAATAACTTGAGCTTGATCGATTTCAAACCTGGACATTGAATACAAAGTAATCAAGATTTGGTTATTATAAAAAAAATAATAATGAACTTTTAGAAAGTTTTTAATAGTATATTGATTCATTTGATAAAGCATATTGATCAGTATGAAGACTATGGATTCTCCATTGTTACCAGAATAAAAAACCCATGTGTTGCTGATTGAAGAAGGCAGTGGCTGCAGCAGCAAAAGGCTTTTATCCTTACAACTTATTGAGAGAAAATTGTCCCAAGATTAATGCCATGGTGATATTTTCCAGACAACAAACTTCAGGAGGAACTGTTGCGGACAACCCAACTGGTGTATAGTTATGAAGCTGGCAGAATGGTAAGTAGTAGACGAGGGAGGGAGGATGCAGGTACGTAAAGCCCAAAAATATTTTTTATGTTACTTCTTATTTGTTATGCATTGTTTAAAATTAACAAGTCACTATTAACAAGAACTATTATTTGATGAAAAAAACATATACATATGTTATATTTGGGATTACACTTTCTCAGTAAAGTACAGATTCTAGTATATTTTTGGGGGGTTGAGTCCCATCCAGAAGCCGCGGTGGCTGAGCGGTCTAGGCGTCTGACTTTATGTGCTGGCGATTAGGTGCCGGACTCTGAGGGTGTGGTTCAAATCCTGGATGGGCCTCAAACCCAAAAGTACCGGTACTAGAATCTGTACTTTACTGAGAAAGTGTAATCCCAAATATAACATATGTTACATTTAACCACTTTCTAAAAATGGCATTGTGTATTTCATAGAAAAAAAAATAACAAACCAAAAATGTTACCAAAAATATATATATGTAAAGATGACTTCACCTGATGAAGGAGCAAGAAATAGCTCTGAAACATCATGACAAAGAATGAAGGAAGTTGTTATGTATATAAAGGTGTCAAGTATTAATGAAACAAATCAGTAAAGATTAATGGTAAATTCCCATTTAACCAAGTTAACATCTTGTCCTAGATGATCTGACAGGAAATGCACAATACAAATACAGATTAACATAACACACACATCTTGAGGCTGATATTGTTGGCAGTTACAAGTATGAAGAGTCACCATGATTCTGGAAGTGTTTATAATATAGCTGAAGAGTAATGTAATTTTGGAATTATGTTTTAAATCAGAAAACAGTTGTCAGGAATTGGGTTCTTAGGATATAAGCAGTACGTGTTTTAGATACACAGGTGTTAAGGAATGTTTGATGCCTGGTAATTTCATTTGGAACTAACTGTGTTAATGTTTATCAGCAATGTCAAATCCTCTCTCATCTTTCTTTGGTATTTAGAAAAGGAAGAAATTTATGAAGAAAAGTATTCATATGCAGTGTAATGGCTTGAAAATGATCAGGATCAAGTCCCGTTAAAGAATGTTTTTCAACATTGCAGTACACTCTGAATCATTATATAATATGAGAATTTAAACCTTGTGTCCAGGTTCCGAAACTACGAGAACCTCGTAATCTGTACGCCCTGGCTAAAGAACCTGGCCCACAGCAAGCTGCTAGATGGTAAGTGTCTAGATGATTGAGTTCTCTGAGGTTGAAAGGAGAATTGCATGGTCATTGTGTGTATTGATGGATGAACATGTTACCTTGTTCGTTGCTACATGTTTGGTGTACACTGTGATTGCAGTTTAGGAACTTGTGTGAATATACATGCATCCATTCCATATGTGTTAAGTGTATTTCTTGGTCATTCTCACACTGACAAATTATGGTTTTGACAATTTTATGTAAAAAATGCAAATGTAAACAGAATAAGTGAAACCATGATATTTCTCTTGTATGCTGAGACCCATGAAGATCCTCTTCAGTATGTTACAGAATAAGTGAAACCAGGATATTTCTCTTGTATGCTGATACCCATGAAGATCCGCTTCAGTATGTTACCCATGTTTGTTGTAAGAGGCGACGGGATCGGGTGGGCAGGCTCGCTGACTTGGTTGGCACATGTCATCATATCCCAATTGTGTAGATCGGGGCCCATGGCGTTGATCACTGGATTGTCTGGTCCAGACTCAATTATTTACAGACTGCTGCCATATAGCTGAAATGTTGCTGAGTGAGACGTGAAACAACAAACCAACCAACCAAACTTGTATACTGAAGTAACAAGGTGTCACTATGCCTGCCATTGTTTCTGTTCCAGGCCAGCTGACCTTCAAGTCCAGGACAACAAGGTCAAACATATCCGCTATGTGCCAACAGAACCGGAGACATTCTACAAACAAAGTGAGTTGACATGATGGTAGCATTTCAAAGCTACCCTATACTCAATTCCACCAGTTTGGTCTCTGGGCTAAAATTGCCCTTAAGTCTGTTGGACAGAGTCTACCCAACTGTTGATATCATTATTTTTTTATATATAGATTGGTCAACACTAAAGTTTCGAAAGTCATTGATTGTTTTCTACTCTCAGAATGCTTACTTTGTTCAGTCTCAATCCCATTACCATCCCCAGCTGGCCTAGAGAAGACACCAATGGTGCGAGGTGAAGTTGGTGGTGGCAAAGTTGTCTACAATTATGATCCAAAGAATTCTTTTGTAAGTTGAATGAATGGCAGACAATCAAATCCATACCAAGATGTATGGATAGATATTATACAGTATGAATAGAACAATTCATGAAAACTAGTCATTAATCAAAATGACAGGAAATTATTGACAACAAGTGTTTTGGTGCAACCATTTAATTATTGGTTGATGTACTGATACAAAACAGCATGTTGTGTACTGTTGTATTTAATGTAGTATTATATTATATTCTGGCATAAATTTGTACAGTAAATTCCTTGAAGTCACAAATTGTCCATATTTCTACAAATGTGTCAAGATATGTTTGGTTGTCATGTTTCACCATGTTGATGATGGCAGTTCATCACTACAATCACCACATTATATTGCCTAAGGAAAAATATGTAAGAATGTTGACTATTATCCTGCCTGGCTTGAATATATTCCTTTTTCTATTTGATAAATAACAGACAAAATCAAGCATGAAACACTTTTTCTGTGAATGTTTGATTCTAGTGATCATGAATAACGAATTGAATTCATGAAGGAATATGGTTTGATTCACCAAACATGTGAATAAATCATAAAAGACCTGATAATACTCTGTATAATATCTCCTGTTGTACTCTGTCATGAACTGTAAATGATATTTTGTTTAGGACAACTCACATGTGAGTTGGATGTTGAGGTAACTGCATGACCATGTCTGCTTCAGTTTGTGCGGTCCCGTGTTGGTGGGTCAAGGACAGGGTGTGAGCAAGTCGGCTATGTCCCAAAGTCAAAAGAGGACACCACGCTTGTGTTTGAGTCTCGGTTCGAGAGTGGTAACCTGGCTAAGGCTGTGCAAGTGTGAGTTATTGGCTCCGTCTGTGATACAGACTTCATGTTTGGTTAAAGATACCCAACAGTTCTTGTAACATCATGGAGTGTCTACCTGGAAAGCAGAAAGTTGGTGACACATCACTTCATCATACCACAATGGTTCAAAGATGGTACTTGTTGGCACACTGCCCGAATGCATTCCGAAGCATGCTCATCGAGGTTTTACCTCGACTCACAAACATGGGACCCCTATTGTTAGTTTTAAGGGTCCCTGCAGGCAATATAAGGGTCCTGTGAAGTAACTGTGTAGAGAACTGTATGTTTTGACAGTATCTTTAGAGCCTGGAATGAATCATTGATCATGTTGACTGATGGATGAAATGATGCATGTAACCGCTCTGAATGAAACAACCAAACACTTAGCAAAGTCATAGATGTGTTGCAGGTACAATTGAATAATATTGTGTGTGCTTCTGGCCACATTTCTGCGTCCATTCTCTACATTTCTGTACTTGATGCAGAAATTCATGCATTTCCGATGATCATGATATATCCAGGCTCTTAATCTGTAGGTTAGTGATGAAATTGTTAACTGTAGGATAGTCAATATGCAAGTTATGATCCTAATGCTGACAATGCAGATTTTAATTGTAATGCAGAGTGGCTTTTCATAGCTTCAGTCAATAGGCAGGTTATGATTGTAATGCTGACAGAAGCTTGTGTTTGTTTGTCAGTGGGGAGTATGACTATGAGCTTTGGTTGCGCTACGACCTGTACACCAACAAACACACCCAGTGGTACTACTTCCGTGTGTCCAACACACGAGCCAATGTCAAGTACAGGTTCACCATCGTCAACTTCATGAAGGTCAGTCTATAGTTCACACTATCTGGCATGACAGTTGTCTTACAGTAATGTCAGCATCATTGGAATTAGCTCAGCTGATCATAAGGGTGATAGTTTTTTTAGTTTGAGATTTAAAGTCAAAATGGCTTAAACTGTTTCTGACCTGTACTGAAAGATTGTCCATCTGCCCAGTATTCTGTCCATCATATATTGTTACATTTTCAACATCTCCCAAAGCCACATGGATTCTTGGACTGAATCTTTTAATGAATGATCACAGGTATGGTGTATGTAAAACCACCCCCAAAATTTCTATTTTGAATGTGTAATATTTACCTACCCCGGTATTACTTGGTATTTTTGCATGAGTGATTATAAGATTTGATATACAGAATAGTTCAATTTTTTATCAAGCCACAACCTTTAACTTTCACCGACCCCTATTTTGTACCCCTCCTGAAACCTCAAGTAAAATGTTTTTTAAACTTTGTAGGAGTGATCCTGACTATTGTATCCCTAAAAAGTGCAAACAGAATTTTAGTCTAACTGTGGTCCTGTGCACAGAGCTCAGGTCACAAATCAGTTGAAGTTAAGCAATGTCATGCTCAGACAGTCCTAGGATGGGTGTTTGGCAGCTTGACTCCTGAGAGTTTCTAGGACTTCAGTCCTGCCCCACAACGAAGCACATGTGATACATGTGATCTCATCTTAGGCAAGTGAGTTTGTTCAAATTTGCCTCTGTTCACCCAGCAGAAAATGGGTACCCAGTGGGATCAGTCATGTGACCATAACCTGGGTTATCCAGGGTAATAATAATGAGCTTCTGATTAAGCGGCTCGAGCAATCACTTGGTATCTGGAGACTGTGCACTATAGAAGATGACTTATTATTAAATCATGGCTGCATTGTTTCCTCATGAATCAGCTACAAAACCAAAGGGCTCTATGTTGGCTGTGAGCTGTTGGCAACCGTGATGGCAAAGTTTGGGCAAGGAGAGATAACCCTGTTAGTCTGAACAGTCTGACCTAAATCTGACGCAGATGTTTTGCATAGAATAAAACTCAATTTAATACTGAAAGTCTTGTTCTCATCATGCATACACAACCCATCCGATATGACGATTTATTTTTTCAATTTTATATGGCTTTTTCATATCAACTACTGAAATACTGATAGAACAAATGCAGATTTACTGTATTTTGCAATGATGGTCATTTGAATTTGCAGCCTGACAGTTTGTACAACTATGGTATGAAGCCTTTGATGTACAGTGAGAAGGATGCACTGCAAAGGAAGGTGGGATGGGTGCGTTCTGGCATGGACATCAAGTATTACAGGAACAACCTCAGGTAGGTCCACCCTTGATGTTCAACTCTCTTGGAAACCATGTCCATGGTGTAGTGAATAGTGCCTGCTGGAAGGTGAAGTTTGGTGGTTCAGGAACCTGGCCACAACAAATGAAAAACCATGATTGGTTTGGTTGTTTAATTACTCAACAATATTCCAGCTATATGGTGGCGGTCTGTAAATAATCAAGTCTGGACCAGACAATCCAGTGATCAACAGCATGAGCATTGATCTGCGCAATTGGGATACGATGACATGTGTCAACCAAGTCAGCGAGCCTGACCACCCGATCCCGTTACTTGCCTCCTACAACAAGTATGGGTTACTGAAGAGCAATTCTAACCCGGATCTTCACAGGTCAGAAGCCATGAATGGATGGAAATTCTCACAGTAGCAAATCAGCTAAGCCCCCGTTACAACCGAGCTTGCCAGTGTCAACAAGGATAGCGGTCGCAGTCGCGAAGGTTTTTTCGCAGTGCGACTCAGATTTGTCAGGAAATAATAAAGACAAATTAACAGATCTGAAACTTTCAAAAAATATATGACAGAACTCCATCTACTTCTTTCAGAGTACCTCTGCATCAATTGTGTTGCCAAGTTTAAACGGGTACAATCATCCTCGATAATCTCCACTATACCCTGGATGTATCTACAGCTAGCCAATCAGATAAGCCGCCGTTACAACTGAGTTTACCAGTGTCAACAAAGATAGTGGTTGCAGCCGCGAAAGTTTGTTCACAGTGTGACTCAGATTTGGGGGGAAAACATACAGACAAATCGACAGGTCTGAAATCTAAAAAATATATATGCGAGAACTCCTTCTACCTCTTTCAGAGTACCTCTGCAACAATATATTATTGTGTTGCCAAGTTTAATCGGTTAGATAATTTAAGAAGCGAAAGTGAGTTGTGATTGGTACGCTCAACTTCCCAGCGTAGGCACCTGATTGGACAAAAAGCCAGCCAAGGGAGGTAATAAAATCATCGCCCCAAGCTGTGGATGCATCCAGGGTATAGTGGAGAGTTATCGTAACGTATGCCCTGAAGATTATCGCGGATGTGATTGGCTCAGAGTCAGAATAGTTTTAACTTGTACATGCCAAATATGCATGTTGTACAAGAGTAAGGTAATGTTTTTCAATGTTTTTAAAAGTAGTTTTGTGGATGGGCGGATGAAATATATGTTGTGTGTTTAGATATGAAACTTCAAGAGGGGACCGGCCGTTCTACTCTCAGACATGGGTGGTTCAGATGAATCACAACCATGACACTGTGTACTTCTCTCACTGTTTCCCCTACACCTACACTGACCTTCAGGTGAGACACTGTGTACTTCTCTCACTGTTTCCCCTACACCTACACTGACCTTCAGGTGAGACACTGTGTACTTCTCTCACTGTTTCCCCTACACCTACACTGACCTACAGGTGAGACACTGTGTACTTCTCTCACTGTTTCCCCTACACCTACACTGACCTACAGGTGAGACACTGTGTACTTCTCTCACTGTTTCCCCAACACCTACACTGACCTACAGGTGAGACACTGTGTACTTCTCTCATTGTTTCCCCAACACCTACACTGACCTACAGGTGAGACACTGTGTACTTCTCTCACTGTTTCCCCTACACCTACACTGACCTACAGGTGAGACACTGTGTACTTCTCTCACTGTTTCCCCTACACCTACACTGACCTTCAGGTGAGACACTGTGTACTTCTCTCACTGTTTCCCCTACACCTACACTGACCTACAGGTGAGACACTGTGTACTTCTCTCACTGTTTCCCCTACACCTACACTGACCTTCAGGTGAGACACTGTGTACTTCTCTCACTGTTTCCCCTACACCTACACTGACCTACAGGTGAGACACTGTGTACTTCTCTCACTGTTTCCCCTACACCTACACTGACCTTCAGGTGAGACACTGTGTACTTCTCTCACTGTTTCCCCTACACCTACACTGACCTACAGGTGAGACACTGTGTACTTCTCTCACTGTTTCCCCTACACCTACACTGACCTACAGGTGAGACACTGTGTACTTCTCTCACTGTTTCCCCTACACCTACACTGACCTACAGGTGAGACACTGTGTACTTCTCTCACTGTTTCCCCTACACCTACACTGACCTTCAGGGTGAGACACTGTGTACTTCTCTCACTGTTTCCCCTACACCTACACTGACCTACAGGTGAGACACTGTGTACTTCTCTCACTGTTTCCCCTACACCTACACTGACCTTCAGGTGAGACACTGTGTACTTCTCTCACTGTTTCCCCTACACCTACACTGACCTACAGGTGAGACACTGTGTACTTCTCTCACTGTTTCCCCTACACCTACACTGACCTACAGGTGAGACACTGTGTAATTCTTTCATGTTAAGTCCCTATTTGGGCAATATTTCCTTGTACAATACACTGAATATTTTCCGTCATTTGTGCAAGCCATATACTTTATCATGTCCAAAGATTATGAAACGAATAATTTCTTTGACCTCAACAGTGTTAGTTTTATGTGTTAATTTTGGATTCCATTTATCAATGTGGATAAAATGTAGAAAGTGATATCTGTTTCGTAGCAGTTATTGCATATATAAAAATGAATTACATTCAACCTTTACCATGTTGTCACAGGACTATCTACTGGAGGTCAGTAACGACCCCATCAAGTCTCGAATCTGTAAACAACGGGTCCTGTGTCGGACTCTGGCAGGCAACCTTGTGTATGTTCTCACCATTACATCACCCTCACAGAACCCAGAAGACATCAAGGTAATAGTCCTGACAGATGTTTTTCAGCTAAATAGTGAGAATGATGTTGTGATGTATCCCACATCAACCTGTAGAGGCTGAGAACGAGTGAATTTTGTTTTGTGCTCAGAAAACAAAATGAGTAACAATTACAACATTCTATCAATAATTTTCGAGATTGCAAACTATTTTAATGCAAATGCCACATCATCAGTTTGCAATAAACTTATATCTACCAAACTACTCCAATTTCTTTGCCTCAGATTTTCAGGCCACTATGCAAAACCAAGATTCAAAATGTTTCCCCCCTCTTCCAGCACAAGAAAGCAGTGGTTGTGACGTCTCGGGTACATCCAGGAGAAAGTAACTCTAGCTGGATGATGAAGGGCTTCCTTGATTACCTCACTGGCAACTCTGCTGATGCTAAGGTAGGACACAGGTGTACTTCTTAATCCAGTGGTCTTTCACAAGTACAAATTAAGAAACAACTTACTGCTTAACTTCAGTTTAACTTGATTCCCAGGAGAGAAAGTCATTGATGGCTAACAACAGGCACTTCTTGTTATAGTTTTGTTTTGATGCCGATATCCATAATCATGATGATCATCTAACCTATGTTCTTGTGTTTTGTTTTTCACATATTGTGTGTGACAAATGCCTGTGTGTATTTCAGCTGTTGCGTGATACATTCATCTTCAAGATAGTGCCAATGTTGAATCCTGATGGCGTGATAGTGGGCAACTATCGCTGTTCTTTGGCAGGCAGAGACCTCAACCGGAACTACAAGACAGTGCTCAAAGATTCCTACCCCTCTGTGTGGCACACAAAGAACATGATCAGAAAGTGGGTATTCAGTCTACAGAAAAAATGATTTGCTTAATATACTTAATTATACAGATGACATGGCAAAAACACTGTGGGTTTCGATGATTCGGACAGGTCTTGGAACCAGCTGAGTTGAGATGTCTTGAGATTCTTGGAATTCAGATGTCTAAGATTGTCCAAGATTTTGACTTGTCAAGGACCAGTCAAGTTCAGATAACAGTGACTTGTCAAGGACCAGTAGAATTCAGATAACAGTGACTTGTCAAGGACCAATAGAGTTCAGATAACAGTAACTTGTCAAGAACCAGTAGAATTCAGATAACAGTGACTTGTCAAGGACCCGTCAAGTTCAGATAACAGTTACTTGTCAAGGACCAGTAGAATTCAGATAACAGTGACTTGTCAAGGACCAATAGAGTTCAGATAACAGTGACTTGTCAAGGACCAGTAGAGTTTCTGATAACAGTGACTTGTCAAGGACCAGTAGAATTCAGATAACAGTAACTTGTCAAGGACAAGTAGAGTTCAGATAACAGTGACTTGTCAAGGACCAGAAGAGTTCAGATAACAGTGACTTGTCAAGGACCAGTAGAGTTTCTGATAACAGTAACTTGTCAAGGACCAGTAAAGTTCAGATAACATTGACTTGTCAAGGACCAATAGAATTCAGATAACAGTGACTTGTCAAGGACCAGTAGAATTCAGATAACAGTGACTTGTCAATGACCAATAGAGTTCAGATAACAGTGACTTGTCAAGGACCAGTAGAGATCAGATAAGAGTGAATTGTCAAGGACCAGTAGAGTTCAGATAAGAGTGAATTGTCAAGGACCAGTAGAGTTCAGATAACAGTGACTTGTCAAGGACCAGTAGAATTCAGATAACCATGACTTGTCAAGGACCAGTAGAGTTCAGATAACATTGACTTGTCAAGGACCAGTAGAATTCAGATAACAGTGACTTGTCAAGGACCTGTAGAGTTCAGATAACAGTAACTTGTCAAGGACCAGTAGAGTTCAGATAACAGTGACTTGTCAAGGACCAGTAGAATTCAGATAAGAGTGACTTGTCAAGGACCAGTAGAGTTCTGATAACAGTAACTTGTCAAGGACCAGTAGAGTTCAGATAACAGTGACTTCTCAAGGACCAGTAGAGTTCAGATAACAGTAACTTGTCAATGACCAATAGAGTTCAGATAACAGTGAGTTGTCAAGGACCAGTAGAGTTCAGATAACAGTGACTTGTCAAGGACCAGTAGAGTTTCTGATAACAGTAACTTGTCAAGGACCAGTAGAGTTCAGATAACATTGAGTTGTCAAGAACCAGTATGGGCTTGGCTCTGTGGTTTGGATTTCGTGTGACTGTTATATGTTGCTGCTTTATTTGACCCATAATCTGTAATGTTTACTATATGTAGTTTTCATCAAAATGTTTATGAATGGGAATACTCATGAGGATGAGAGTGTAGATGACAGTTTTGCTCATCTTGCTCCAGGTTGCTGCAAGAAAGGGAGATAATCGTGTACTGTGATCTTCACGGACACAGTAGGAAGCAAAATGTCTTCATCTATGGCTGTGAGAACCGACACAACGCCAGTCGCAGACTCAAGGAGAGGATATTCCCCTGTATGCTCAGCAAGAATGCTCCAGACAAAGTTAGTAGAGGAATACGTATGTGGGAGAATGTTCATATGTGAAAAAATTGTGAGTAAGTGAGTTTAGTTTGATGCCACACTCAGCAATATTATAGCTATATGGCAGCGGTCTGTAAATAATCAAGTCTGTATCTGACAATCCAGTGATCAAAATCGATCTACTCAATTTGCATACGATGACATGTGTCAACCAAGAAAGCGAGCCTGACTACCCGATCCCTTTAGTCGCCTCTTATGACAAGCATGCAAGGTTCATATGATGTAAGAAATTCACATGTGAAGATATCACAGTGTTATTGCACTCTTTTATTCTGCCCTTATCAGTAATATGTTTAGTTGCATTGTTTTACTGTGTAAAGTTGTGTAGTGGAACAGCCTTGTGGTTGGAATGTCACATGAATGTCGCTATGTATGGCATGTTTAGTCCATATGGTTATCTAAAAAAAGCAAGAGATTATCGATCTCAAGGTTGCATGATTATGTAACAAATTCTGGGTGTAACTTTTCTAATCTGGTAAGGGATGCTTCATTGTGAGATGAAATGTTCTTCTGATGTGATCTGTAATGGGGTGTCTGTTGTTCTTTGTTTAGCAGTAGCATGAACTCAGACTTTAATAGGGTTACTATGACTGATGATTATACAACATTCACTCACTTGTGTTGGTTCTCCAGTTGGAGTGTACAAGAATGTTGTAAACCTGTCTTAAGTTGTGGATGCAATGTTGTCAGATTAGCCTGTTTGTATTTCAGTTTAGCTTCAACTGCTGCAAGTTCAAGGTCCAGAAGAGCAAGGAGGGGACAGGGAGGATTGTCATGTGGAACATGGGCATTATGAACAGCTACACTCTAGAGGTGAGGCATGGGATGTGCATCATGATCTAGCTGGGGCAGTGTGGTAGCCTAATGGTTAAAGCATCTGCTTATCACGCATAAGACCCAGGTTCGATTCCCCACATGGGTACAATGTGTGAAGCCTATTTCTGGTGTTACACCGTGATGTTGCTGGAATATTGCTAAAAGTGGTGTAAAACCATACTCACTCACGATCTTGATACCCATACAAGCTGCTGGATGGGTGAGTTAGTTTTATGCTGCACTCTGCAATACTGTATGGCGGCGGTCTGTATATAATTGAGTCCAGACCAGACAATCCAGTGATCAACAACATGAGGATCAATCTACGATTGGAATATGTGGAAGAACATGCACTGGTTTGAGGAACCGTCAGTGGAGTTTTGTTCAGAAAAAAATTAAATTAAAGTGATTGATTAACACTTTTTAAGGTTTGGATATTTGTACCCTCCATTTGTTGATTGTCATTAGGGACTTTTGATGTCATGATATGCATCCTATCCTGAGGTAAGTAAATATACACATCTATCATGGCATCCAGTGATGCGACTCTGAACAGGAATTCCTAGTTACTCAGTATTTTTGAAAGTTTTGTTGTTTCCTCAGGCAACATTTGCTGGCTCTACAATGGGCAAGAAGAAAGGCTTCCATTTCACACTGGCCGACTATGAGTCCCTGGGCTACCATTTCTGTGATACACTGCTGGACTTCTGTGATCCTGACAATACCAAAGTAGGTAACTTTTCACAGAATCTCTAGCTGCCTCCAGTGGCTTGCAGTGTGAATATATGTGCTGAATGGCATACCTTGTTGAAAATGTAGATGTTATTTTTGCATCTACACTTGACATTTTTTAGGGCTGGATCAAAATGGCAGATTTTTATTATTTCTGATGTTTCTTGTTATTCAGATGAATTAAACCTATGCCCATTTGTGTGTATGTGTGTGTATATGACTGTAGAAACCCTCCATACACCAAACAAATGTTGGAATGGAATTTATCTTTCTTCAGAAATAGAAATAGTTTATTCGCAATATCTAGCATGTGTTAGAAATTTAGATTTATTGCTTATTATCATATATTAGTCTGTATTTCTTAGAGATCTGTCATTTATCATATAGGGGATCTTTGAAATAGTAATCATGCACATAAGTAGGGAAGTTTCCAAATGTATGATAGATAGTATGTCTCACCCTCCAAATGACAGGTTCCGAGAAGTAGTATATGTATAATGTATATGTATAAACCATGTACAAAAGCAGTGTGTACAAAATCACTTGTGCTGGTACGATTCACTTCCATATTTGGTGAATTGAACTGTCAGCTGTCATGAATTCAATTTGTTATTCGAGATCACTAGAATAGTGATGAATTTTTTACCAACGAATGTTTTTACATGAATTTGGGGTGTTCTTTATGAAAGTGAGATATCGAGCAAGTCAGTCAGCAATCTTATAGACATGTATTTAATTTTACACTAATGAATAATTTTCAGCTACTGACTTTTCACTACCCAATATTTGTGATATGTATCTTATTCACTTCATCGTGGATTCGTTGCAGCCTAAGTTACACTTAGCAGATGGAAGCTGTAGTTTGAGAACTTCATCATGTTTATCACTGTGTACACCATACACATGTAATATTGTGTTATATCGTCATATTCATACAATTCATCTTCATAAGTTTAGCCCAATGAACTCCCAACATGGCTGTGATATGACCACTATTGTAACAACCTCATCCACTATGGGATTCATGTTAGAGATGGTCCCATACCACCTGGTTGTGAGAGCCAGTATGCAATATGAATAGGCTGGTCTCAATGTTGAGTGTGGCTTGAATGTCAAGTCCAACTAATGTTCAGGTGTTTCCTCCATAGTGTGTCACAGAAGGGTGGGGATGTTTTTTCAGGGGCCTGTTAGAAAAGATTTTGAGTACCCAACCAGGGGAGATAACTCACACCTATTCTCTAAAAAATGGGCTCAAAACTATAAAACCACTACCTAAGTGACAAATTGTCTGGATGCATTTTGATTTACATATCGCTGAGAAAAACATTACCGGTACTTGAGTAGCATGTCACCTTTGAAATTGGGTACTCCAATTTTGGTTTGCTTTTTTGGCAAAGTCTGTATTTACTATGACAGATATTTCTGATATCTGAAGCCTTTTAAATGTGTCTAACAATATCATGGCATTTATTTTCATCTGTACCTATGAATGCGAGGAGTGATAACATATTACTAATGGTAACAGTAACTTCTTCTGTGCTGCCTCCTTCACATCCCAAATCACTTCACACATACGTTTCTCCTTCTGCATTCCTTGTTTTAATTATGTCACTTTCATTTCAAATCTTTGTCACATTTTTACACAATCAGAACACTTTACTGCATGAACTGAAATATATGAGTTTATAATCCAGTGAGGTTTGTGTTCCCCATGTTTAAGCTAAAGCTAAAATGGTCCTGGACGAATCTCTAATTACCCCCCCGGCATATAATGCGGGGGAATATAGGTAACCCCTCGTCATATCAACCTACTGGTATTTCACATGCAACATAGTAAATGAAAGTCAATAGTAGATCTCTGCATGGTGTGACACTGACCTCCAGTAATATGTGCTATATTCCGTGTATTCATTACTATCAAAACAACTGTCCACAAGCACATACATTCCTATGCTATTTATACCTCTCAACTTCTGATGAGGATAATACTTTCATATATGTATGATTCATAACTTCACATATGTAATTAGGTATATTATATAGTGAATTTTGTGACACAATATATAGATACAATGTAAAATGTCCATAAAGATATTGTTTGTATAATCTGTGGGATGTTTTTTCAGAGAAAAACTGATATTTGGATTACTGGTGTTTCATCTTCTATTTCATCTCCGTCACATATTTCATTGTATCATTTCAATTCTGTGGTTCTTATGTAAGAATCAGACCCATGGTAAATGTCAGATCCAAAATTGTTGGCATACACTGAGACAAACAAATAAAGGAACACATGAAAATTCAAGTGTTCCTTTAATATTTTCCAGTTTTCATCACCAGCTTTGAATAGTGCTGTGGGAGGAAACTTGAGAATAAATAAAGGAACACTGCCATGAAGTGGTGTCCCCTTAAGTACTTCCATCAGTATATTTATTTGAGTTATTGGACTCATATATATTTTGGCCATGACTCACACCATCTGGTAGGATTGAAGTTCACCTTATGTCTGAATCTTACATATATATTTGCACGTGTGCGTTATTTGTAGACAAAATGTTGTGGCTGCTTCTATTAGTTACTTTAATCACCGACATTTGAAGAAAAATGAATTTTGTTTCCTTAATTCCTACTTTCACACTGTTTCCTGATGCAAAATCACCAACCTCAAGTAAAAGAAATAATGACATTTTCATTTTCGTTGTCTGATTGGGAGACATTTTCACTGCATCTTCACATCTGAATTTGTCATAAGCTAAGCATGATAATTTTCTGTTTACTGAACTATAGTAAGGTGAAAGTGATATTTAAAATGATTGAAGTCCCTCCTCTTTAGATGTATACCTTCATTCAGTATTTGAATTAATATAAAAAAATAGGGAAAGATGAATTTTGAAAGTGACTGTTTTCACCTCAAATTCTTATATTTCAATCTTCTACCATAAATATATCATGTATATATATATCACGGAAAATTTGATAGCTTTTCTGTAAATAAACAATTTGAAGCTACTGTCGTCTGCTCACTTGTCACATACAAAATCCAATTCACTTGAGACATTTTGTTGTGGCCTATCTGGGCCTTTAGCTCAAGTTGTATGTTGCAGTGTGGAAACATTCTTGCTGACTTGGAGGAGAGACTGAGATTGGAGATTCTGACGAAGATGGAAAAGGAGGGACTATCCCCAGGAGATGTTGATCTCTCAGACTTCTCCTCAGACATGGAATCAAGGTAACTTACTAAATACTGGCAACAATATGGCAATTACTCATCAGCTTGAGTATTGATATTTGAAAGCAATCAGCAGTGGCTTTCTGTTTGTTCTTTTATAAACCAAAATATTAATTTTAGATGCATTTTAATCTTGTAAAGTTGTATTCAGTGGTTGATTCTAAGCTCAGTCTGACTCAATGAGACTGGTTCACGGAGTCATCCATAATCCGAAACAGGCAAATTTGAAAATCTTATAAAATATTTTTAAAAGTATTCCTTCTCTTAAATCAGGAGATACTGTAAAGTTGCACATTCAACACATTCGGTGCAATAGTGTAAAACTGAGCTTTAAAGCATCTTTGATTCTCTTTATTGGTCAACCCGTGAAGATCCAGGTTAGAATTGATCTTCAGTTACCCATGCTTGTCGTAAGAGGCGACTAACAGGATCGGGTGGTCAGGCTTGCTGACTTGTCATCGTATCCCCATTATGTAGATCGATGCTCATGCTGTTGATCACTGGATTGTCTGGTCCAGATTCGATTATTTGCAGACCTCCGCCATATAGCTGGAATATTGCTGAGAGCAGTGTAAAATAAACTCACTCACTCACCTCGTAAGTCACCTCGAACAAATACAATAGTAAAAACAGCTCTTTTTCTTTGGCGCATTTCTCCAGCTAAATGTGAGCAGTTTGTAAATAGTCTGGACCAGACAATTCAATAATTGATATCAAGAGCATATATCTACGCTTTTGGGATACAGTGACATGCATCAACCTAGTCAGCCAGTCTCTCCTACCAATCCCATTAGTTGCCTCTTACAACAAGCATGTCATGCTGAAGATCAATTCTAACACATGTCACATGAAAAGCAATACATCACAACAAGAATACATAAACCTTGTTATCCAATACACCTGTCCATGTCAGGTTGGCATCAAGTCTGATAGCCCAGTTTACTTCATGCATCAAATTCGTTGTCTGTTCACACACCAGAATGTTACACTCAGCCAATAACTTCCATGATTGATGAGGATACTGAACTGGGACACACAGCAGCATCATAATACCTGTTCCACTGTCCTTCCATGTCTCAGATCACTCCCAGTCCGGACACTTTATAACAAAACATCGTAGATAACTAGGGGTGGGTATTGCAGAGAATTTTCATATTGCGATGTGAAAGCATATATTGCGATATGTATTGCACAATGTTTTTAATAACAAAAAACTACTTATAATCGAGTTAATGCTTGATTGATAAAGCAAAACCACAACAAAATCACTATGCTTGATTAACCTTAATAAAAACTTTTAATCATGACAAGGTAAAAATGTAAATAATATTTGGCACAAATGAAACAAGGAAAAGAACTTAACAATCCAGTTAAATGTAATTATCACCACGATCATTCCCACCACCCTTACCACAATTTCCACAATGAAGTTTTTCCAAATGCATTTCAAAATACCGGTTTTCGATCAGCGTATCGCAGTATGTATCGTTTTCATGTGTGAACTGGTAAATACCGGTAAACCAGGTATATTGCACAGCCCTATAGATTACACACTGTGTGAAGTGCCAGTGATCTCCTCACTACACTTGGAACACAAGTCATTGAATACCTTATCTTCGGTTACACATTAGTTAAAGTTGCTAACCATGAGGCATTATGTGATGCAACAATACACTGACTGCTACACACACTCTACATCCCCTTACTGATGTGGTGGTGGTGGGGTAGCCTAATGGTTAAAGTGTTTGCTCATCATGCACAAGACCCGAGATTGATTCTCCACAGGGTACATTGTGTGAAGTCCATTTCTGGTGTCCCCTACAGTGATATTGCTAGAATATTGCACAAAGCGGTGTAAAACCTCACTCACTCACTGATGTGAATAATAAGCAACTTGAGAGACTCAGTGCTATATTGTCTGTATATCAGTAATATCATTCCAACATATTGCATATAACAACCTGACATGATTGGTGTACATGACAATATACATGGATACTCAAGATAATAGCAGGAATATCAGTCCAAACAACTGTACACTGAAATACCATACCAGAAGGTGCTTAGTTGTGGATCTGTTCCGACGATACCATTAGTCAGTCTTATGTCTGACAGTGAACTCCGAACTTGCTTTCTGATCTCAACTTCTGCCTACAATGACTTCCCACTGCCTGCTTACACACTCTGTCAGTTTATTACATAAAGTGACCATACAGACAGCTCATCTCATGCTAAAACTGGTGGCTTTAATGTAAATAAAATACAATATAAACTGTGATCTTGAAAGTCCTGATTAATACATGTACAGTAATAATGACAAATAGATCTGATTGTTTTAATGCCCTGAGTAGCTATGGTCTGTAGTGTGAGTGAGTGAGTTTAGTTTTACGCCCGCACTCAGCAATATTCCAGCTATATGGCGGCGGTCTGTAAATAATCGAGTCTTGACCAGACAATCCAGTGATCAACAGCATGAGAATCGATCTTCGCAATTGGGAACCGATGACATGTGTCAACCAAGCCAGAGAGCCTGACCACCTGATCCCGTTAGTCGCCTCTTACGACAAGCATGGGTTACTGAAGGTTCATTCAAACCCGACCTTCACAAGGGTCTGTAGTGTGAATATCAGGACACACTCTCAGGTTGTGATTACACACTGTTTGCAAGTTCATTTCAAATGTTCAAATAAAGGTGTTTTGCTGTGTAAGCTGAAGAATATGCTTTGTATTCTGTAACTCATAGAATTCCTGCACAGCAAAAAATGTCAAAAATACCATGCTTATTGTAAGAGCGGACTAATGCCAGATGAAAATGACATGGCTGATTGTGTGGAATTCTTGCTCATGGTATGGAGCCCTAGTTTTAGTGTTGTGTACAATGTTGTGTATGTTTCAGTGATGGTGGATCCGACAGCTCCGTGTCCGATGGGCCTCCAGTACATCTCCAGTTTGCTGCAGCCAGAGTAAGTACACAGAACAGAGAACAACAGAGCTGGCTATGTGTCTAACTGTCCAGATGGAAGCTGCAAACAAAATACCATGTCTGAAGTCAAACCTAGCTGATAATGTTCACACCAGTATTTAGTTATCAGTAATAGTTACATTTGACATGCACAGTGGATCCAAAAGGACCTACCCTTATGTCATACTTGACTTTCAACCTGATTTTAACCCTGTTTGGGGCTTGTAACATCTGTGCTGGATGCTTTTTGAGCACTCTTTAAGCTGATACCACAAGGACAGTGTAAGCCACAGCTTAAGGAACATTTTAGGTATTAACATCAGCTGAACCTTATTTTATGTGCAATGTTTTTCAATTTTCAGATGAAGAAAGGGCTAGAAGCAGTAGTATGTTTTCTTACATAAACATAAATATGAGGGCTTGGAATTTCTGACGTCTAATCTTTCTTCAATATTTTGTAGATGTGTCTATATGCTTCAACAGATCATTAACATAATTTTAACAGGTAGAATGCTTATAAGGTGACTAGAGCTGTAGAAAACCTTGAGAAGACATTGAATGAATATAAATGTTGAGCCCAATTGCCTAAGGTGCCACAGAGTTGTGTCCCTTTGCAGGATCCCCTAATCATTGGTGTGAATCCCAGATTCACTTCCAGATTTAGTGGATATAATGGATTTTTTATTTCAGGGTAGTTTCTAGATTCTAGATTGTTTTTCCAACATGATTCCTCTCGAGCAGAAAGTCCTGACCAATTAGTATGACCCCAAGAGTGAGCTAAGCATTCCGAACACCATTAACATACCTGATATCATGACAATATAACTTTAAGATTGGATGTTTTTGGATGGGGGTTCCTTGTTATTGACAGCCTGTATTGACACTATTGACAGAGTCGTGGGAAGTCACATCACTTTCACCTGCCAAAGTGTGGCAACAGTGGGCGCGGACTCTGCAGTTGTTTCAATCACACCGCGGTGGTAGATACAGTTTGCTGCTGTTGCACCTGTTTGCTGTGTCTGTATACCTATAGTGTCTGTTTTCATCTGGATAAAGTAGAAGTTAACGTGATTATCATGCTCTGTAGGTGAGGGAGTGAGTGAGTTTTACACCACTCTCAGCAATATTCCAGATATATGGTGGCGGTCTGTAAATAATCGAGTCTGGACCAGACAATCCAGTCATCAACAGCATGAGCATCGATCTATGCCATTGGGATACGATGATATGTCACCCAAGTCAGTGAGCCTAACCACCCGATTCTGTTAGTCGCCTCTTACGACAAGCATGGGTTACTGAAGATCAGTTCTAACCCGGATCTTCATGGGTCTCTGTAGGGGATATATAGAGTGGATCCTGTATTTCAATATAACTGTGGCTGAAAAGTTTGGTGTGTTGATACCTGTCAAAATAAAAAGCGCTGGAGAACTTGGTAGAACTAAACTTATGGTAGAGATATATGTAAAATATGTAGTAGGGGAAAGAGGTATGATAGGATTATCTCAGATCTAGCATTTATGACAGATCTGTCACTGTGGTGAAGACATGGTAAGCATGTATGTGTGGGTGAGACTTGTGGTTGATCTGTAGCTGTGGGTGAGACTTGAGGTAGATCTATCACCGTCGGGAAGACGTAAACATGTATGTGTGGGTGAGACTTGTGGTAGAACTATTGCTGTTGGTGAAGCTGTAGCGGTTAGTGCAGCTGTTGGTGATACTCTATAATTATACATAGAGATGTAGATACTATAGTCAGACTTTTTATAGAACTTTAACTGTAAGTGAAACTTTTGGAAGGACTGCAGCTATGGATCTAGGTCTGTAGTTATTCCTGGTTAGGTTGACCCCGACAGCTAGTTCATAAACAAGTCCACCTGCCCAAACAGGATAACCAATAAAAATGTATCTATTACTTATCTGCATATTTTAATTCTTTACATATATTTCATCTGAAATGTTACTGTAGATTGTTAGATTATTATATAATACATTCTATGCATAAATGTAAATATACATAGTGTCACTTTGACTGTGACAACATAGGTGTGTGTGATTGGTGTGATAGGTCTGTGTTCTGTATACATTGTTTGCTGCACATAGAGCTAACTTCAAGTAGAGGAGTTAGTCTAACATCTAGTAAGATTAATCAGACACCAGACCACTGCAGACACATTACAAAATGGCCATCAACATGTATTCAGTGTGAAGTCTTCATTATATACTGATGGAAACAAATAAGGGAACACATGAAAGTAGACGTTTTCCTCTATTTATTCCCAGGTTTTCATCCACAGTGTCATGTCAGTCAGTCGGAAGTGTAGACATGTTTCTTAAAGAATTTAGAACTCGGTCTGTTAATATGTTTCACTAGGAATGGCATTCCACTTCAGAAGATAGTTCACGATATGCTTATTATAAAAAAGAAATGAACTGTTTAAAGAACGTGTTACTTCCTGTGTGTAACAGTATGATGTGTACATACTCTCTTGTATATGGGCCAGAAGCCTTCTGTACAATAAACCTTTTTGACTTGACTTGACAGTGCAATACAAAGCTTGCAAAGACACCTGGAAATGAATACAGGAACAGCTATACTGTCATGCATTCCCTTATTTGTTTCCATCAGTATATTTCCATCCCTGTGAAGAATATCCTAGGTACATTTACAATCCCAGCTTCGTTTTAAGTCTGGTTATGTAAGAAAAATGACAATGCTAAAAATGACCATCCAATGAAATCACATTATTTTCATGATTGAAATGAGCTGTAATATTATCAGGACTCCATATTTCAAGGCAGTTATAGTGCTAAGGTGAGCATAACTCTCAAACTTTGACATGACTTATGTCAGTCATAGCACTGTTACTTCTTTGTCGAGCATAACCCAGTACTCTAATACAACTAGGAATGTCTTTTGGCATAAGGACTTCTCAAGAAAACAACCTTTCCACCAAAACGATGTTTTATAAGTCTTTTCATTTGATAAACGATATTAAGGGCCTGCTCATACAAGACCTATATTTTGAATGTAAATCAGTCTCCAAACTTGCATTCAGAAGAGCGAATTTGATTGTTTTTTTGTTTACATGCCCAAGAGAGTAGGAGTGAAACGGTACGTATTGCGGTACAAGGCTTTCGGTCCGGTATATGAGACTTACTTCCACGAAAATAGCAGCCATCTAACAAAGAAATGCATAGATTGACAAAATGATTCGATTACTAGACATTTTAGAAAAGGTTTAAAAAGGTTGATAAAATACGAAAACCAAAAATACCGAATTTTGGATTGCTTTACAGTATACCAAACCGAAGACAAAATACTGTAGTTCTACTAATACCACGGTATACTGTTTCACCCCAACAAGAGAGACAAAAATCTTACAAGTTTTTAGAAATAGCAGGGATGTCATAAACAAAGCTATGGTTGCAAACTGGCCTAGGGTATTTATTGTATTAGCAAGAAGACATTATACACTGGATAACTGAGGATGATATAAATAATACCAACCCAAGACCTTGAGTATAACAGGTGGCTGTCTTGCCTCATATAAACCAGGGTTTGGGTTCAAGGTTTGTAGGTCTGCTGTTCCTAATCTTTCTAAACAACCCTGGTTCCAACATGGGCATTCTTTGGTGCTTTGCACAGATTTAGCAATAACTGACACACAGGGTTGGTTGTATGACTGATAAATATTTGAATTAAAGTAAACATAAATGCATCACATGGTTTTAGAAAGATATGCTGATTATAAGCTTGAGTTGGCATGACCAATTGTTTATTTAGAAGTGACAGTAAGCCTTTAATGAAGCCAGTATGCACCTATGTAAGTAATAAGTATGCAACCTTATAAGTTTTCAGTATGCACCATTTGAAGTAATAAGTATGCACCCTTTTAAGTAATAGTGTGGTACATTTCAACATGTGATGCTTTTGTGACTTTGTTTATTGTGAAGATTGATCAAGAAGTTTGTGGGTGTTGCACTAGTTTTATTGTTTTTCAGAGGGAAATGTGACTACTTCATAGTATACAAATTGAAATGGATGATTTTATTCTTAAGCCCAAAAAGAAGAAGAAGCTAAAGTCAAGGAAGGAGCGAGACAAACAGCTTGATAAAGAGCCTCCCAAACCCGAGAAGCCGATCAGTGTAAGCATAGCCTTTATTTATGTTGTCTACATTTCAGGGTTCAGGAACCATGGCCCCTGTGTCTCAGATACACAGTTGCATCCCATAGACATGTGATGTGATTGTGGAATCAAATTAATGAATTGAAATAATGTTTCTAAGTGTGTGGTTTTAACTAGGTGTTAAACATCTGCATGACTTTTGGTTTGTCTTCCCAAGTTTAACTGATCCTCAAACTGCACCATACCTACCATATCATTAAAAGATGGTACTTACGGTTACCTAGTCTGTCTCACATTCCCTGAACTTCATTATTTTAACTACTGCCTATCTCTCCCTTCAATGCTAAAGCCCAAAATGATGCAATTCTAGATTTCCTTAGGTTCTGAATCTCCCATCTAACTTGCGCTCCTTTTCAAATTCATGAGATTATTTCTTACTATCAAAATTATATATATTTAGAGACTAAGTGTTAGTCTAGCTGTTATCAAGTCTTCAGCATTAAGGGAATAAACCATAGACTGGGAATCTCTGGGTCAGCATGCTGTTCTCAGTGATGTGTCCATATTAAACTGCGTCATGCTTTCTATATACCCTTTATACCTATGTACTATTTAGAAACTCACTATCCTTGCTAAACATTTACATGTCTGCAGTATTATATGACTACATTTATTGACTATTTAGATAAGCTTTAAAATATGGTAAGAGTTCCGACCGTAACCCCTGCTTGAAATGTAGTCTATTTATTATGATTATTTTGAGGGATTAGGGTTTAAATTTAGGGTTAGGGGAGACTTTCTATGAATAAATCTATTCTTAGGCATAGAATGATTTTAAAAAAATTGGGTTACTGGCAGAAATCTTTCCTAAAATACATTGTGATGTACTGATTACACAATTAGAGACAAGTACATGTTGACAGATCAGTTTAAAATACATGACTAACCTGCTAGGATGATCACGCAGATGAAAACTTGTAGCAACAACCAAGTGACTGTTCTTGATTGTCATGGGCTAGTGGCTGGTTTGATGGTTTGATGCTCATTGGGAGTATTTTAAACAAGGCCAATCAGGTGTAACCTGACATAAACAAAGGATCCAGCTGGGGTGACCCAAGCTACCAATCAAACAAACCCCACAGTTTATTGTAGTCAAATTAAGGAAACCTCCACTCACTGAATAAGTGAATATTCTGCTGAAAGCGGTGCTGTGAAGTTGTTAGTACCTGTACAGGTTCATTCTGTTCCAATCGCTCCAATTGTTTAACAACCCCATAACATCTTCCTCTAAAGCTGTTATCTACGAATGTATGAAATCTCATTATGATATCTCCTTACTGGAACGTAAATTAGGAACAAAGCACTGTAATATTTTAATCAAATTTAAAACCGCCAACCATAAATTACCTATTGAAACAGGTCGCTGGGAAAATATTCCCTCAAATAAACGATTCTGTCCGTCATGTCCCTCCCAACTCGGAGATGAATTTCATTATTTATTTCAATGCAATAAATTTACTGCTCCCAGAAATATGTATTTAAAGAATTATTATGTAAACAACCCTAACTATTACAAAATGTCAGCCCTATTTGAAACTCATAATATGAAGCAATTAAGAAATCTATGTAAATTTATTTCCATTATAATGTCTGTCAACATGACATGATTAATTTACCTGTACATAATTGCTGGATTTATTTCAAGCCATAGCCTAAAAGTGATATATTTTTGAAAAATACCCCCATGATGCTTTGCATGTATTTGTAAACTTATGGTAATAAAAAGGATGATGATGATGATGATGTTCCATACAACACAGAAACAAACTCTGTAACACACACATACACACAAATAAGTAAAATACACAAAGTACACATGCATGCACCCACACACACATATACATATACTCAACCATGCCACAGTATTTCAGTGGGCTAGAACTATAAATGCAGCAATATAGCTGTCACCTCATAGATAACCACTTGTTTTTTCAGAGCTGGTTGCATCCCTTGCCCATGCCAGGATTGTGTGCTTGAGTCCCTTACCTGTCCCTGTTACATTACTTGGTGTTGCAGAGCTGTATCATCACCCTTGCGTTTCAAGTTTCAACTTCTAAGAACAGTTCCACTTAGGACTATCACATTAACCTAACACAACAGTCTAGTAATATAACAATAATATTGTTTAATACAGTGTAATATGTGACTCACCTTAACCATCTGTACAGCAGGAGCCCCCAGAGAAGAAGCCTGTTAGCAGCCACCCTCACGGAAAACAGGACAAGGTGAGCTATACTTGAAGATAAAACATCAAATACTTCATTTTTTCATTGGATATTGATTCAACTGTTTTCCAGGCAACATATATTTATTTTAAAGTATAAAGTGCCTTTTTCTAGTTAATAACTTCATTGTTCATTTGATAAAATTCATCAATTTCCATTCTTTGGAGTATATTTAAATTCAATGATAAGGTTATTTGGTTTTTAGTTCAAAGTTTTGACATTACTGTTTCTATTCGCTTTCGTGCATGTCAGTGGTATTCTTGTTCAACAAGCAATGGCTTTATGGTCCTATTATTCATATTTTGGGTGACTTTGGTGCTGTAACTGTTTAGTGTTTTGAGTTTGGAACTTTGAGAATGTTTCTTGCATTTCGTGGTTTTGGTCTTTCAAAATTACTTTGCTTGAAACGAATGACTACTGCCAGACTTTATCTTTGCAGTATGAAAATATCAAGATAAAACCAAAATCTGAAATGAATGGACTTAAATTTTAATCCAAACGTTCTGTTTGTTCATTGTGTTTTAAATTAATTTGAATTTGTTATTTGTTCTTTGATTTAGGCATTTTAATGAAGTTAAAATTTCATTTGATGTTGTATTCAGTAGAAAATTATTTGATGTTTGACTGCTTTAGAGATAATGTGTCTTTGATTTTATTTTCTGTCATTTCCGCTAGAAGCATAGAGTGTCGAATCTGTCCTCTAACAGAGCTATATCGCCAGTGAGTTGCTCCTGTTGTCATGGTGATAAACAAGCTATGCTAGATCTAGTTGATTTCCCATTTTGCTATGTGTTCTCCCTGCCAATCACTGTACAAGCTGTGTGTTGTGAGTTGTCAATTTCACCATCAATCACATACAGGAACTGAAAGGTTGTAAAATGATTAACTCACTGATTTGATTTTCAGGATTCCCTATTGAAAATGTTATTAAGATGTTTCATTTAAATGACTTCTTTTACACAAGTTTTGAAATTTGCTTGAAAATTGTTATAGTTATCGGTAATGATTTCAATCAAACCAGGGGCCATATGCTGGTGTGCGATCTCTGATCAAACGCAGCATTTCATTTTGGTCCTCTTTTCACTTTTACACATTAATGGTAAGCATGTCCTTAACTTAAGATTAAGTTGATAAAATAAATGAAGAATATCATAAATATATTTGAAAGGGAAAAATTGTTTTTGTATATATATATAAAGCCCCAGACAGTTCCTGTGTGTGTTCATCCTTCACACTGTCACAAGTTGCTGTGAACAAACAGGGATATTGTTGACACTGTCAGTACAGTACCTCATGTAACAACAAGCTGGGATTATTTTCTAACATCATACCATCTAAAACATAATGGTATCCCTTTACATTTGTAAGTTGATGCTTTGTAAAGAAAATGTTTGGATTCTTGCTAAGAATATAAGTCCCTAAAGCCAATAGATGTATTTATCCTACCTCATGTAAGAACCTCGATCTCTGATTGGTCCATGTGACCCTGAACAAATTTCCATATACAGTAGAATACTTTTATAACGAACACGGATATAACGAACTGACGGCTATAGCAAACTGTTTTAAAAGTCCCGAATAAACCTTATATTATCATATAAAAAAGTGAATAGCGAACTACGGATATAACGAACTAATTTCAGTGGTCCCTTGGAGTTCGTTATAAAGGTATTTTACTGTAATTATATCGCCCACCCGGTGGATAAATGTTTCCCAGGGCTACTCAATGCTTTATACCCAACTACATGAATAAAGTGTTCAGCCGATGCATGTCATACATTCATAGGTCATTCTATGTCAGTTGATCAGCTGTTTTCTGTCAAAATGATTATATTGATGATAGTTTGAAACATTCAGTAAGATAAATGCGTCATCACATTCATGGAGGTTGACTTTGGGAATTATCAGACCTGCCAGAGTGAGTGAGTGAGTTTAGTTTTACGCCGCACTCAGCAATATTCAAGCTATATGGCAGCGGTCTGTGATTAATCGAGTCTGGACAAGACAGTCCAGGAATCAACAGCATGAGCATCGATCTGTGCAATTGGGAACCAATGACGTGTCAACCAAGCCAGCGAGCCTGACCACTCCGATCCCGTTAGTCGCCTCTTACGACAAGCATGGGTTACTGAAGGCTCATTCTAACCGAGATCCTCATGGGTAAGACCTGCCACTCAGGCTCGTTGAATAAAACCAAACGCAGGTCTGATAATTCCCAATGTCAGCCTTCGCTGAATGTGATAACTTATAATATGCTGGTTGCTAGAGGCAACGGGATGGATTTGATAGTCAGGCTCAGGGACTGTTTATTACATGCCATTTTGTCATGACTGCATGGATGAATACTCATGATGACAATCACTGGCTGTCATGTCCACATTTGATTATCTACAAATCCCTGTCATATAGCTTAAAGTTTGTAGAGTGCCACATTAAACAACAGCAAACACATTGTTGACAAGGTGAGGAACAGATGCATACCTGCTATGTAAGCTAGATTTGAAAGTTTGCAATGATATATTCAAGGGCAAAAAGTTTTCTAACGTTAATATTTGATGCAGGGAACTTTATGTTTTTAGCTGTTTTATCCTAGTTTTTCCCCTGTTCTTTTTGCTTTCATTTTTTGTGGCAGAACTGGAATTCTTTTCTTAGTGAATGTAAGACAAAAGGTGACTGTTTTCGCCTCTGGCCTGCCCCTGCCCCCAACCCCGCCCCCAACCCTGCTCCAGTTTAGACAAAAACTAGGGTAGTCCATATATGTAGTTGTAATTATAACAATACATGATATTATGATAGATATTAGATGATGTTCATATTTTCAAAAACTTCAGAGTTTGTCTGTACCGAAAGTGTCATAACAATACCCTCTACTCTTGCGTTAGCACTTGACATGCATTATGTCAAATGTGTGTCTGTTTTTTGTGTGTGTGTGCATGAGTGTGTGTGCACTAACTAGCAACAGTTTGCTTGTCTGTTACGGTTGGCTTGTTTCCACTAGGGTTCAACCCAGGCACTCCGGTACTCTACGTCATCTAAACGGCCTCGGTCGCAGGACGAACGTACCAATAATGGTATACCAATATTTGTACAAGAGAGGTGCGATGAACGACAACAGAAACGGGTAAAAATGTCTTCCTCAATACCATAGTGCATGCATTGTGAAAGCTAAGTTTTTGATTTTGTGCATTTTTTATTTGTTCTTGATTCTAACTAAAAGATTAACTGACAGATAAAATGAAAGATGATGTCTGTACTGTGCTTAAGGTTAATGAAAGGATGAAGAAATATATATTTGAGAAGTTAGAACAAGGCCTTGAAATATGAAAATTGTTTCTCATCATCAGAATGTCTATTACCACATGCTGGATTACTCATTGTCAAAAAAGTTATTTTTGCATCCTGGATTTACACATCAAGGTTATCATAACATCCACAGGGAACAAAATTTGATCAGGGACTCATTATTTGAGGTTTTATTAAAAGTTCAAAATGACCTATTTTCTAATGGAAGAATTATTGTTCCTGAATAATACTTCCTTATGTGACATTTCTGAATATAGTTTGATGCCATGAAAATAATGAAGTTTGGTTTGAAGTTTTGAAAATATGCTCGATGAGAAACATTTGATTTTTCATAGCCTTAGTCGAGTGCCACAGGTAATGGGTGTAGATGTGTCTTCAGACTTGCATGCAGTGTTAACTGATGTTAATATCCTGTTTTTCCTTTGGAAGTATGACTTTGTTATACATGACTGCGATAGTATTAGAATAGACAATGATGCATTGTTAGAACATACCATGATGATAGTGTATCTATGATAGATAGTAATGCAGATGCTTGTCTACATAGATTCACAGGTAGTATAAGTCTGTCACCTTTGACTTTTGACCTCTGACAGGCTTTGAGTGCTGCCTCTCGTCAAAGAGGCACCCCACCCCAGAATGAGGTGAGATGGGTTAAAACCAAGGGCCTTATACCCCAACCCACTGTCAGGGGACAGGTTCGGGGTTTGTCTCAAAAGTTGCATAATGTATTGTGATGATTTTGTGTCATAAGTAGATCACAAATGTAGCTGTATGTATAGCAGAGTGTCATGTTATGCCTAGCTATCAATCATGAGTCATATTGCTATACTCCATTTGTGTTTTTTGTTTTGCATGAAAGTCTCAATGTAGAGGTTGTTGTTATCAATTTGTGTTTAACTCACGTAAATTTAACTTCTTCTAATAGATCACATAGATCACCAAACATCATAGTTCAACCGAGCTATATAAATTTGACATTTGAAATCCCAATTAAAACATATGCTGGACCAAGTAGTTATTATATTAGGTTAATGTGATGCTTCATAATTGTTACTTTTTTAAAACAATTCAGAATGTAAATAGTTTATGAATCAGTGGATGTATCAGGTTCTGTATCATCAGATGTATTAATGCTCGTAGCCTTGCAGCATCAGTAACTTGTGATACTCCTAATATATTGCATGAATGTTAGTGATGTATATTCCTGGGTCAGACAGTTTGAAAGACATTTGGTCAGACAGTTTGAAAGAAATTTGTATGGAATAGGTACACTATGTTTTATTAATAATTTATCAGAATTAATCATTTTTTTCTTAAGCAGTCAAATTTGAAACCTTACACTGAGCTAGACATGTTAGTGTAGGGATTATAGGTAATAATAAATTGCATTAGCTTAAATTGAAGTGTTTTTGAATAATGTTATATTGAAACTTCAGGGAAATGAATGTCAATTTTGTATGTACCTAAACTTTGTTGTAAGCCCGGAAGATAGTGTGTTTTATTGTATTTGAAGAGCAACTTTTGAGACAGTTCATCCTATTGTCTCTGTCCTACCCAGTGCCTGACCTAGGCACACCCTCTCCACACCTTGCTTATAGTCATCTGGGTCAAACAGGAATACAGGGCTCATTGCCTTATTATGACTTAACAAAGTTGTCTAATACCCCAACTAAGGGTGACTATTGAGGGGGAAACAACTATTGCGATAGTCTATTGCAACATACTATTGCGACCAACTATTGCAATACTATTGCAATATTTTTTTTCTCCCTGAATTGTTTCATTTGAAGTCATTTTGCCAAATGAATGTATAGTTTATATGAAATAAAAACAAGTTGAAGTAGTTCCAGTCTCTTTTAATAACTGACAAAAAACCCAGATCAAGTAAACTGTTAAAACATAAACTCAATGAAGCTGCAAGCCTTCACCCAAACATCCTGCATTTTGCGCTGCGCATTTATCACCAGAAGTCAATTACTAAACTAACGATAGTCACACATACTATCGATGTATTGATAGTTTTTCGTTTCTACAATCAATTAATTGCTATCAGAGACTCAACAATTGCAATCCATCGATAGTTCGATGCATCGTTACATCCCTAACCCCAGCCCTCTGTAAGCTATCGACTTTAATTAAAATGTCCAAGTGTTTTTTTCTGAAGTCTCTGCCCTTTGATGTAGAAATGCCTTCAAAATTCCAAATAATTATCTTGCCAGATTTGTGGTATTAAAATGGCCTCTGTCACTGACATTATCTTCTCACATAGGGAAGACAGCAGTGATATAATTGACTTGATATAATTTCCCATAATACTCATTCATAAATCCTCTCCAATGATGATCCTTAATTTTTGTAAAGTTAATGTCTGAGACTTTATCATCAAATGACGTATTCAGTGAAATGATTACTTTTGAGGGGGTGGGTGGGTGGAGCTTAATCAAACCTTATAACCTTTCCTTATTGTCACAGAAGGTCAATGCCTAGCCTTGCTCCAAGGCTGTACTGAAGGCTAAGCCCATGGATGTATTGTAATTCTATCTGTTAAAGAGGCAAGTCTAGATAAGCAGACAGTAGTCTGTTAGAAGGATATTTATATTTGTTAGAAATTGGCCTCTAAGTTCTATTCATGAGCAGAGAATTGGGTTTCTTTAGTGTTAGCAGTGAGTACAAAGTAAAAGACCAGTAAAGATAAAACTTCGTCATTTGAAAATAATTAAAGTCTTCATATATAAGGTGACCTGTATTCCTGTTTTGTAGCATGATCTGGCTGTATATTCCTCAAAACTGCATGCATAACTACTCGCATAGTGCATCTTGTTGGACATAATCATATATGAATAATGCATGTTTACATGTATTTATAGTGCATGCACATGAGTAATTATAGCAATGTGTATATTGTGATATTGACATAATATGATTATTTAATAGAAAATTAACAATCTTTATATATATTTGATATATAGTATATGTATATTAACTCAAACATTTTGTGAAACTTGCCACAGCTTAACCTGTCAAATGCTTTATACACTTATCTTTGGAAACAATATTTATTCTGTTTCAGTATCTATGTATAAACTTTTTTAACAATTTAATTATGTTAATGTTGATATCGTCAGTACTTCAATGGTTTTTATGCAATACTGTCCTCCATCAGCTGTGAAATGTAGCTTTGAGGTATTTTTGTGATGCGGTCTATATATTCAGTAAAAGAAATAAGGTGGACTTTCCTCCAACCGTTGAGCTCTATATACTCTCCGTGCAAACATTCATGAACATTGTATGTTTGTACAATGGCTTCTGAGCGCTGAATTGTCTCAACACTCACTGGCTTCTCTTTCACTTCAACCAGACCTTTTCTTTCAGCAAAGTGCTTGCATGTATTCATGGGTGATGGTGGAACATTGTGCAGTATTCAAAGTAAAGGGGATCCTTGTCTCTTGCATTCAATTCAACGACTCCGGAAGCCTAAACGTGTTACATTGGCATTTGGAATGGAACCTTTGATTTTCATACTTATTTTCAAACACTTTTGCATATACAAGACCATTCAGTACTGACGATGAATCTGTGTCTTGTTTATTCAGTATATTGTATCTCTATTCAGTTATGATACACACCTTTGACTCATAAGTTCTAGCTGTGTTTTGGAAGTGACATCTCTGTTCTTATCTGTAACTCAATAAGAGACTATGGTCTGATTTGTCAAGGGTTGTTGTCATAAGAGAATAAAGCTATATTGCACTGGATAACCAAGGCTGGAATGTCATGTAATATTGATCAAATGTATCTGTGAATCCAATGCAGGCCTGGTCTGTGTGTGCACCCAAACTGTATAATTTCACATGGGAGGTAATCGTTTAACCCTAGAATATACAACCACTTTTATCCAGAGCTTATGTCATTGACTCCTCTCATATCAAACTATGAGGCCAGCTGGTTTATTTTTAGTAAAGGGAGGCATGCAACACTCACTTAAATATATGCTATTTAAAAGATATTTAAAACACCCAATTTCTATATGTGAAATTACAGCTTAACTTCAGTGATATGAAAACATGGGCATCCTTTAACATTTTTGAAAACTTCAAGAGAAGATAAAGAAAACCTATTTTTTTATGTTTTTGTAGAAGGTAGAATAAATATCTTTGGTAAGATGACACATTTTGTGAAGTGTAAAAATTATGATGCCAGTGAAGAGTCATTTGGTTGAAGAAGTCAGAGTTTTAAATCTTTCTGAAACTTGAAGCTCGAAGATCATGATTGATCTATTATTGGGACTACATACTCTTCTAAAGAGAACCAATTCAGTGCCTCTGGCCTTGCTCTTCATTTGTTGTTCAGTTGCAACCTGTAGTCTATGTTTTGTCATGTTTTTATAGAATATAAGCCAATCAAACTTTTCATCCGTCCCCCTTTTCGATAGTTGATAACACCGATACTACCAGTAGTTTCCCTTCAAAAGAAGAAAAGTTCCCTACTATGTTAGTGACCCCAGCTCCTGTTGCCAGCATGTTCATGTTGTCCCTTGTCTTTCTTTACGTGGTGACATATTGTCAACATGGCTGTGATGTCATTTATGATAAACTGATGTTTGTTTTATGATGTGTTTGGCTAGCTGCAATCTGTTTTGAAGCAAGAACCTTTGAAAATATGTTTAAAAACAAATGGGTTACTTGACTGAAAAATTCAACTTTTTTAATTTAAAAAATATGTTCTTACAACTGTAACCATGTCCACACCATTTCAACTTAATTAACAACATATTTTAATCAGCATCAACAAAATGAAGTGTTTTGGTGTTTTCTAAGCACACTTGAAGATGGTGATTGGAAAGTAGGACATTTGATTGCAATCTTATCTGCAAAAGATTCTATTTGAAATATATTTAGTCACCCAATCATCCTACCAAAGAAAACTTTCCCACTGTGCAGAAAAAGCGCAGAAAAGCCCACATTAATCGTGGAAATAGCAACATATAAATTACCTCGCAACATATTTTTAAATCGCTAACACTGCATCATAAAACAAAACTGATTTTAGCATGTGACCGCGATGTTGACATTTTCCAGTTTGGACAAATGTTACATTCCTTTTAAGTTTTCTGTTGTGTTATTTGGCATATATCATCATTGTGTGCACACTTGTTTAGTTTACGCTCCATTCGGTGAAACGATTGACAGCAATTATTTCGAAATATTTAATACTTTTCTCATTTGATTCACGGTTGCTCAGAATTTGGAAAGACTTATCTGCAAAGAGGTCAAAGTTCACTGATATAAAAATGTTGCAGTTTCATGGTTTTCGAACTGTTTCAGTAAAGTAATGTGTTTATGTTGCTATTTCCACGATTAATGTGGGCTTTTCTGCGTTTTTCTGCACAGTGGGAAAGTTGTCTTTGGTAGGCCTGCCAATGGCTGTTTAAGAATTTTGGTCCCTCAGCAGCATGCACTAGTTGTACAAAATGACTTAATGGGTCAGGCAGTGACTTGGTTGATATTGTGTCAATATACCCCTTCAGTTTGGATGATTGCTCATAATATCAATCACTGGTCTGTCTGGTTCAGACTGGATTAATTACTGGCCACCATGATATAGCTGGAATATTGCTGAGCACGATGTTAGCAATTTTAACTCGCTCTCTAGATCTGTATGTAATAATATGTATGAATAGAAAACTGCGTTGTTTCAGAATAATCTGTACAGCACATCACTGTATACTCAAAGAATCAATGTTGCATTGTTTTACATGAATTTGTATTGACTTTGACAACTGTGACATGTTTTAGTCTGACTACCTGGAAGCGTTGACGGCAGCGTACCTGAGAAATGGGATCCCCCTCCTGAATGAACCAGGTGAGATTATAACCAGCAATACAGCTGATATGTTTGATGCAGTAGGTTTGTGCATCGTGGATCAATATCGGCATAAAGGCGTCAATGTCTGTCTTCCTATGTGTCATGGTATTTGTCCTTAAAGTATAGCCTTGTATATTCCAGCGATTTGTGTTTGTTAATAAAGGTTTTATAGGCTAAGTACCTATGTATATACATGTGACATGCAGATGTATCGTAGGGCTTCTGAATATGATATTATGTCAAGTAATAACAAGGGGATTGAACATTTTCTCAAGTATTAAACCCAGCAACAGACCTCGTTTTGATCTATTTCTAGATATATGGATTACTCAACAACAAAAATTACTTGTTTGCTCCTCAAAGTGATACATTGTTAACATATTTTGTAGTGATGAAATAGGCAGAATTTATGCATAACCTGATATGATATATTACCAGATTACCAACTTATATTTTATGTTCATATTACATATTTTACCAGTTTCAGCACTTTCTACTGTTTCGATTGTACCAGATGGTAGAACTGTAATATCATTTGCTTAATGCCTTTAGTTGAAAAGCACAATCCGCTCATTTATTTTATATTCTTTTTTTTTAGATTTAGAGACAAATGATTTTTGGATGCTTTTTTTGTGTGTCTTATCTTTATTGCATTTTAATAATTTTATTGATAAAAAAGAGCATGGTGAGGAATTTTCTAAGCATCATTGAATCCATAGTAATTACATATTCTTTCAGGTACTTAGGAGATACAGATAATATATTTTTATTCTTATTTATTTTTTTCCATTTGTATTTGCTACTGTGATTTAGAGATTGTTCCTTCGATAAATAAAAGTGTGGTAGGTTTTTTATATGAAATCAACAAACTTGCTTATCATATCGTTTGCCTTTCAATGGGCTGCTAGATATCAATGTATAACATAATTTGCATGGCAGTTTTAGTGAAAATGGACGCCAAATCAGGTACATTAGCATCAGTAGACAATACTCTCTCCTCCATAATATATTGTTAGTTGTTATCACTGCTCTGTCATAGGAACCAATGGAATGGCATAACATTAGTTTTTATCCCTGTCGTCATGGGAACCATAGAATTAGATGAGATGTTATCTCAGTTGCAATGGGAACAGTGGGGTTTGATAAGATGTTATCCCATTTGTCATGGGAACAGTAGGATTACCTAACATTAGTTGTTATCCCTGACCTGTCATGGGAATATAATCATAACATTATTTGTTATCTCTGCTATCTTGAGGACACAAGGATATCGTAACATTGGTTGCCATGATTCCCGTATCATTGAGTAACATTGAGTGCTTGATTCCCGTATCATTGAGAACTACAGGATGGCATAACATTACTTGTTATCTTTTCTTTCATGATAACAATAGGTTGATATAGCATTAGTTTTTATGCCTGTTGTCATGGGAACGAAAGGATGGCATAACATTACTTGTTATGTTCTCTTTCATGATAACAATAGGATGATATAACATTAGTTGTTATCAATACTGTGTAATGGAGACAGTAGGATGATATAACATTAGTTGATATCAATACCATGTAATGGAGACAGTAGGATGATATAACATTAGTTGATATCAATACCATGTAATGGAGACAGTAGGATGATATAACATTAGTTGTTATCAATACCATGTAATGTGAACAGAAGGATGACATAACATTAGTTGTTATCAATACCATGTAATGGAGACAGTAGGATGATATAACATTAGTTGTTATCAATACCATGTATACCAATACCATGTAATGGAGACAGTAGGATGACATAACATTAGTTGTTATCAATACCATGTAATGGAGACAGTAGGATGATATAACATTAGTTGTTATCAATACCATGTAATGGAGACAGTAGGATGATATAACATTAGTTGTTATCAATACCATGTAATGGAGACAGTAGGATGATATAACATTAGTTGTTATCAATACCATGTAATGGAGACAGTTGATATAACATTAGTTGTTATCAATACCATGTAATGTGAACAGAAGGATGACATAACATTAGTTGTTATCAATACCATGTAATGGAGACAGAAGGATGATATAACATTAGTTGTTATCAATACCATGTAATGGAGAACAGATAGGATGATATAACATTAGTTGTTATCAATACCATGTAATGGAGACAGTAGGATGATATAACATTAGTTGTTATCAATACCATGTAATGGAGTCAGTTATATAAGGATGATATAACATTAGTTGTTATCAATACCATGTAATGGAGTCAGTTATATAAGGATGATATAACATTAGTTGTTATCAATACCATGTAATGGAGACAGTAGGATGATATAACATTAGTTGTTATCAATACCATGTAATGGAGACAGTAGGATGATATAACATTAGTTGTTATCAATACCATGTAATGGAATGGATGATATAACATTAGATCAATACCATGTAATGGAGACAGTAGGATGATATAACATAACATTAGTTGTTATCAATACCATGTAATGGATGAATAACATTAGTTGTTAGTAATGGATAGGATGATATAACATTAGTTGTTATCAATATAGGATGATATTAGTTGTTATCAATACCATGTAATGGAGACAGTAGGATGATATAACATTAGTTGTTATCAATACCATGTAATGGAGACAGTAGGATGATATAACATTAGTTGTTATCAATACCATGTAATGAGACAGAATATATAACATTAGTTGTTATCAATACCATGTAATGGAGACAGAAGGATGATATAACATTAGTTGTTATCAATACCATGTAATGGAGACAGTAGGATGATATAACATTAGTTGTTATCAATACCATGTAATGATGACATAACATTAGTTGATTAACATTAGTTGTTAAATACCATGTAATGTGAGACAGTTGTTATAGGATGATATAACATTAGTTGTTATCAATACCATGTAATGGAGACAGTAGGATGATATAACATTAGTTGTTATCAATACCATGTAATGTGAACAGAAGGATGACATAACATTAGTTGTTATCAATACCATGTAATGGAGACAGTAGGATGATATAACATTAGTTGTTATCAATACCATGTAATGGAGACAGTAGGATGATATAACATTAGTTGTTATCAATACCATGTAATGGAGACAGTAGGATGATATAACATTAGTTGTTATCAATACCATGTAATGTGAACAGAAGGATGATATAACATTAGTTGTTATCAATACCATGTAATGGAGACAGTAGGATGATATAACATTAGTTGTTATCAATACCATGTAATGTGAACAGAAGGATGACATAACATTAGTTGTTTTCCTTTCTGACATGGGAACAATATGACAGTGTAAGATTACTTTTTTTTCCTTTCTGTCGAATGAACAATGGGATATAACATAAGTTGTTATCACTGCTCCATTGTGTGAACATTAAGATGTCCTAATATTTATTCTGATCATCTCCAGTATAATTATCTGAAACTTTTGATTATTTTATCATAGTTCTAGAAAAGCAAGAGACACGCACTTATTGAACTAACTGGTTAATAATAAACTTCATTGCATAATTACATTCTTCCATTCTGCTTCCCTAACCATGTTAACCAATTCCACACAGACAAGTAGTAGTGACTCTGTGTCTTTCTTCTTCCTGCCATGCTATTATAAGGACCTTTGTTATGAGTAGAAATAAAACATATTTATGAATAATTTTTAAAAAAGAAAGAATGCATATCTGTGAAAAATGGATTTCATTTATAAATTGGCCTTATGTCATGTTTGATAGACCCGTGAAGAACAGGTATGCATCTGTTCCTCAACCAACCCATGAAGAAACTTGTTCATGTAATTTAGTTTATCTTATGTTATGGCTATATAGGGTGGTACACATGAAGTGATCTTCAGAAACCCATGCTTGTTGTAAGAGGCGACTAACGGGATCGGGAGGTCAGGCTCACTGACTTGGTTGACACATGTCATCGTATCCCAATTGCATAGATCGATACTCATGCTGTTGATCACTGGATTGTCTGGTCCAGACTCGATTATTTACAGACCGCCTCCATATAGCTGTAAATGTAATATTGATGAGTGCGGCATAAAATTAATCTCAATCAATCATGTTTGATAGGTGTTGAAATACTGACAAGCACAGCACACAAAAACATTCGCTGTGACCTCCCCTCGGAATGGGCAGTTAGATAGCCTTGCAGTATTGGATTATCACACTGAATCCCTATATAGCGAGAACATGTCAAGCCCATACCCATGTTCATGGGTTTCATCAAAGTGATAAACTTTTGAGACCAACATCACTTCAGATTTTCCTACTAATGACCTGCTGTGATATAACTGGAATACTGTTCAAAGCAGCATTAAATCCTAACTCACTATCTATCACACCCCTTCAGTAATATTTCCAGTGAAATATGACATTTCCTTGCCTCTGTGAATGTGCACTGAAACTAATTTTGATTTACATTTTCACTCACAGTTTTTGTGAAACTGGATCCAAAGAGAGGTATTTTGTTGACCTGGTCATTTTGCTCTTGACCAGCATCATAGCATCTTAATCTTGACAATAGCATCGTTTACTGTTTCTTTATATCTCAATCATTTCCTTCATAGATATCATAATCAAAATACATCATGGTTTTTCGTAGACTATGTTCATCCATCACTTATGAATACTGTAGTAGTGACTTTCATGCAAATTAAAGGATGCTATAAGTATTTTAATTTAAGTCAAATAAACCATTCTCTGTACATGAACTTGTATGATAGTACCATTGCCTGATATGAAAGCTGTTTTGGCCTCAATGCTTATTGAACACAACCTGTGAAGATCCGGGTTAGAATTGATCTTCAGTAACCCATGACTGTCGTAACAGGCAGCTAATGGGATCAGGTGTTCCGGCTTGCTGGCTTTGTTGGGCACGTCATCGTATCCCAATTGCCTACACCGATGCTTATGATGTTGATCACTGGATTGTCTGTTCCAGACTCGATTATTTGTAGACAGCTGCCATATAGCTGGAATATTGCTGAGTGCGGCATTAAACAACAAACAATGCTTACTGAACAAGAAATATTGTCATTTGTGCTATGTACCATGAGAACTCATTGGTTTAGTCTTCCAGTTGGTTGAAACAGGCTGTTTGATTTGTTAACAGTGGCTGCTTTACTGATAAAGGAGTATGTATTTACAGGTGATGGAAGAACATAGTGCACCAATGATGTATTAATGATGGGATATCATATCAGTCTGCATATTAGTTGAAATGTCCTAGACATCATCTTTGTAGGACATCAGCATGAATGAAACGTAGCAAATAAATTTTGCTAATATTAGTCTCTTTCGTCAGGAATTGGGAAACTTAAACAAACTTCTATTTTAAATATACAAAACATTGTTCAACCAGTGTATAGTTCATTGTAAACAATGAGTAATAAATGAAAAATACATTTTGATAAATATGTCCTAACTTTAACCAATTCTCCTGTTCATACTAATCAAATCAGAATTAAAGCAACTTCACAACATTCAGTCAGATAAGTGCATGTGCACACATCTTTTACCCAAGTTTGAAGAAATATTTTCTTCTCTTGCATTTCTTTTTCCTTTCACTGAATATTGAGAGGTGTTGGGTTTTATGTCACAATCTTCAGACCAACAGTTCATTCAAGTTTTGTAAATGTTCTCTTCTTTTGGTGATGGAAGTCTTTATATCCTGATCGGGTTTTGAAATTTTAGTTTTCTTCTTTCCTTTTCACTTTGCATAGTCAATAGTGCAGAAGCTCTTGTTGCCTGATGGCTTTACAAAATACCATTTCCGTGGTATTGTAGATATCAGTTGTTATCCATGACAGCTCAGCACCATGGCCAATGGCATAATGTTGAACTATTACACCAAAGATGATTCAATTTGATGAGAGTCATATAAAATGATATATATAACCATCTGATAATTCTGTACACTGTAAACAGACAAAGGGTCAATAGAATGTCTAGTGAGTTTCGAGTGAAGAGATGTGAGTGGTATGGTGAAGTATGGATGTTTGTGGTTTAGTTCTGTGGTGTGAACTACAGCCATTATTACTCTCGGTTGGTAATTGCCCCTTTTGTTATCTTTTAGTAAACTGAAATATCATAGACTTGCTTCTAACAAGAACTTCAGCTCAGTCTTCCTGCTGATTAAAAAGTTCACTGACATGACCTCCCATGGAGGGTTTGAGTGGGAACAGAAAGTGTGGGAGCCAAATAGTTTCAGTCTATGGACTGTCATAATTCTAGTGATTTATGAGCTCCATTTGTTAATCAAAATCACAATGTAAATTCACTCTTTCATGATTACATATCTTTGTGATGAAATGTCCCAAAGAAGTGATAAAATAAGATTAAATTACTGCAGTAGTAATTACATAAAGTGTTATTCATATATATATTCACATAACAATGTTATGTTATTTAAGTGGCATGTTCCGGTACTTGGTTGGTTGGTTTGGATTTGGGATTTCCTTAGCTGTCCCTGTAATCATGAAGATCTAGACTTTAATGTGTGTTTTTGTTGATTTATATTTTGGTCCCAAAATGTATGGCTGAAAATATGAGCTTATATATGCAGACTGATGAATATACCTTACATATTATAAGTTCTGCTACAATTTGTGTTTGTATGAAGTAAACAAGAAAATACAATATCGTGATGGATACTTGATTAGGTGACATGTTGTGGGACAAATATTCTGAAATACTGAACAATATTACTACATCAGTTTGTTATGTAGTATACTGTTGTATGTCCCTGTCAGCTGTTTAGACTCTATGCGTTACCTTTTGCAGCTTCCATTCTGTTGCTTTATCAGCATTGTGAAGTTGTTATTTCTTGAATCTGAATAAAACCTAATAGGAGGTTATGCCCAAATACTTAAATACTTTTTAAAATAATTTCAATTTTTACTTATTCATAATGGGGAAACAGCTCTAAAATGTGACAGAAGGTAGTGATAGAGTTATCTTCCCCTGCTCTGTCTGACCTTGCCCTTCATAGCTCTGAGTGTGCCAGTCTGTTCTTTGACAGTTCCTCATTTCCGCTATTCTGGCAACAAACACATCCCCGGCAACCTCCCCTTCAGTCTGGAGGGGCTGTGTCCGCACCATGAACAAACTTTCGCAGCCCAGTACGTTGCACATCAGTTGCAAGGGACAGGAGGTAAACCATTTTGTCCCTCACCAATTAACCACAGTTTGTTTGAGAAAGTGGGCTGTTGGTTTGTGTGAACTTCACATATTTTTGTTGCACCTTTGGTAATGGTTGTTCCGTCTGGTGCAGGGTTAGTTATGTATGTAATTGATGTTTGTCAGTGATGTGTTTTATGTTATTTTTATTAAATATTACTTTTTTCGTTGTTTTTTCTTTGGAGAGCTCTTTGTTTGAGGGGGCAGTGTGTTATGGGCCTTTTTTGCACCATAGATCTGAATAATATAAGAATTATGTAAAATATTTACAAAAATATATATTTTTCCTTATCAATATCAATTTTACATAAAAAACTACATTTTCCAGGAAATCTTTGTCAAATATTTGAACACAGACAGTCCTTGATTTCGGAAGGAAATGTAGGACAGGGCAAATACAGTTGTCCTGAGTTTATGTATTTGCTCAATGTTGTTCTGTTAAAGTTTGAAAGATCATTCCTTTTTTTGGTCATTTTAGCCGTATTTCTGTACTTAACATAAAATATTAAGTGCATATTTTGCCAATGGAACACTAATAAGCTCCATGAACGTGGCCAATATGTTTCATCTGTAAAACTGTCAACAATTACCTAAAGTTAAAGAACTGATATCTCAAATGGTATAAAAGGGGCCCTCATTATCATACCTCAACCTTTTTCAAATGATGCCAAAAATAATAATTCATTCAACTTTAATAAACTGTAAAATTTTGTTTGTTATATTTGGTCCAGAGTGATGAAATCACTGAACTATCACAAAAATTCTATTCAAATCATTTAATATTCCATCACTTGATGCATTTTTAACATACAAGTCAATTTTGAACCCTGTTAATGATGTGATGTTCAAACAAGCACTGATCACTTCTTGTCCAGCACAGCACTTACGTTTATATCAGAGGCTTATGGTTTTGGAATGGTGTAGGGAGCTTTGGTGTCATGTTAGGCTTGCACGCTTTGCCTGCTTGAGTTTTTCATGTTTTTTGTAGTTTAAGTAGTAGTTTATCTAACATTGGTTGGTCATTATTTTTAGATATATACTTAGTACTGATTTAGATGAAACATTGTACTTTTATTTGTATTATTTTTCCTTGTTTAAATTGTTTTGCAGGCCATGTGTTGTTGTTTTGGGTTTGTTTTGCTTCTCTTTTGGTTTCAACGGGTTCCTACAGTTGTTCATTTTGTTTGTTAATGATTTTATTGTTGTAATAGATCATGGTGGAGAGTTATTTTATCACATGTTTTAGATAAATGCATTTGTATATTTTTGAATTTTGAATTTTGTTTCATTTTCATTGCACAATAATATAATCTCTTAAGTATGATCATAGTCATATAAAAAGAACTAACATTTTGTTTTCTAGGATATTCTGATTGTTTATGATTCTGATTTATAAAAAAAACTACACCAGTTTGCTGCATGTCATGTTTGCATTAAGCAAAAAGAAAAAAATAAGTTTTTGAACCTTATGTGAAAGAATGTTGACCTTTAATATCTTGTGCTCCAGAATTTCCTATTCATCCTTTGCAGAAAATAAATACTTTTTGAAAGAACAAATGCAGTTCATCTCTCTGCCCCATCAGTGATTCAACAAAATATTTTAGATTACTTGAAATTCAGAATTTTAAAACTTGCAATGATTTTGTTCACAATGGCAGTGAAAATTGAAAGTGTGTGAGCTTTTATTAAACTGAGAAGATGTCCATTATCCAGCTTCATGCAACATGAACAGAAATGTGACACACATTAGTGCCCTGGTCCAATGCTGTGTACTGAATAGACCGTAATAACAGAAAACAAATAAAATTAAAATAAGGAGCAAACTGTTACATTATAAATGGAATCTCTACACAATTATAATACATGTATTAGGTCAGCTTTCTTTCACATACTATTAGTTATGTTTTTTATTGGGTTTTTTTTTTTCATTGCTATCCACAATTTCACATATAGCTCACGACGGGGTGAAAAAAGACCTTCGAGGTGGTAAACTTAGGAAAATCAGGGATAAGCAACAGCAAGATAAGGACCTGGCACCTTCATCTGAACCTCCGTCAGGTAGCCTTGACCTCTTGACCTTGACCCTCATCCTTGACCTGTCAATGTGGATCTAGGGTTTCACCTTTGTAAACCCCTTTACCTCAATTAAATTTTGTTGTATCTGTGACTAGAAATTGTTTTTAAATGATTTCTTGTCATAACTTAGCTGTTCTGAGTAGTAATAATGATCTGTCACTTGTGTAACTCTGTCAGAGTTTTTTAACCTTTTGTGTGAGCTGTTCCTTAAAGATTTCAATATAGAGACAATCAATTGCTTATTGAGACAACCTTTATGCCTATTACTTGGATCATAGGTTTTTGTTGCTGGCTTCCTGCAATGAGAAAATTATTTCAGTAATTTTGTAAGTTAAAATTGAGTAGAAGTTTTGTGAGGAATGTTTCTTTGACTTTTTATAGTTGACTAGTCTGTTCTATGTATTTATAAAAAGCAAAACAAAACAGCATATTTCATGTCATTCCTCTGAAAATTTGCAATAAAAATCCTCATGTATTTATGCAATATTGATTGGGAATTAACTTTTCATGTCAACATTATATAAACATTTAATTCTGTGGGGCTGTTCAGTCCCTATCCATGATCCAAGTAATGAACTGTTAATACTGGATAGATACCCACGTGGTATTGACATCTGAAATGTTTTTCTTTATGTTTGTCATTTTTGTGTGTTGGATCTATAAATTCCTCAATTAATTCCCCTGACGTTGTCAATATAGGTGGATATCTAGTCAGTAGCTAACAAGCTGTTAGGGCTTATAACATTACATCTTCTTACCTTAACCAGTGCTTCATTCGTGCACACCAAAACCTTGTTAATCCAGACAGTTAACTTCCAGAACAGAGTGTCAGCGAACTTGATTCTGTCAAACAGTTTAAGTTATGGGATTATGGACTTTTACACAAAGTGCTCCCTATTTTATGACACGAGGAAGGTAGGAATCAATGGACTATATATATGACAATGTACTTTTAGTACATTGTAAATGTGTCTATTTCCTGTAGTAAGATTGTAGTGGAAGATTTTTAGGGATGTAAATATAGCTTTTAATTCCACAATTTTATTCTTAAGGTGTTCCATAAGTTTCAACATCTGCCATGATAAAACAATTTCTTCAAGATCAGTAAATAATGTTATGTTTTATTCTCCTTACCTTTACTCTCAAAACAAGTATCAATTGGTTGAAACCAATATGATTTAGAGCTGTATTTGTACTAGGTCTGGATTAACAAGGTTTGGTCTATGTGGTATTTGGGATCTAGCTTGTTTGTGAAGTATTCTACACTTAAATTAAACTGTTTTCTTGGCTATTTGTGCTATAATTTTAGCCTTATCTCATAAAATCATTCAGTGTACATTAACACACACATATATCGTAGAAAAGTCTACAGCCTAACATGTCCACTTCTGATAGTATCATAAGAAAGTTATCAATGCTACTCTTTCTTCTTGCAAAAGCTAACTAATAATGACAATGTCTAATATCTAACTATTTCACCTTTACTCAGAGTAGATGGGTTTGGTGACAATCACACTAGCAAAATACATTGAACTGCCTTAAACATTGGAAAAATGGCTTGGAATATGATCTAATCTCTAGTCTTCTAACACAAGAAAGTATTTTAGTGTAAAACAGACAAATAAGATAGTATCACTTGTGTTGAAAATGTCATCTGAATGATGACTTGGTAAGTCTATAGACTGTACCAACCCTGTGATTCCTTTTTTAATTGAGTTATATGCAGTTTATCAACAGCATCATATATATTCATAGACAAATACGACAACCACCATCAACCTAAAAGTATGAAGGCGAGGGGAAATGGGATTTGACGTCATGGTCAACGTTATTGTACTTACCAGCATACAGCAATGTGCAGGCAAATAATATTACTCATCAATACAAAATTATGGTTTTATCTGTTATCTTTTCGGGGTGTTTTAAGTCCTCAAATAACACCTGCTCAGAGAGAGATTGTAAAATATCTAAATTGTGTCAATGTTTTCATGGAAATATTATGAACATGTTTCATGTATTGTTTCAATGTGAATATGTTTTCAAAATTGGTAATTTCTTATCTGCTATCTTCAAACAAATGCAGCTTTGAGGATGGCCATTTTGAAAAAATATGAATATTAATATTCCTGTTGCTTGCCTCTAATTAATGCTGGTTTTATGTAATAGTTCCAGTGACTTTTATGTGTGTGATTTAGAAATCATTTGTAGCACTTTTGTTTGAATTTTATAATATTTTATAAGTAATATCTTAATACTTGTAATTCATTATTTACTGAAAAAGATATGTCATTTTGTTTTGAGATGGCAGAATTGATTACCCGTGAATACACTGTGTTTGTAGATGTTTCTCTCATTTATTAGATGTACAAGGTGATTCATAAGTAATTATGTGTATTAAAATTGTTAACAATATTTACACTATTTGTGTTTAATATACACAAGGGATTTTCTGCCTCTATCATTTCATGACTAATTTTTCAATCCATCAAAACTGAAATGTTTTTAAGTCTTATCCTTTTATAAGGTTGGAACAAGAATATCACTTTGGAATGCATTTCAAAGTTTGTAGTTCCCTCTTCACAAAAAATTATAATTTAAACATAAAATTGGAATGTGTTCATTGTGCAGAAGATCTCAGCGTTTTGTTTGTCGCACATTTTGTTGTTGCAGCTGTGTTTTGTTTTACACTGTTCTAGGCAATTCCTACTTTAAGATTTGGAAGTTATTCTCTCGGCGGAGTACAGATGAGCGTAAGACTTACACCAAATTCCTGGCCCATCTCCCAGACTAACAAAAATACTATTCTCCTACTAACCCATGTCAGCTTATTGAAAGTAGTACCGGTATATAATGGTCAAAATATAATGGATGTTCATTTTTCAGATTGAATGTTATTTCTTTAGTTTGAATGGTAGAATGTTTTACTTTGTTTTAGGATGATTATTTTCAATGAATTATCATTATTAATTTAAAGCTTAGTATTTTAGTCTCAACATCTTTTCTAATATTTCCTCTAAATGTGTTATATTTCTTAATCGACTTCAGTAATAAATGTTGTAACTTTTATAGATGTGATGACTAACTTTCAAACAAGTTGATTATGGTTGTGTATGTTGGAGAAGTGATGAGGAAGATAATTTTACTTCTTTATCATGAAAAAAGGTTCATACAGTCACAGACAGGTATTTGAACTAAAACAACGTGAAATTTATGGGGTTATGATTATATATTTTCTGCAAAGATAATACTCATCTGGAGTTCTGGAGATATTTTCAGCAATAAAATATTGAGGGCTTGGCACTTACATTTCAATTCCAATCAGTAATCACAATTGTCCAACGTAATGTGTACACATTCATTTATGGTCAGTGCCAAAAACTACCAGCTCAAATTTGTCAGTTTACATTCTTCAATAGATGTGAATATATGGATATATTTACTAAGCTTATTATAAGACTGTAAGAAGTTTTCCTAGATCTTGGATTTCGATAAGTACCACAACATACAGACCACGTTAATAACAGCTGCAGAGTGTCATTAATGTTACATGTGCATAGAAAAATGTGGGTGACATTTTCAATTCATTGTAACAAGATATAGGAGTGTATTGATGTAGCACTGAGTGTGTAGATGCTGATGTTGTACATGTTACAGCTGAGGTGACTGTGGAGGACTACCTCAAGTCCCGCCAGAGTAACGTACCCCCGCTGGACAGGCGGCAGATGCCACGCCACCTGGTGGAGGTTTCAGCAGCACAGCAACGACAACAGGATATGCTACAGAAGGTGGGTGTTAGTCTCGTCTGAGGTCAACACATCCACAATTTTCCAACATAGCCAGTCTCCATTTTATAATGATAGATGACGGATTTATCTACACTAAACTACAACTAAACTCTTAATGCATTTCAAAGAACTCATAGACTAAACTTGTTCATGTAATGTAGTTTATCTTATGCTATGGCTATATAGGGTGGTACACATGATGACACTAGTAACATGCCCAGTAAAGAGGACCCATGAAGATCCAGGTTAGAATTGATCTTCAGTAACTCATGCTTGTCGTAAGAGGCGACTAACAGGATCGGGTGGTCAGGCTCACTGACTTGGTTGAGACATGTCATTGTATCCCAATTGCGTAGATCGATGCTCATGCTGTTGATCACAAGATTGTCTGGTCAAGACCTGATTTTATTTACAGGCCGCCGCCGCCATATAGCTGCTGAGTGTGGTGTAAAACTGAACTCACTCACTCCAGTAAAGAGGGAAAATGTATAATGCTTACTATTACATTTTTGCACATAATGCTATGTTGCATTTCAGAAAATATGTGCCTTAACAAAATAATGGTATGTTCCCAATTTGCATATGAAGAATACTTAGTTTGGTTTGTTTGTTTGTTGTTTATTATTTAATGCCACACTCAGCAATATTCCAGCTATATGATGGCAGTAAACTTAGTTTGGAATTCTGGGTAGATCCTGGTTTGCAAATACCCCCATTTGTTTTGAAAGTGACATGAACCTTTTCTCCCAAAATGTTTTAGGTAGATAAGAGTAATCTCATCAAACAGCATCCGAACCCTTTTGATGAGAAGCACACTGATGGCAGAAAAGGTGAGAGACATTTGCAACAGACAGACAGACAGACGTTTATGTGTGCATGTGGACCATCAGGAACCAAAAGCCACAACCAGACATCCATTGAGAAAAGTTGCAATATTTCTTCCCTTTAACACAGTTTGAGAAGGATAAGAAAAAACAATGCAACAAAACGCATGCAACAAATCTTCTGATAATTAATCAGGCCTCTGTGAGTGTCTGAGGAACTGACCTGTTGATATTGTCTACAGACAGGTATTCACATATATATATACACAGGAGAATACAGGACAGTACAAGTTCTCATGATAATATCTTTGTCCACATGGGTGTTCACATGCCAATACAGGTGTTTACATGCCAATACAGGTGTTAACTTGCCAGTATAGGTGTGAACATGCCACTATATGTGTCCACATGGCAATACAGGTGTTCACATGCCAATACAGGTGTTTACATGCCAATACAGGTGTTAACTTGCCAGTATAGGTGTGAACATGCCACTATATGTGTCCACATGGCAATACAGGTGTTCACATGCCATACAGGTGTTCACATGCCAATACAATTGTTTACTTGCCAGTATAAGGTGTTAATGTGCCAAGATAGGTGTTCACATGCCTGTAAAGGTGTTAATATGCCAATACAGATGTCTGCATGCCAGTATAGGTGCTAACATGCCAATAAAGGTGTTAAAATGTCAGTACAGGTGTTCACATGTCAGTTTTGGTGTTAACATTATGCAAGAATAGGCGTTAACATTCCAGTACAGGTGTTCACATGCCAATACATGTGTTCACATGGCAGTATAGGTGTTAACATGCCAGTATATGTCTTCATATGATAGGTGTATGCGGTTGCTTCCTAGGTGATCGACCACGAGCTCGCATCCCGTCAGCAACGTTTGTCAACTACGACACATACCAAGACGACAGAGAGGATGTAGATACAGAAGGTATACATAGTTTTTGCAGCTGTATTAATCTAGAAGATATCTGTTAGGTACATGATACCCCAGTCATTTTGAAAATTGCCTGTCAGCAGACAAGTGACAATTATTAGCATAATTTCTGCACTGACTGCAATGATGAACTCAGAAGTGCTAAATCTGTGTGGAACAAACACAAAGGCACATGAACCAGCTAACAGATTAATGAACTAATGAAAGAAAGAAAGGTTAGGGATTCTGGCTTAGAATTGATCAGCAGCTATAATCTGTTTGCAGTGAAAACGTACCGATTAATTTCACTTTAAACAAAAAGGTAAATCAAATAATGTGAAATTAAGATTGCGAATCCTCATAACTTTACCTTGCCAATTGAACATTAAAATCTCAGAATTTTATTCAACTTACAATAAAAGTTGTTTAACAAATCATGTGGCTGTAATAATGATAATAATAATGCATTTCTGTCGCTCCTAAAATCCATCAGTATGGTGCTCAGTGGTGCTGTACAGAGTTAAAACATGTAAAAACAGAAACACAAGAAGGTAGTCAGTTTGGGTATGCTTGAAGAAAGCGATACGTCTTTAGAGCTGATTTGAAGTTTGTTGTTTCCATTGGTGATATGAGAGACAGGGAAAGACTGTTCCAGAGGAGGGAAGCTGCAGAAGAGAAAGCTCCGTCACCCATGCTTGTTTTGCTGAGAGCTAATGTTAGAGTTACACAACAAACTAACCTCCTGCTGCTGCTATGCCTGTTTATTAAACTCAAGCACATACGTTCAATCAAGATGCTGTTCCATATTAGGTTAACTTGTTCAACTGCAATCCTCTTCTTGACTCTTGTGAATGTTCTAGGTTAAAGTGATGTTCTATAATTAATAATATTATTGATTCCAGGATCATTCGATCATAGCAGGAGAAGTGGATCGCTTCGAGGGCAACGGGACAAAAATGGTCGCAAAAGCAGGATGGGTAAGGACAAATAGTTCTCTGTCAATCATAACTGGTCAGGTGGTCAGGCTTGCAGACTTGGTTGACACATGTCATCGTATCCCGATTGTGTAGATTGATGCTCATGCTGTTGATCACTGATTTTTCTGGTCCAAACTTGATTATTTACAGACTGCCACCATATAGTTGGAATATTGCTGTGTGCGGTGTAGAACAACAAACCAAACCAAATCTTAAATCAAAGTAACTGTTAAATTGTCAATAATTTGGAAACACAGAGGATGTATTGAAAATTTAGTGTTGTACTGTCTTGTGCTAATGTTCTCTCATTGAAACTGGATGCTAATGATTGATTGCTATTTTTTAGCATAGAATAAATGCACTTTCCAATTTATTAATAAGGTATGCATGAGGAGGAGGAGTCCCAAGTTCCACGAGCTCTCAGCACTAATGATGTACTCGACCTCACAACAACCTATGTGCGTCAGCAGCCCCGTGTACAGTCTGCCCATGCCAACGAAGAGATGAACAACGCCATGAACAGCATCCGTGAACTGAAACAGTCCCTGGCGACAACAGCTGGACAGAGCAGTCTCAGCCCCACTACAGGGTAAGTGAGAGTGATAGTGGGATAGGATCAGGGTGTGAGATGACTGTTAAGGTCAGGATTTCAGATTGAAGTTTGTGCTGATGATAATCAGTAATTGATAAATTTCTCTTGTTGACAGGACCCGTGAAGATCCAGGTTAGAATTGATCTTCAGTAAACCCATGCTTGTCGCAAGAGGCGACTAACAGGATTGGGTGGTCAGGTTTGCTGACTTGGTTGACACATATCATCGTATCCCAATTAATGAGATTGATGCTGGTCTGGTCCAGACTCGTCGATTATTTACAGACTGCCACCATGTGGCTGGAATATTGCCGAGTGTGGCATAAAACTAAACTCACTCACTCTTATCTATGGTATATTTGGGATTACAATTTTTCAGTAAAGTACAGATTCTAGAGCTTTTCGGGTTGAGTCCTATCCGAGAATCGATCCCACACCCTCAGAGTCAGGCACCTAATCGCCAGCACACAAAGTCAGCCACCTAACCCGCTCAGCCACCACGGTCTCTACAAAAGATCTCGATAGAGTATTAGGTATTCTTTTATAAAACTGTGCACAAACAAAAACAAGATTGTCAACTGCTGCCTTTTGCTGTCAGGGACTCTTAAGATTTGTATTTTTACCTTTGACTTTGATATTGTTGTGTACCTGACATAGAAGTACAAGGACATGAATCTCCATTCCAGGTTATTGTTTTGACAGCTCTATAACTACTCTTGTATATGGACGAATGATTTGTTCTTTCAAATTTGTGGGTGCCAGGGGATTTGTCATCTTCTGATGACTCTTGTTTCTTCTTGAAGAACCTACATCCGAAAACTGCTGAAGGAGACGAGTGAGGAGATTGACAGCCTGACGTCAGAGCTACAGGGAGATATAGAGGTGAGTCACTGACCTCAGAGCTACAGGGAGATATAGAGGTGAGTCACTGACCTCAGAGCTACAGGGAGATATGGAGGTGAGTCACTGACCTCAGAGCTACAGGGAGATATGGAGGTGAGTCACTGACCTCAGAGCTTCTGGGAGATACAGAGATGAGTCACTGATCTGAGAGCTATAGGGAGATGTAGAGGTGAGTCACTGACCTCAGAGACTCAGATATGAGTAACTGACACCAGAGTTTCAGTGAGAAACAGAAGCGACTTACTGATCTTGGAGCTAAACCGACACAAGGTAAGTGAGTCACTGACACCTGAGCTACAGGGTGAGATAGAGATGAGACTGACCTCGGAGTTACAGGGAAAGATGGTTGTGAGATGGTGATGGTGCTCTACCTTTTTCAGAAAGAAAGAAAGCTAACCAAAGAAATTCAACATGATAGAATAGACGGGAAAAGAAAGAACCGAGATGACCATCGACATCCGGAAGCCGAACAGAGGGAAGTAACTCTAGGACCAAAGTCCAATACTGCTCGCAGGAACAAGAAATCTGAGGTTGAAGTTAAGCAACAGAAACTCTACCAGCTGGAGTATGACAACCATGTCACAGTGACCTCTGCACCACAGCTGACCCGGGACGACAGTGGCGCCAGCAGTCGGGAGGAGAGACCATGCTCTGAGGTGGGGCATGTTACCTTGGTAACAGTCAGGGGCGGATCCAGGATATTGGGGAAAGGGGGTGCACATAAATCATGAAGTCCAAAGGTTAGGGGGAAATGCTCCTCAGGGAAATTGTTTGGGGGGGGTGTGCACCCCCGCTAACCCCCTCTGGATCCACCCCTGAACAGTGACACTTTTTCCAAACCTCAAATATGAAACCTTACAATTAGGCATAGCCCCTAAAAAACATTTATGCTTCAATACTTACTTAACATAATTTAATAGAGTTTTCAGTGATGTTTGTTAGGATGCCATGTTTGAAGTAACCTTGCAGTTTTTGAATTCATGGTTTTCTTTCATTTTGTGCCTCCGTTCTCGCAGGCTGCTTCTCGGGGAAGGTCAGCCCGATCTAATCGGCAGGTTATTGGTAAGACCCACGTATCGTGTACCCTGCACTGCTTGCGTGTATCATTCACCTGTGTGTTGTATTGGGGACATAATACACTCTCAACAGTACACAGTGTATCCAGCCAGTTGTACACCTTGATAACTTTGACTATACTCTCAGCACATATATAATCTCAGTAGGTATGTTGGTCTGTTGTCCAGTGTTTGTCAGGTTAGACAGCAACTACTTCTAGATCAGAGTTTAAATGAATCCCATTCTATTTATCAAAATGTATGTATGTATGGTAAAAAAACACCCTTCGGAGCCTTTTCTTTGGCCTCAAAGGAAGGTTTGGACCATGAATATGCATAACATTTTGGTAAAAGATCCTGTGATCGAATTGAGACCTGTTTTTGAAATGATGCCAACACAGAATGTCTCCACAATCATCAATTTTCCTGTGTATTACATCCCTGTTCCTTTGTGATAGACACTTTTACCCATGAAATCAACAACCAATCAGACCAACTTCTGAGAAAGAGTTTGGCATTATTTTTCTTACTTTAAGGTTTTTACCCTGTACATAATTCAACCCATAATGCATTTGCTCAAATTAGATGACTGCCATGCATGATATATCAACCAGCAAAAGTCTTATGCTAACAGGTGTTCCCTGTTGTTTTGGACATTGTACATATTATCAGTGTTAGGCTGACTGACTGACTGAGTTTAGTTTTACGCCGCTTTTAGCAATATTCCAGCAATATCACGGCGGGGGACACCAGAAATGGGCTTAACACATTGTGCCGATGTGGGGAATCAAACCCGGTCTTCGGCGTGACAAGCCAACGCTTTAACTACTAAGCTAACCCACCGCCCCCACTGTTAGGATTCAATCACATATTTAATGAATCGAAACGTATCCCTTCATGAATTCAATCCAGTATTCATGATCACTAATACCAAATATTCACAAACTTATTTAAAATTGAGTTTTTTTCACTTGAAGTTGGGTTTATGATGAAAACAAGATTTGCAAAATGGAATATCCAAGCCAGGCAGGATAATAGTCATATTTACATATTTAAATTGACAGTAATGTAGTCACTAATCACTGTCGTGATAAATAGAATATGTTTTATTGTTTCACTGAATACAAAAATTATGCATCAACTTTGTATTCGTTACCCAGTATTTGTGATATGTATTGTATTCAGCCCTAGTACACATCTGCTAAGTTGAATAGGGACGGTGGGGTAGCCCAGTGGTTAAAGCGTTTGCTTGTCACGCCGTGGACCTGGGTTCGATTCACCACATGGGCATAATGTGTGAAGCCCATTTCTGGTGTCCACTGTTGTGATATTGCTGAAATATTGCTAAAAGCGGCGTTAAACTATACTTACTCACGAAGTTGAATACCAATAACACAACATGGTTACGGTGACTTGGTTGACGTTGTAGTCTTCCTCTGGTGGAGTGGGTTGTTGTTCATGCTGTGGACCACTTGTCTGTCTGGTGAAGACTCACAGTTTTCAGGCTGCTATTCAAATATTATTATTGACTGCTTGTGTGTGGGGTCACCTCGGTGTCAGAACTGTGTTGGGGAGATGCACTGTGTGTGATGTGGCGTGGAGTGACAAAAGCATTTATTTAACACCAGCTTGATTGTATACCTGCATCAAGGTTAAGCACCACCCCCTCGTCTAATATTTAACAACACAAACTTTGGAATTGGAGAAAAATATCCTTGCATCAACATATCCTGAAAATAATTCATTACAATTATATTCCCTTAAGACATGAGCAGCATTGAGCCATAAATTGTTCCAAATTAATATAGTTATCAATATTACCAACCAAATTTCACCACTTGGAGCATTAGCATTTTAAAAATTCGGCTAAATATTTTCTTCATACTTTACTGAGCAATGACAAATAATTCATTACACAAAATGAAAGCATGTATATTTAACTTGTTTTTGATTAGTTTGTAGAACCAATTTGATAATTTTGATGTTGGATATATTTTTTAAGATCAGAGGTTTACTTTGATATAACGTGAAGCAGATTTACAAACTGCCAACACATAGGCGGATCCAGAAGGGGGGGGGGGGGATTTGTGCTGAAAGTTTGTTAAATGACCATTGAAATTCGGTTGAAAATGAAGTGTGCACCCCGCCTTTTCTCAACAGTGTGCACCCCCCTTTATCAAAAAGCTGTATCTGCCCCTGCAACAGAACTTAAATTTACTTGCTCATACTGTCAGAACAATGAAGATATGTTTTCTATTTATGGATAAACATTTGATGTTCAAAATTTTGAACTATCTTCCTAATTGTTTTGATATGTGCATGTTACATTTATCTGATTTAAAGATGAGATAAGAACATTGTGTGTTCCTCCAGATGCTCGCAAATACAGGGTCGAATCATATGATGGAACTAGGAGTGAGTGTGAATGAGTTTAGCTTTACGTCACTTTTAGCAAACTTCCAGCAATATCACGGCGGGGGACACCAGAAATGTGCTTCTCACTTTGTACCCATGTAGGGAATCAAACCCAAATCTTTTGCGTGGTGAGCGAATGCTTTAATAACTAGGCTACCCCTTACCACAAAGGAGAGAAAGCAAGTGAAAGGGTTGTCAAATATTTATTGTTGTGGAACAGTCACAAAACTAATTTTAAGATACTCCATTTTAGATTTGTTTATTTGAATACAGGTACATCACTTTGTGCACAAAGTCAATGTATTTTGTAAGAAAATTAAGACAAGATGTCTTTTGTGCTATTTTCTAAAAGATTATTTTATTAGAATGATATAAAATCAGGGGTGCTTAACCTTTTTCTCAGGTGTATTTGTGTGCAGCTGACACACCATAAAATGTGAATGTTATGCATGAAATATTCTCTTTCATAAAATATTCTGATTAATTTGATTTAGCTTATTGTTTCTGATGTAAAGTATTCATGAACATATTTCAGTGTATGTTTGTCTTTGGAAGATATCTCTGGTGTTTGGATTGCAGTGAATGTAACCTTGGTGAAACTAATACAATAATTTGATGTGAATCATCTGAATAACAGCATGGCATTGGTGCTCCTAAGTCAGATAACAGGGTTAGACAGTGTGTGCTGGGGTACTGGGAATCAACATAACTTCCATGGTTTAGTGAGTCCCTTATGTTGTAGTTCATCAGGTTTAATGAACTTTCTATGTTGTTTGTCATTGTCAGGTTTAATGATCCCCTTGTGTTGTGTGTTATCCATGTAAGGTTTAATGATCCCCTTGTGTTGTGTGTTATCCATGTAAGGTTTAATGACCCCTTATGTTGTGTGTTATCCGCTTGAGGTTTAATGATCCCCCCTTATGTTGTGTGTTATCCTCTTCAGGTTTAATGGTCCCCCTGATCTTGTGTGTTATCCTTGTAAGGTTTAATGATCCCCTTATGTTGTGTGTTATCCTTGTAAGGTTTAATGATCCCCTTATGTTGTGTGTTATCCTTGTAAGGTTTAATGATCCCCTTATGTTGTGCATTATCCTTGTAAGGTTTAATGATCCCCTTATGTTGTGTGTTATCCATGTAAGGTTTAATGACCCCTTATGTTGTGTGTTATCCGCTTGAGGTTTAATGATCCCCCCTTATGTTGTGTGTTATCCTCTTCAGGTTTAATGGTCCCCCTCATCTTGTGTGTTATCCGCATGAGGTTTAATGATCCCCTTATGTTGTGTGTTATCCATGTAAGGTTTAATGACCCCCTTATGTTGTGTTATCCGCTTGAGGTTTAATGATCCCCCCTTATGTTGTGTTATCCTCTTCAGGTTTAATGGTCCCCCTCGTCTTGTGTGTTATCCTCGTAAGGTTTAATGATCCCCTTATGTTGTGTGTTATCCTTGTAAGGTTTAATGATCCCCTTATGTTGTGCATTATCCTTGTAAGGTTTAATGATCCCCTTATGTTGTGTGTTATCCATGTAAGGTTTAATGACCCCCTTATGTTGTGTGTTATCCCATGAGGTTTAATGATCCCCCCTCATGTTGTGTGTTATCCTCATCAGGTTTAATGGTCCCCTCATCTTGTGTGTTATCCTCGTAAGGTTTAATGATCCCCTTATGTTGTGTGTTATCCTTGTAAGGTTTAATGATCCCCTTATGTTGTGTGTTATCCATGTAAGGTGTAATGAACCCCTTATGTTGTGTGTTATCCGCATGAGGTTTAATGATCCCCCTCATGTTGTGCATTATCCTTGTAAGGTTTAATGATCCCCTTATGTTGTGTGTTATCCTTGTCAGGTTCAATGATCCCCTTATGTTGTGTGTCATCACTGTTATATCCAAAATCATGAAAACATTTGAAGAATATTCTTGTCAAAAACTGCTCTGCCCATAAGAGCCCATAATGAAGACCGCAGTGAATGTGTTCATGCATGAATAATGTTGTTGGGATGTTCTTGATAGTGGGTTTGTGTAATTATGGCCGATGGTCAGGCCCTGACAGTGTGGACCTTAACTGATACTATCAACCATTGTGTTGCATGACCGAAACTGACGTATGAAGATCCGGGTTAGAATTGGTTTTCAGTAATCCATGTTTGTCACAAGAGGCGACCAACAGGATCGAGTGGTCAGGCTCGCTGACTTGGTTGACAAGTCAATGTATCCTAATTGCGTAGATCGATGCTCATGCTGTTGATCATTGGATTGTGGGCCAGACTTGGTTATCTACAGACGGCCACCATTATAGCTGCAATATTGCTGAGTGTGGTGTAAAACTAAACTCACTCACATGTTTAAAACTAGATTATGGGGTCATTTTGTTTTTTCAGAAGCGGTGCCAACGAAAATCTCCTTGATGATCAGTTCTGATCATCAGGACATTGACCAGCTGACCAGTGGCCGGCAATGGCTGCCAATGTACAAGACAGTACGTCCACCCTATCTGCGACCTTGCAATGGCAAGAGGAAATAGCCACTGCTCAACATTAAGAGTAATATCATCATGAACTGTGATACCATTCCCTGGAAGAATAGCAATTCATTATTCAAATTGTTGTGTCCTTTCAGATGGAAAATATATCAACATCATTATAAGATTAAATTAAAAAACTAAGAATTTTGTTAAGTGTTTTTATTCATTTATTGAATTTATGAAACAGATTATATTTGTATTTATGTCTACATTTTCAATATTAATTTTGATTTGTTAGTGAATCTTACTGTTTTCAGATGAAAACCTATTACAATGGTTTCTGTTTGATACAATGTTTGTGACTGATAAAGACAAATTTACTTATTCAAATTTTATGAATGATGCCCAAGTAGATGTTTTGTTCATAGAGGTGTAAGTCATATCCTAGAGGTTAATTTAAACTTGAAGGAAGTGTCTTTGCAAAACATAACTGAATAATCACATAAAAAAATCATTTCATTATTGATAAGCACAATTTCTAGCAGAGACACTTTTCACAATGCATACTTTAATATGTTGAATGTCCTAAAATTCTCTTGGCAATACAGTGAGGTACAAGACAATTGTATTTTCCAATAGTTTAAAAGTGAACTTTCATTGCTTACAGATACAAAACTGTAATTGGTAGAAATTAAAAGTGATACAAATATTCATATGTGACATTACATTGTTTCGTTGACAATCAGTATTTAATTATATTCCTAGCAAGCCCAGGATAATAATCATGTCATCTCATAACTTTATTCTCAAGTTGTGTCTCAGAAGGCAATGTTGTCTCATGTCACATGTATTTCATAAATACTGCCAAAAGTAATCATAATTTGGAGGTACTCAACTTGCTTCTCTGAATATAAATGCTCAGTTTATGAATGAAGTTATCAATTATTAATAAGGCCATTAATTGAGTACATTTTCATCCAAATTTATCAACATTGAGGAAGAATCATTTGAAGTTTTTCACCTGTTAGTGTATATGCTTCTCCTAGAGCATGTTGCGTAACTATGCTTGTATGTATTTCATCAAGTACAAGAAAAAGGGATCAAATTGATTTTCTTCATCTGTTGGTGGCATGGGTGGGGGCTGTCAATCAGGTCATTAATGTATCGTGGCCTTATTGTGACATTTTCATTCTAATGCATTAATTTCTGCACCAATATCTGTGATATGAGTTGAGTATGTTGTCATATTCCGTCCCTCCTACGCAATGTGCTCAGTGTCTCCCTTTTCTCAGGACAATTACACGACAATACCATTGACAACTAACACGAGCTGGATTCACTTTACAAACTAGTGGCCAGTCAATAATTTCAAGGCCACAGCAATTTAACGACTTGTTTTACACATCTACCATCGCTTAACCACCTTTCCCCACCCTTGAAGGAGATTTGAGAAATAAACTTGTTAATCTTGTATTTCAACATTAAAAGTGACACTGTATTATTCTCTTGTTCACTCCAGCAGTCCTTTACCACCAAAACTTCAAAAGGTGTACGTGTACATAAGAATACAATAGGCACAACTCAGTGATTATAGTTATAGGTGAACTCATGTCAGAGACAATATGGTAAGTATACATTGTTGCCCTCACTGATTGATCTGACATTAAGGTCGGATGTGTGAAACACCTCAGAAGTCAAACTATTTCAAAGGACAACAGGAGTCTGAGATAGCAGGGATTCAACTGTCAGGATGGATTTTTAAAGTATATAGAGTTTGGATAAGGCCTGTAAAAGAAGTAATTCAGATGATCTGGACTGATCAGATGTCTTTTTACCTTCAATGTACTCTTCTTAAATGTGGTTTAACTCTTTGTTTGTATAATGTAGTAACTATGCACATTGTACCATATGTTCAATACTGCTGATACCTGTACATACCTGTTATAATAAATACTCCTGTAATTAACACTGTTGTTGTCTCCTGTATTGACCATCATTTATGCATTATCAAGGAACTGCATGGTAATACCAGGAGTATCCGGATTAGAATTATCTTTAGCAACCCATGCTTGCCGTTAAAGGTGACTAATACGGTAGGATCGGGAGGTCAGACTCACTGACTTGGTAAACATGTTATCGTATTCAATCTGCGTAGATCGATGCTAATGATGTTGATCACCTTTTGTCTAGTCTCAATACAAAACACCATCATATAGCTGGAATATTACTGTGTGCGGCATTAAACAACGAACAAAAATGTTCAACATTTAAATATTGTGTCCCCTTTGTCAGCAACACATGCACTGCTCACCAGTCCCGTCCTCCCAAGGAGGACAAGCTTTTATGAAAGTCTTCTCATAACTTCTTTGCAAATGCAAAATTTCATGGACAGGTTACTTGATGCTGTGTAACCCTTATGCCTTAAGTAATGTAGTAACAAGTATCAGCTGTCGTAATAAGGTCAATTTGTTTATCATGCAGTCTGTCCATCTGTAATCATATCATTTCTGGAAAAACTAAAACATTCAATATTTTTCAATAGTAATCAGCAGATATATCAAACACATCTTGAATTGGTGCATTTTGCAGACTTGCACTAAAGTGAGTGAATGAGTAAATAATCAAGTCTGGACCAGACAATCCAGTGATCACCAGCATGATTGGGAACCGATGACATGTGTCAACCAAGTCAGTGAGCCTGACCACCCGATCCCGTTAGCCGCCTTTTATGACAAGCATGGGTTACTGAAGATCAATATTCTAACCCGGACCTTCATGGGTCAACTCTCACTAAAAGAAGTATGTTCAAGTTTAGCTTGTGCATGATGTTACTATTGATAATAATGTTCATTTAAGAAATTATTGCAAGTGTATTTGGTGGAAAGTGTCTCACAACCACAGCCTGAGGAGGATGTCAAGAAGCAAAGCCATGAATTCTCACAAGAGCAGTTTGTTCATTGTAATCTGCACGGGTTAAAATGTTCCATCATTTTTCTGCCACATGAAGATGATTATCAAATGACCAGAGATGGCAAATTATTGGTATCATAGCAAAATGATATTTTGATCTCAAAACATTCTAAAAATGTTTGTACAATTTAAGCACCTGAAATCCCGTTAAGATCTCGTTTAGAACTGGTCTTCAGCAATACATGCTTGTTGTTCAGGTGACTTTTAGATCAGGTGGTCAGGCTAGCTGACTTGGTTGATTGCATGTCATTTTATGCCAGTTGTGTAGATCAATGTCCATGATGTCAGTCACTGGATGGGCTGGTCCAACTGGAATATTGCAGAGGGCTTTTAAAAGAATAAAGCACCAATTTTTCAACAAAAATCTACATTCAATAAAATTTTATTCCATTAATACATGAGCAGCATGAACTTTGTAGAGAGAAATACAAAATTGTTCAAAAATCTACTATTTGGCAATATAACCATGAAAATACTCTCCAAAGTAATTTCATCACTTGCAGCACTAGCATTCTAATAATTTTGTTCAACTTTTTTTCTTCAGGCAAGACTTAAACACTTAACTGAGCAATGACAATACTAGTAATTCATTAAACAAAATGAAAGCATAAAAATCTAACCTCAGAAAAAAATACATACCTTGGTTTTGATTAATGAGCAAAGCCAAGTTGAAAAATTTTGATCTTGGATAATATTCTTAATGCTCAGAGGTATACTGTGATATACAGCCAAACCTCTTTACAAACTGCCTACAGAACTTATTTTCCCTTGCTCATGTCAGAAAAATATTTCCTTTTCTCTTTCTACATGAATATCTGTCCGATAGACTGAAATGTTCAAATAATGTTAGCAATATGAAATTCAACATTATTCACCAGTTAAAATACTTGTATTCAGAGCGGAAAGAAAAAAATTATATCAGATAAAGACTTTGACATGTATTTCCCAATGACATGATTCTTCCCAAGGATGGCTATACACGACACAAAAACAAGGCACATGTTGACAATTTAAAACAATGCCAAACAAAAACAAAAGGGTCTGCAATAAAAATTTATCTTCACACTAAAACAGCAACCAGTAAAACCCAGTCTAGCTTCAAGTGTAGCACATGAAGACAGATTGTACTTTGTGAAATTTCACTTAAAACATCAAATGAATGATTCCTATGAAAACAAACAAACATTCAGGAGCAGGAAGTACAGTGTATATCACACAATACTGCACCTTTAGGATTCATGTGTCTATCACTTATAAGTATGAACAACCAACTTGCCAAAACCGACGAGTGAACTGGACTGCTATATACAAACCTCAATGGTCCCACTTCACAAAGCCATTGTAGGACTACAACCATCCAACTCTTATACTTTAACATTAACTTAAAGTCATAGTGCTATGATTGCTTTGTAAAAATGGGCCGTGAAAATGCCAGGACTGTGTAATGAATATACACAAGACAATAAAATGCATGACTCCAGTAATAATGTAAAAAAAGGCCTTGGCCTCGGGTTTAGTAATAAAAGTACTGGTAGGATCGTCACTGTCCATGAATGCAGTGTGAACACATAGAAGTGATAAGTACACACCACTGCTTACAACAACCTATGGAGATAACTGATGTGACAAGGAGCTATCTCCTCGCTGGTCTCAACATTTAGGCCCCGATTTCCTGCAAAGAATCAAATGAAATCCATAAGACATACAAGTCAGCTGACAATTTTCACCTCTATTACAGTGCAAGATAAATTTTTATAGGTATCATGATAAATCAAGTTTGATGAGTTTGAAACAAGGTGCATCAGTAGTTTTCAGTGCATCATAGCATTTTTCAGAACTGTTTGTCAAATAATCCAAAGTAATGGACAAAACATGAAATTAATTCAAAATACAGTCAAATCCCGATGAGTCGAATGCCGGTGTCTCGTGTCACGAATTCGTCTCATAAATACACACGATGACTGGAGAAGAAAATTTGGTCCCATGAGATTCAAACAACAGCAATCTTGTACACATAAGCCGAAGTCAGTCAATGAGAAGTTGATTGGTGTAGCAAACTGATCCAATTAACAAACCAGCGCGGCTCACACCTTTCCGCCATTGACGGGTGAGTTCAAAAAGGCAGATTAGTGATTTTACGGAAATCACTGTCTGTGCTAATCAGACTGGAACTGATAAGGTGCCCCTATTAGTGATAGGGAAATCATTAGATAAACAAATGCTTAGGCGGAGGAATTTGGACTGGATCATCTTTTTTTCTACCCTCATAGATATGTCTCGAATACATCGATGAGTCGAATTTATTACTTGGTCCCCAGCGATTCGACTCATCGGGATTTGACTGTACTTTAAAAGTATGAAACCATCAACTTTCATCATCATGTTTCTTTCACTTGTATCACACAATGACTATCATCCCCATCACTATCCAAGTGGGACCCAATATTTGTTTTAATCTGGGCAATGAAAATATGATACGAACATGACAACTGTCACATGTTTTATATTTGGGATTACACTTTCTTAGTACAGTACAGATTCAAGTACCTTTGGTGGGTTGAGTCCCATCCAGTATTCGAAGCCACACCGTCAGAGTCAGGCACCTAATCGCACCTAAGAAAGTGTAATCCCAAATATAACATATGTTACATTTGACCACTTTCTAAAAGGCATTGTGTAATCATGACAACTGTCACAGGGATTTACAGGACGCGAATCCCTGCGTCCTATACTCATAATAATTGACAATGGACGCAACAAAATTTACTAGCGCGTCCACTGGGACTGAGAAAAAGTCCAAATACTGTTTGTAAAAATTTCAATCAAGTGACAATAACGTATCACTGAGTTTGCTACTACCTGGGTTAAGGTATTATTTGCAATTTAATTACTGTAACAATGTGATGATCATGATACACAATACAAAAACAGTATTACTAATAATATTTAAGTGTCTTGGACCCCCATTTTGTTGTCGAGGACCCCTGAAAATGAGGACCCCTGGAGTATGAGCCCCCGGGACCCTGAAATACAGGACTCCATGTAAATCCCTGCTGTCACCACTGATTTATGATAAACAGAGTTGTGTATTGCCAGGACATTTAAACATCACACATTGCCATTTATATACTGCTGAGTTTTCTCTTTTTTAAAACCATAATGGGCTAAAGTGATACAATTATGTGATCATGAGTACCCACAAGATGGTACAGTTTTATCAACATTGTTTAAGTCAGAAAATCTTTTAAATTATCAAAACACTATTGAAAACACAATGACCAGAAGTCATTATTGAATCCAAGCAAAATAGGAATATGTGTGTTAATTAATTTAAATAAACATATTACTCTTAAAACATGCACTCACTTTGTAAATCAGGTCACTCTACAGTGTCAACAGTCAACAGTTTATCTGTAAGAGATGAAGGTATAATAAATGACAAAAGCAGTCTTGTAAGAAACAAAAGTACTAAATGACTTTAAATTCATTCATAGGGCAATAATAAATCAATTTATAAAATCATTGGCATCATATTAAAGCATAAAGAAACCATTTCTCCTACAGTTGTTAAAAAATAATGCAATTGAACAGTCCTGCATTACATTTACATGTTAGATTTACTTCTAAACAATAATGGCTGAAAAAGAAAAATTGTTGCAGTCCAATTTGTTGTTAAATGGCCATGGGTCAGTTACTGCATATTACCACAATTATGACAATACCAGTACACTCCACTCCCAAGCACAAAATGATCTAAGCGACATAGACAACAGTAGGGCAGCACATTCAACATTGTCCACTAAAGAATGCATCGAATTGATTAGGTATCAATTATACACCCCCTTGATACAAAACCAAAGGACATTTAAACTATTTTTTACATCAGTTCAATATATAATTACACCATGAGATATCATGAGCAAATTTAATTAATTAATGTTTACAGTGAAGAGTTGGAACCTCAATGTTACAGGTACAGTAGATTTAAAATCATTAGGTGTTTTCTAAATAGAATTTACTTTAATGTTCGCTCTATATAAGTACATGTTAGTTGAAGCTTTTTGGGGACAATGTTGATGCTTCCACAAGCAGAGGGAACGTCATGCTGATCACAAACACAGGACTGTTACACAAATAATTATGGTTATCAACCCAGCTATATATACAACCTACGAAATCACACAGCTGCCACTAGTCTGTGATAACTTTAATATTTACAGATGCTGCTACAAATATTATCCTCTCTTCTATATAAGCAAAACTGATCATGTCCCAAGTTGCCTTACTATTTGTTAAATATGAGAGCATAACTGAATGTTTACTACTGGAAAGATCACAGAGACAGACATTAAGAATGGTTGCTTTAAATTGGCAGCCTAGGAAAAGTAGTTTAGGTGCATCATATTAAGACAGGATGGCAGTAATGACACTGGCTGCTGTGCTTTTTCTATAATGAAGGAGGCGAGGTGTACGCTACCTCTAGTCGTTTTCCTCTCTCCCTTGCTCAATTTTGAATGAGGGCTTCTGCTACGATCCCTACTCCTACCCCTAGATCGGGACAGACTCCTACCCCTAGACCTGGATCGGCTTCTACCCTTAGACCGACTGGGGCCCCGAGAGTGGGACCGTGAACTGAAAGATCATCCATAAAGAAATAAGCCAAAAGAGAACCAGGGCAAAAAGAAAGCTAGGAACAAGTTTTAAAAACAGACAAATGCCAACTCAGCTGATTTTTCTAAAACCAACTTTTTTCCATGAACTGAAATCTTGCACTTAATCTATATATCATACACTACTCAAAAGTAGTATAAGATCAGATGAGGTATTTCACATGACTTAAGTTCATCGGGTTTTTCAACACAATGCCTTCCAATCTGGATTTCTTTACCTCTTGTGACATTTACTTTCTCCTCATGGCACACAGTGGATTAGATTGAGCATCTGGTTAATACACAAACAACACCAAAACACTCTTCCAATCTGCTGAAAGATCTTAACATGAGTGTGTTGGAAAGCATGTGTCCTACGGCATTCTCATTTCATGCAGAAGGTACTGAACTCAGCTACAACTCAAAATAAGCATACAACTGCATGAACTACCAAATATGTAGATTAGACACCATCTTACCTGCTGCGGCTACGACGACGAGGTGAATTTGAATCACTGCGACTTCGCCTACGTGGAGAGTGGGATCTACGACGTGGGGAGAAAGACCTGCAAGTTGATGATTAAATCCGTAATAATGATGACAGGGGATGATGCAGAAGAGCTGACTGAACGGCTGGCAGCAGCTATGACTCTTTCAACATGCAACAGCTGACAAATCGAGAACCAAGTTGTCAAGACCTGATCGGCAGGACAGCAAGCACTCTCCAACCAGGCAACTTTCACATTTTTTTTATATAATTTTGTACTAGACTTTATTTTAAATGTAAAATGAGTAATCTGACCTACACATGGCACTACATCTAATAATCAGATCCTATTACATTTTCAATTCTATCATGCCAAAATGAATGAAATGTCAAATAACTGATGGCAAGACAGTACAGCTTTAACATCCAAATGAGTCCTCTTGATAGTGCTACTATACCCATACCCTGCATGAAGAGGTTGGGACGAATCTGCGAAGGTTAGAAGTAGTAGTAGTAGTAGTCCCTAACGTTGCTTTGTATGCATGTTGCAGAAGAATAGTTGTAAGGCGTTGACAACTTCATTCTGTACATAAAGTTGACGGTTGCTTTGTTGATTATAGACGATGTGTCGCTTTAGGGGGTTCATTGTAGATGGGAGAGGCCGAGCCCAGTCAGGGCTGAAACCCTAGTCTGGGATTCAGTACAGACGATGGGGGGCTGAAGTGTTGACGCTGACTGAAGAGGAGATTTGACGGCCTTGGACGATGTAACTGCCCACTCGCACTTGCTAGCCCGCTGACTAACGAAACCCGCGACGATGGCAAGGGTGAGGGTTATGTGTGAAGGGATGGATGGTGAACGTAGAGCGGGTGGGCGGGCAGGCCAGCGGGCGTGAGTGAAGGCAGGTGTCGGGGCGGGCTGGCTGGCGAGCAGCTGGTGGTAGGAGTAGTTAGGGGGCTGATAATGCTACATGAGAACAGCCCGATGAGTTTGAAGCAAGCAGCTCATGTGGCTGATGGCTGGTAGTAGTAGTGGAGACCGGAGCCTGGAATTGGGTCAGTCAAAAAATCATCATGTGAATCGGTAATGGCCATACACCTGATTACTAACACTACTTCTGCTAAAGCAATTACTACCACTCCTCTCACATCAAACAACATATTAAAAAAAATTCCATCAGTTAGTCATATGAAGATAAGCCTAACATATTCAGAAATGTTCTCTTTGACCTTCAATAATTTCAACTAACAGGTACATGACAAATGAACATAACATAAATCTGAGCACAATGATTTTCTATTCTGTCTAGAAATTACGAATGGTTCTCATGCACTGGTCTATCTCTTTCAGTAGTTAACATAATACAAGCTAAGAACAACATTCATGCATTAAGACTAAGTTGGGTTTATCACCGCTTTGAACAGTATTCCAATTTGTACATATCAGCGTGAGAGCATAATTTTTGAGGAAAGCCAAAAGTGATACACATCTCTGATGTTTTTTGATTTTGAGCACAGGTGTGGTGCTGACAAACCGGGATTCAAACCCATTATAAAAGATTTCTGGCACGCCCAAGGAAGGCAGTTCTGCACAGTGAAGTGCAGTGCCTTAGATGCCTGGGACACCCACATGCATGTTGAAACCTAAAGGGCTAATATTGACAAACAGCAATCCACTTTAGCATCCCACAAACCCAAATCCTATACCTATTTCTAAAAGGGTGAGAAAATAAGCCTTGAAGCTAGAGTTTGTAAAAATGAAACAAAGGATTAATACTGTATTGAATTACAGTATATGGAAGAGGGAAAAGGTTGATTCATTACCATGTGACCAAAATAAGAAATGATTTAGAGAATGAATTTCACACGGAGTACAAAGCTAAACTGATCACCAATTAAAGGATTTCAAACAAATTTGCTAATTACAAGAAAGTGCAAGACTAGATATGAAAGTCATGTTAAAGTTTATTACGTTTCATCAGAAATGTAATGTCCTAAGTTCAAACAGCTCCTATATACATTTATCTGGTATCTAAGTTCTGTAATCGCAAACTTGCACTTTCATGTAACAAGGGTTGAAAATTTGAAAAATTGCATTCTTAATTTTGATATATACTCACAAATACTGATCAATTACACACAAGTTACATGTACACAAGACTTCTAGACATGGTGATCTGTGATGTATCAAAATATTAAAACATTATCAGTATGTTTTATACAAATATATGAAATGACTAGAAGGATTAGCATGCAATTCCTAAATTCATTTTAAAACAGACTGCTGGGCCAAAGTGTTCTTAATCAAGTAAATACACAATATTAACTGAAAGCAATGATACATGATATTTAAAAACTTAAATTCCAAAAAGATATTGCAACCTGTGCAGTAGGTTCCTTTGAACAAAAAAAGAGAGTAAAGTTTTAGAGACTTAATCTGTGAGAAATGAATTATTGCTAACATGTGCTGATAATCATAGAAATTCAGTGTGAAGTAAGAATTGCATGAATATGTTAAGACTTGCAGAAAACATCTTAGCAGAGGCACCAATAATCATGATAAACGAGACATGAAAGGCTTACGAGATATCAATTTTGTGGTTCCAATTACAATTGATTTCAAAATTAAGTACCTAAGCTAATAACCAGTATTTTATTTGAAGCAAAAGGAGAAAATATAACTGCAATGAATTTTATACAAATTTCAAAAGTACTGGTTAGGGACAGCATCGGTCAGAGAGAGTAATTGGATCCACATTACTTAAGATCAAATACAATATTTTGATCTAAGCCATGGCATCTAATAATGTTCACATCCAAAACATGCTTAAAACATTTTATTAGCACATTGCTTTTTTGAATGAAATCACTTTTACAATACCAGTCATAACATAATCTTAGAACAAATGCAAAGAATTTTTCATTGGCCTAAATGATGCAGTAAGAAAATACTTCCCTTCCTACTCTAGCAAAAGAGGAAATCTTACCGTGATCTGCCTCTCCTTTGTCTGTAGTCATCATGAGAAGAAGAACCCTGACGCCTAACTGGCGGCCCTCGACTTCCCCAACGAGATTTTCCTGATGACATTTCAACACGCACACGACGACCATTCAATCTCCTGCAGAAATCAACTTACCATCTTAGCAACAGATAAATGTAGAACACAAGATTAAAAGAACTTTCATTGTGAGATATACTCACACCCAATTCTATATTATCCACAGAATATACTTCATGTATGACATGAATACTAACTTGTGTTGGTTCTAACAACATCTAAAGTAAAGAATTAGTTAAATCTGAAAGAAAACTTTTCAATATTGTAGCATTCACATATCCCTCATTTTCAAATGTGAAGCATCAAATTATGCTGCTGGCATAGGCATCCTACATGATACAAGTAGATCAGTAGTTCCTGTTCTCCCCAAGGGATACAAATTTGAACAGTGTCTTAGGCCAATGAGTCGCCTTAAGTTAGTTAGATGCTTGAGTTTTTTCAGACTGCCCTATGCAGAAGTAACTTGAAAGTAAACGAGAAGCACTTCACATTTTCACCAACACCTAGCCACTAGTGACTTTAGGGCATTGATACTGGATTATCACTTACGCTCCATCAAGGGCTCTTGTGGCATCTTCAGCATCACGGGGATCTTCAAATTCAACAAATGCAAACCCTGGAGGCTTCCTGGCTACCCACACATTACGCAAAGGTCCATATTTACTAAACTTCTCTTCAAGTTCTTGTTTGGCTGCACCATAACCAAGATCTCCAACATACACTTTGCAATCTAGTCTCCAATCTTTTGTTGCATTCCGTGCCATTGCGGAAATATATATTGCTGAAAAGAAATACAAATATTTACACTGGCCTGATTTATATATAATTTTAGATAGCAATGGAAATTATGACTTAGGGGTTGGGTTTTGGGTGAGTTGTGAATGAGTTTATTATCCAAGTGCAGAGATGTATAATATAATGGAATTATATAGACTCTAACTGAAGATGCTGTAATGGTAGTAGTACCCCATCATTAAAAACTGCACAACTGAATATTGTTCCCTCTAAAAATAACACAGGACCAGCACTTACATGATATTACTAGACCTGTGTTAGAGTTGTAACAATCACAAAGTACTGTATATGTAGATTTTGTTGACATAAACCAGCCTGATTTCCTTTTGATCTCAAGTCTTCCGTTTTGGGTCCATTATTATTTCTGATATACATTAACGGCTTAGTTGATAACATTGATAGTAATATCCGTTTATTCGCTGATGACACATCCCTTTATATTATTGTTGATAATCCTGATAATACTGCTACTTACCTTAATAATGACTTACAAAAATTGTTAATTGGGCTAGAGATTGGAATGTCGTTTTTAATCCTAACAAACCTGAAAGCATATTATTTTCACGTAAAAAAACACCCACTAGACTTCCTGATCTTCACATGAATAATATCAATATTAAAGTAGTTTCTCATCATAAACATCTTGGTTTAACATTGCAAAGTAACTGTAATTGGCATGAGCACATTAGCAACATAATAAAGAAAGTATCCCCGATGATCAACTGCTTTAGGTCCTTGAAATATAGATTATCACGTAAGAGCCTAGACACTATTTACAAACAATCTATTCTTCCTCTCTTTGACTACTGTTCTCATATCTGGGACAACTGCAGTAAAGAACAAAGTCACTCCCTTGAAAAATTACACCTAGATGCTCTACGCACAATATGTGGTGTTGTACGCGGCACCAGTTATGGTTATATTTCGAAACCAATTTTTACCCTTTGGATGAAAGAAGGTCTATTCAAAAACTAAAACTGATGCACAAAATTGTACATAATGAAACTCCGACTTACTTGCAAAACTTAATCCCATCTAAATCACATAATAGCAACTGCACTCTAAGAAATTCTGAACAAATTCGCAATATCTATTGCATATCTAACCTCTATGCTAGATCCTTTATACCAGATGTAATCAGACAATGGAACGATCTGCCACAATTAACATGCTCTGTGAATAATCACTTTGATTTCAAAAGTATAATATCTACTCGTAAAGATGCCTCGTTCTTCTTTGATATCAATATTGGTAATAGACAATGTCAAGTAATCCATGCACACCTCAGGCTCGGGTGTAGTGATTTAAATTCTCATAAGTTCCATAGACACATCTCTTCAAACCGGGCCTGCTCTTGCGGTCAACCGAGAGAAGATAATATTCACTACTTCTTCACCTGTCCGTCGTATAATGACTTATGTATTTCAATGTACTTTTATCAACATGGATACGACATACATTCGGTATTATATGGTAATTTTAACGTAGACTCTCCTCTGTTCACCATTTCATCCAGTTTTCAAAAAGATTTAACATGACTTAAGAAATTACTAATAAAGTTCAACAATTAAAAAACATATTTTATTCAACGAGCAAACGTGTGGTACCAATACATTCTATTATTTTATTGGCAATTGATTTTCTGTAAATAACTTCCGTAAATATGTACATGTTCGGGAGAGGCATTTATATAAGCTCACTGAGCTTGTTTGCCAATCCCTTTTCTTTCTCTTGAAATAAAATATGGTTAAAACAAGTCTTCATTGCATTCACAGGTATCTGATACCAAGTTGATATCCCTTCTTGTCAATAAAAGACACCTTACTTGTCCTGACACTTTCACATTACCTGTTTATGTGGCATCAGATTAAGGGTCTGGTGTTTCTTTTCATTTTACTCATTAAATCCTGATGTAATGTAAATTCACTGACATACGTACTTTGATCAACCCATGAAGTTTTGGATTAGGCTTGGCTTCAGTAACCCATGCTTGTCGCATGGGGCGACTAACGGGATCAGGTGGTCAGACTCGCTGACTTGGTTAATGAATGTGTTTGTGTCCATTTGTGCAGGTTGATGCTCATGACATCAATCACTGGATTGTCTGGGACAGACATGATTTTTTTATAGATTGTGGTCATATAACTGCGATATTGCTGAATGCGACGTAAACAACCAACAAATCAAACAACGATTAGCGTTTACTTCGGCCACGAAAGTTTTGTTGAACAGGGTGTTCAACCAATTTGCCCAACTTTGCAGCCGAGATTACGTTAGCTTTCGGGCAAGGTAATTAAAATGCAAAATATAAAAGCGATGACAGATGACGTTGATTCCTCCAAAATCAAATGATAATAAAACAAAATGTACTGCACGTTGGATAGCAAATATTGTCATGAAGGCGTCTAAATCATAAGTCTACCCTAACCTAGTTATTTCTTGAACGAATGAACAGGTAGGTGGTCGCAGCAATTACATACTTTTCTGTTAGCGTAAACACTTAAACAAAAGGCAACTAAAATAATGGTGAGAATCCTGAGGCTGAGGAATTAAACATGGCCGATAAACTATGCTTCCGTCTTAGCACATCTGTTAATATCCACGCATTTCAGTATTACCAGGTGATGAGTCAGTTTGCAACACTTCTGCAAGTCATATCTACCTGTACTTACCTTATTGTCAAATAAAATGTACACTAACAAACAAAATACTGCTGTTCAAACATGCAGACGATCTGTCTACGTCGTTTGGCCTCAGCCTAGGCTTCTATTGCACGAAAGCGTTCATTCAACTTTGATTGGTCGATCTTCGAGTGTAGCTCTTTACAGTCTCTATGAGCAAACAAACCCTGCTCTGAGTATGGACAGAAACTGTATATTGTTATACTTAATGGTCTTCATACAACAGTTATCGATATCTAATATTTGCAATGTGAGAAATGAGGGGTTAGAGGGTGCAAACTAAACCGGTACCTCTTTGGGTGAAAACGGCACAATTGTAATTACGATAGAAAACTATTCGTAATATTATATATTATTATTCAGTGGTAACATTGACTGTACTTCTGTAACACCATTTCCACGTCGTACTAATATCACGGTCAGTTTAAGGTCTCTGGGAGAACAGAGCAGTGCAACAGTATATGTGTTTAGGATCCCCACCCAACACCACTGCCAAATTTCATAGACGTCCTTTTTGCCACACTCACAGTATCTTCTATTCTCGGAAAAATTATGTTATATGTAAATTTTAGAGAAAGCAACAGAGAAGCCTCTCAGACCCTAATGGAATATTATTAAATACAGAGTTCGGTTAAACTCAATAGCTGTAACGACAATATTATTTGAGAGCATATTACCAAAATAATACATAGTAAAATAGACCAATGTCAACAATAAACACGCCCAGCCGTTTTTAACTGCTGTTCGTCAGGGTGCTGACTCTGAGGCGTGGGTTCGAATCCCGGATGGGACTCAACCCAATAAATGTTACTAGAATCTGTACTTTACTGAGAAAGTGTAATCCCAAATATATCATATGTTACATTTGACCACTTTCTAAAAGGTTTTGTGTATTCATGCTGTTCATCAGACACTATACCAACGTCTACTTTGAGTTTTCGAATTTATGGGCTTGTTGTTATAAGAAATGAGCTTGCAGATATATTTACTGCGATATTTATCGATTGGATCTACTTGCACAAATTTAGATCCATACAGGCTGCGTTGCTAAAATCTATTTCACAAAACTCTACACACCTGTACAGGACTTTATCGTTACTATTGACGTGTGCTGCTACTGACTTCTTTCACAATAAATTACCATTAACTCTGCCACAGGCAACACAAAGCTAGTAATTCGAATTGACCAGATCGGACAACATACTTGACTATGCACATATTATTAGCCTCTATTTATTAGGTGAACATGTTGATAAATTACACATGTAGAAACTGTCAGCTGTGGAGACTGTAACAGATGGCGTCTTGTGTTGGAGCTCATTAAATGTGGTCTGTGTAGCACGGATCAGACATAGCAATGCCTGCAGTACACCGAATGGCTTGAATAATATATTTGATGCCACTATTTGCATGTTGGAATTAATTTACTTTTTTTTCTCCTTCTTGAAAAGGTTGATGAACGAATCAGATATTGAACTGTCGGTTTATGAACACGCTCTGTCATATATTCTATCAGAAATTCTAGTTTTATATACTTGCAGCTGTTTACGTTGATATAGATGACTCGGCCATCCATGAATTGGGTGAGACAATATTTGTTTGTGTAGATGTTTATTAGTTTCGTGACGCCTTCGGCCACAATAAAGACTAGTATAGATGTTTACTAGTTGGGTGATACCCCCGAGCACAATATAGACTAGCATAGATGTTTACTAGTCTGGTGATACCCTCGAGTACAATATACAGACTGACTAGTATAGATGTTTACTAGTCTGGTGATACCCTCGAGTACAATAAAGACTAGTATAGATGTTTACTAGTTGGGTGATACCCTCGAGTACAATATAGACTAGTATAGATGTTTACTAGTCTGGTGATACCCTCGAGTACAATAAAGACTAGTATAGATGTTTACTAGTCTGGTGATACCCTCGAGTACAATAAAGACTAGTATAGATGTTTACTAGTTGGGTGATACCCTCGAGTACAATATAGACTAGTATAGATGTTTACTAGTCTGGTGATACCCTCGAGTACAATAAAGACTAGTATAGATGTTTACTAGTCTGGTGATACCCTCGAGTACAATAAAGACTAGTATAGATGTTTACTAGTTGGGTGATACCCTCGAGCACAATACAGACTAGCATAGATGTTTACTAGTCTGGTGATACCCTCGAGCACAATATAGACTAGCATAGATGTTTCCTAGTTGGTGATACCCTCGAGCACAATATAGACTAGCATAGATGTTTCCTAGTTGGATGATACCCTCGAGCACAATATAGACTAGCATAGATGTTTACTAGCTTGGTGATACCCTCGAGCACAATATAGACTAGCATAGATGTTTACTATTTGCTCCATGCCACGATTGTGTGTTAGAATCCATTAGTTCTCCCTGTTAGGTTACTTGGTGTTACACAGCCGTGTCATTAACCCTGAATTTTGTTGTAAGTTTTAAACTCCCAAGAACGCTTGGACTCACGCAACATAAAAGTCTTGTGATATAACGATAATGTTGTTCAGTGTTAGGAATATAACTCACCTTAACTGCCTGTACTGCCGAATCCCAGGAGAAGAAGACTGTCAGCACCCACCCTCAAGGAAAACAGCAACGGTAGTTTCACATTAATAGATATTCATGGTTATTGTATAGCAATTGGTCAATTAGAATGAGAATTAGAACAGTATCGTCAATAAGTCAGTTACCTCATTGATATCTTGAGGATGGAGTTAACGCAAGTCAATATTTCAAAGACCATTAGGTTTATCGATTCCTTTGAAACGAATGCTCCATACACAGTCTGATATTTCACGTGCATCGGACGCATGCCTGTGTGAGACATATTCATGCGTTCCACTCTTTGAACTGAATATCAATTCCAACGTAAACACAAAGCTTAAAAACTGTCAAGTGACACATTTTACGATGCGGAAATTGAATTTCGAATCTGTAAGTTAATCTTCGAAAGCCCATGGGGTCGAACATTCTCTGCCCACAGAGGTTATACTCAAGTCATATGACTTGAGTCATCTCTGTGGGAAGAGAATGGAAGTCTACTTGTAAGCCAAATAAACATAGTATACACTGAAAAAACATCAAAGGGATTATAATTTCGTTTGTTTTGCTTTTTTTCTAAAATATCACAAAATGATGAGTATGGTTACGTTTATGTCTGCTAACACTCCAACCACCATACAAGCCATATGCAACACCTGCCATAAGTGGCCTTCGTCAAATATACAACACCGGGCAGTGAATAATTGAAACGCTTAACCAGTCAATGACTTAGTCAATAAAGCCGTCAATTAATACGCTAAGTGTACCTATTGGGCACGTCGGCATTCGTCAGTGACACCTGGGACTTGGCAAAACAGAGGAAGGAGAAAACATCTGTGTCCATGCATATACTAGTACTCATATCAGCCATATCCTGAGAGTTTCTATATAGGACCTCAGTCCTGCCCCCACAACGAAGCACGTGCGATACATGTGGTCTCACCTTAGGCAAGTGCGTTTGTTCAAAATTGCCTCTGTTCACCCAACCGAAAATGGGTACCCGGTGAAATAAGTGGTGAGACTATTAACCTGGTCTACTCCCATTTGTGAGAACTCCCAATTGTGAGACTCCCAGTTATGAGACAGTGGAGTAGGTAATTAACAAAGAAAACACACCATACTCCCCTGTCTGATAGAATGGATTAACCCTACCTAATTACTGATTTGCTATGTAACTGAATCTTGTGGAAGTCTTAATTAAACTTTATAAGATAAATTGATTAACATACACAAAATGTAGGTAACTTCGTGATCATTTGAAAGAGAAATTAAATTACCTACTCACTTTTACATCCGTCTCCGAAACTACAAGATATAGTTTAAGAAATAACTCTGAAATACAAGTTTACAGTCGAACTGCCTCTTAAGCCAAATCCTTTTACCCGGCTCTACCCGTTATAACCTGGATACCATTTTGAACGGAAACAAAGAATTTACTCCTTGCGTAAACCAGAAAATAGTTGAATCTGTCCACGATTATATCATCAAGAAAATACTTAAATTAACTCAACAACCTTCTCATGATTGATTTATATTCCTACAATAGCTTGTTAGACACACACTGCTGTAACTCTCTAATTATGACTACTTAGAGAACAGTTGTATTTGATGTATACTTAAAAATATATTTATGCAACAGTCAACATGATGACGTCACATCCTCCATTTCATTTTGTATTTTATGTTGCATGGGAGCGGTGTTCACATAAGCAGTAATGCTTGCTCACCAATCCCAATTCATTTTCATAAATAATAATAAAATATGTTTAAACCAAAATGACTTTCAAACATCATAATAGTCTATTTCTTCTTTGTAAATAGAATCTTTGATAATCTATTTCATTAATCTACTCATCAATGACTCCTGTGGGTACTCTTCAACAACTGGGCTGATCCCACTTTCATTTTAGGGATGTGGAAACACCACCTATGTGCACTGAACCATTAATTAATGTGTCTCACAACTGGGAGTTCTCACAAATGGGAGGACACCATTAACCTTCTAGCGCCTAACAGGCAGCTTGGGTTATCCGGGGTAATAATGATCAGAGTGTGCGCCTTGAACAGGAAAAAAGTCTGGAAAAGGCGCGTTATAAATATTCTCATTATTATTATTATTGTGATATATAATATTATATCATATGTCATATTGCTATTATGTATTTTATCTACCGTTTTGCTTGATGAAAAAAAGCGTCATCATTACGTTCAAAATGGCAAAAGAGTTCTTGATTCAAAATCAGAAGGGGCGGTGGGGTAGCCTAATGGTAAAGCGTTCGCTCGTCACACCGGGGACCCGGGTTCGATTCCCCACATGGGTACAATATGTGAAGCCCATTTTTGGTGTCCCCCGCTGTGATATTGCAGGAATATTGCTAAAGCTGCGTGAAACTAAACTCACTCACTCACTCAGCATCAGATGCAACAACAATAGCGAATGGTAAATCACGCTAACACTCTTATGAACGTTTTCGCTCATTGTTCGGGTAATCTTTCGTTAATTAATCTTCATCGATACATGCTGAATTTCTATTTGATATTTAAAAGCATGACTATATTTTAGTGTGCATTTGCCAGTTAAATTGTTCTTTAAACAATCACTCTGTACTTAGCTCACCTTAATATTAATAAGACTATGAATACACAATGCCATTTAGTCTAATGTAACACATGCTATATGCTGGATTACATTATCTTGCAATGTAATCCCTAATATAGCATGTGTTAGTCTCACCAATAGTTAACTTTGATGTGAGTGTGTACCTCGTTCGTGTGTACATACTTGAATTTCAAAATCAGTACTGAAATAAATAATAGACATTTTGAACTAATCAATATAAAACTGTTTACTGTTCACAATCTATAAAATGGGGCTTAGTTTACCCAATTTCAAAATACTTTATAAAGTTTACATCGGCGTAAATTAAATGCGCCTTAAGAACTTCTGATATATGTGTCAGCTTTACCATTTATCGATATTGAATTTCGTAACAGCTGAATGTAAGGTCAACAGGTTGCATGCATTAACAATGTATGAGCGTGTAATCAATTTAGAGGCACATGTGACGGGTATTAACAGCCCCATATAGAGTTATCCAATATAGGTTATGAGTATTCCATAGCGGGTTATTGCCAGTATACACTTGTCAGTCGTAAACTTAATGTGTTTGCACTCATAATATAAAATACAACTATGCTGGATTATACCAATGAATATTTTGCTCACCTTCGCATCTTTACGATGAGGGATATCATTAGTCTTTTTTGTTTGGCTGCTAGGGGTCTTTCATAATTTATGGCTATAGTCTGTTTGCAGTGAAAACGTACCGATGAATTTCACTTTAAACAAAAAGGTAAATCACATAAAGTGAAATTAAGATTGCGAATCCTCATGATTTTACCTTGCCAAATGAACTTTTAAATCTCAGAAATTTTATTCAACTTATGATAAAAGTTGTTTAACAAACGATCATAGTTTCAAATCGCTATTATTGGTATGTATTACAAGGGGGTATGCACATTAAATGAAACCCCGAGAACAAGAAGGGTTGGTTTCTACGGTAGTCTAAGTTTACGCTCATCACGGACCGCACGTGCATTTGTTTCACTATTCCAACTACTGCGCGTACCCCCTTGTAATACAAACCAATAATAGCGATTTGAAACTATGATCGTTTGTTAAACAACTTTTATCGTAAGTTGAATAAAATTCTGAGATTTTAATGTTCAATTGGCAAGGTAAAGTTATGAGGATTCGCAATCTTAATTTCACATTATTTGATTAACTTTTTGGTTTAAAGTGAAATTCATCGGTACGTTTTTACTGCAAACAGACTATAGTAGGGCTGATGATGATTTTCAGGGGGAGTCACCCATTTTGTTCTGGAGAGGTGAGGGGAAATTGGGTTTAACGTCGCACGGGAGATTATTTCGCTCATATGACGACGTGCATGCGTGTGTATGTGTAGGTGCGGCTGCTTGTACTAGCCCAGACTGAGGCTGGCTTTATAGTGCTAGCCCACTGAGATACCATGCCGCAGTGAAGCATGAATACCCCACTCAGACACATTATACTGACTCCAAGCAGACCAGTCCTTGTTTTACCCATTAATGCCGAGCGCCAGGCAGGGACAAACAAGTACCATATTTTAACGTCTTTTGGTATGACGCGGTCGGGGATTGAACCCGCGACCTTCCGCTCGCCGGTGTTCTGGAGAGGTTGGGGTATCATCAATTTGGTACACGTGTACTGGGGTGGGGGTGGGGGTGGGGTGGGGTTGTGGTGTTGTGTCAACAATTTTGTACATACAAATATGTATATATTATGCTTACAAAATATGGCAGGGGAGGAGGGGTCATTGATTTTGTTCATAACATGCTGGGGTGTCACTTCTTTTGCACATAAAGTTTAGGGAGGGTTATTCACATTGTACATGCTTCTCCATAAAAGTCATCATTACCTACACACCCCAAACCACCACCCCCCACCCCCACACACGCACACACAGAGCCATAAATTACGAACGGGCTTTGCAAGGAACATCCCCTCAAACACATAATCATATTAACACATATTATTTATTCCACATAACATTCACATATTCGTGGCTGAATGTTCTTTTAAAGCTAATTCTTATTGCAAAGGTAAGACAAATGGACCAGAATTTAACGAATTTTAGATAGATTATATGGTCTCTGTTAAACAAAGCTATTGCTTTTTGTTAAAATATAACACTTCAAGTCTCCATGGTCCAGTGTATATTGAACCAGAGACCATATATATAATAGATATATTATATGGTCTCTGGTTCAATATATACTGGACCATGGAGACTTGAAGTGTATATAAGAAAATATATTATATGGTCTCTGATTGAACAGCATTTCGCGAATAGATGAAATCTTTATGTCGTTATATTACGTCTCACGACGTTGTAAATAGAAACTATGTCAGATCAAACTCCTTCAATCCCATTTTTCTCGGAAATCAGCTTGTAACAGGAATGTTATATTAATAATTGTTTGAATATGGATCGTAAATCACATCAATAAACTGTTTCATTTCATACTCATAGCAGGGTTTGTTATCATAGCGCCTGTAAGGAGCTATCCACGAAAATCGACCAATCAAAATCAAATGAATGCTTTTCTGCGGTATAGTATTCATTAGGCTGAAAGACGTAGACAAGGGTTGGTGGGTGTTTGTTTGAACGTTTTGTGCGTCAGTACTTCGTTAATTAGTTTACAAGGTATTAAGGTAAGTAGAAGCATCACATGCTTGCTGATTTTGAAAAAACTGTTGCGTTTCCGTATTCTGATAAAGAGCATGACCTGCATGAAAGGTTAACATGTGGTGAGACCGAAGCACACTTTCGTCGGGTCACGGCCATGTTTGATTCCCTGGTTTCGGTGATATTCAAGCTTTCAAAATGCGATGCAGGAGTACTTAAACCAAATAATACTGCTGGTGCAGTGAAGTAGGCGGAGTGTTTGAGATGTTCGATTACATGGGACTTCGCATGAGTTAGAAGACCTACGATAACCTGTATTGTGCTAGTCAAACGTGGTAAATAGGTCAAATACACAAATGGACAAGGACTCGTTCATAAATGTCTGCTAGTTCAAAATAGGGTACTATTAACTTCCATTTTCAACATCAGAATAACCGGGGAAAGAATTCCGAAGAGTTTGATTGCTGTTGTGTGTCCATACGTCTTTCCGCGTGATCTTACGTTTAGATCGTCATATGTTTTCGATCGGCCATTACGATTCCCGTTAATATTGCAAGAATATTCGTTGGTTTCACATTAGACTTTTCAACTCGCTGTGCGCGTGCGCAGAGCGTGCGAAAAATATCCAGTGGCATGTTTCCGGTTTGGTCGTATGTTTATCGATATGTATGTTTTATCCAAAGAAAACAAAAATCAAATATATAGTTTTTTAACTGATCCCAATTGATTTATGAAACAGGCCGGGATTAGTTAAATAAGTAGCTTCATTTATCATGTTTATGTTAACAAGCTCTTGTATAGACCGTCCTTCCGCACATCCCCTTCTCACAACTAAACAAACACATCTCTGATGGAATGGCAACCAAAATAGGACATCAATTATTGAAAAGCAGAGGCAAATGGCAGTATGTACTCAACTATGAATAGTTGTCATAACGTAAATAATTTTCATAACAGCTTTTATTTAGAGTGCATTTACACTGTGAGTTATGTTATGTGAAACCAACGAAGGAGAAAATCCATCCATCAGAAGCAGCCTGAATGTCATCAATGCGATCGCCCCTACGGGTAAAGTTTCCATGCATAAGCAAAAGTTAAAAAAGGAACAAATTTTAAGTTAAATTGGGGATCATTAATGCAACATCTACCTCGTAATTAAATGCGGAAACACTTCGATTTACAGACCGCCGCCATATTGCTTGAATATTGCCGAGTGCAGCGTAAAACTCAAATCACTCACTCACTCAATGGTTCTTACATATGTAAACCATTGTTCTCGTCTCGATATTGCTGAAATAATGCCGATGTGACGATAAATTTTAACTCACTCACTCACATATGTAAACCTTTCAGGTAAGATGAACGTGAAGGCATGTAATGATTTTGAAAAGCACAATGTACTGGTATTTTCCTAATTTATTGTAATATGCATTCACTGGGATTTACTGTATACTTCTTGTTAGCAAGACTCATCTGACATGGACCATGGTGACCTTATGGGAAGGTGAAAAAACTGAGAAAAGTAGACATTTTCAATGAACCTGGCTTCATGATTACACATGGTTGCAGTATAATGCAGAAAGATATACCATGATGTCAACTTTGTATAAATTGTGTGAAATCTCATCAAATTCTGATTGTAGATTGAGGGCCTTTCTATAGTGGTAAATACTCTGCAATTTGAAAAGTATGCTACAAGATGATGTTCTTAACAAGTATAATAGCATGCATTTGTATTTGTTTTTAGAAATAACAGCACAATGGCACGTAATTCGACAAGAGACTGGCGACTAGATTGCAAAGTATATGTTGGAGATCTCGGTTATGGTGCAGCCAAACAAGAGCTTGAAGAGAAGTTTAGTAAATATGGACCTTTGCGTAATGTGTGGGTAGCCAGGAAGCCTCCAGGGTTTGCATTTGTTGAATTTGAAGATCCCCGTGATGCTGAAGATGCCACAAGAGCCCTTGATGGAGCGTAAGTGATAATCCAGTGTAAATGCCCTATTGGCATTAATGACTTTTATGATGATGAACATTCTGGAGCTTGATTTTCTTGAATTCTTTTAAGCTTTTGGGTCTAGGGGGGTTTAGATTTTTGAAACAATCAAAGGTGAGATTACTTCTAACGTCTTATATTCAAAGATACACTATCTTAAGTAAAGAGGAGATACAATATAACTATCAACCTATCTGAAATCTGTCGCAGATTGTACAAAACTAGGATACCTATTGTAACTCGGGTAACTCATTTGTGTTGGAGATTGTAAAAGCAGCTCATTTCCAAATGGCATCAATGTTTATTTTTCATTTTCTGACAAGACTAAAGAGAAGCAGCACAAAATTACAGTAAATATGGTCAGGTCACTAATTTTTACGTGTATTTATTTGACATGCATACATGTATATCCAACATGCAGATGTTTTGTTTTTATGATGAAAAATGCCATGACTACCCAAACACAATGGCATGTCTGCCAGTGTGAAGACGTTTGTAAATGCAAGAAATGTTATGATCAATAAATATAGCATTACCATACTAGTGCTATTAGAATTGAAATAATGTTCACCATTTGCCCTTAGAATGATCCACTTTTGAATGTATAAATTTTGTGTAAACACGCTGCTTACTAAGTCGATTAACGGTACTAACATAGCCTGAATAACATTGGTGATAGCTTTGACTGAACATCAGACATTCACTATTCTGTAAGTTCAAAATATGTTTTCAAGTCTGATATGATTAGTAGACATTGACAATATTGCTTATTTTCCAAATTTTCTTTTAAAATCAATCCACTGAATACAAAATTAAAATTTATTGTGGAAAACATAGATGTCTGTTTTTGTTGATCAGTAAATTTCAGGTCATGTTTACTGTACTAAGTATAGCAGTAAATTAAAACATGGACAATAATCTAAGGGCTAAGATTGTTTGGAAAATCTATGCCCTGCTTTGGGCAGTGATTGAAAGCTCAAGCATCAAATGGCCAGGAGGATCATTGGTCTGAAACTGTTCAAAGTTGTATTCCCCAGGCAGACCATCTACTGATCTGCTCTGCTTGTATCAGCTATGGTGTATATTTGACAGACGTAGCTCTTTATTTTAGATATGATTAGAACTAAAAGAAGTTGTTACATCTGTCATACATGAGATATATGGGCTTGATAAGTAGGACTTCTGAGTGAAAAGTGCCTTTCATTTTACATTTTACATTAAAGGTCACATGCAACATAAAACACAACTTTGCAGATTCTGATACCTTTCGGTATGGACTTGCAGTAGCAAATGATAAAAAAATGCAAATTCAATTTATAAAGTTGAAATATAACGCTATGAACCCCCCCGCAATGAAGGGAAGTAAACCCAAGTACAAAATATTGCACTTTTGATTTGCGATTGTACGCTTATAATTGTGTTTATATGTTTTTTCATAATCAGCAATTTATATTATATGTCCTTTATAAGTGATAATTTTAATTATGTTTGTCCTTTTGGTTGCATGTGACCTTTAAATAACTGCTAATATCATAAGTTGATTTCTGCAGGAGAATGAATGGTCGTCGTGTGCATGTTGAAATGTCGTCAGGAAAGTCTCGTTGGGGAAGTCGAGGACCGCCAGTTGGCCGTCAGGGTTCTTCTTCTTATGATGACTACAGACCAAGGAGAGGCAGATCACGGTGAGTTTTCTTCTGTTATAGGAAGATAAAATATTCTTGCTGCATCATCTTGGCCAATGAAAATCTTTCACATTCATTCTAAACTTATGTTGTCATGATTTTAATATTGTATTTGGATCACAATGAAAAATATCCATGAAATTTGTAAGTATGCTTTATATGTGCTTCCATTTGTATGTTTTATTAATGTTGTCCCCAACCGTTTTGGTTTAATTTTATCAAATTCATGGCATGCATGTATATTTCAGCTGGATTTAAAAACATTGTACTAATGTACCTTTATTTTCAAATGAAACTTATTGGTTGTATACCCCAATATACAAAATGCTTTGGCAGCACTTCGGGCAATAATCTTGTTCTTATACAAACCAATGTGTAATTCATTTTATTTGTTTTGTATGTTCACTGCTTTTGGAACACTTTGGCAATATGTTCAAAGCAGATTATGTTTAGGAATAGTATTGAATTCTTTCAAATTGTTTTGATGCTTAAATATAATGTAACATTGTTTTGATATTTTGGTATCACAGATCATCATGTCTAGAAGTCTTGTGTACATGTAACTTGTATGTAATATCAAAATTCTAGACTGCCATTTCTTGAAATTTCATCCTTTGCCTCTATGTGTTACACTTAAGTGCAAGTTTTCAATTTTGGAACTTATACAAGTACTAAAACTGTTATTGAAGGCTTCTAAGATTGGGCATTAATTTTGAAATGAATCTTTGTAAATTGGTGGTAACATCATGACTGTTATAACATAGGCCTGTACCCCAAGGGTTTGAGTGTTAATAAGTGTTCACTCTTCAAGTCTTTCAATTTCATGCAGAGTCTGGCATTTCTTTTGAATAACAAATTTGTTTGAAATTTATCTTTGAGCTTGCAGGTTATACTCTTGTACTTTTGGAAACAAAGTTCAGGGTGTGGGTCTATGGTGATACAAGAGTGCATTGTTGTTTGTTCATAAGAGCCCCTATAGTGTCTACGTGCATGTTTGGGACCAGGTGGCATTTATTTGAGGGACTGCAGTTCACTTCACTGCAGAATTGTCCCCTAGGAATCTTTGAATCTCCAGATTGTTTATATTTTTGTCAGCACCATATGAATGCTTTGGAATTTCCCCTAAATGGATAGAAATGCATTTCTTTTGGCTTCCTTCCCACTTTACGCTGACATGCCAATATATGACTGGAATACTGGTTCAAAACAGTAATACACCTAACACAATACACAGCTGTTCTGACCAGTGAAGATCCAGGATAGAATTGGTCTTCAGTAACCCATACTTGTTGTAAGAGGCGACTGACGGGATCGGGTGGTCAGACTTGCAGACTTTGTTGACACGTCATTGCATCCCAATTGCGTAGATTGATGCTCATCCTGCTGATCACTGGATTGTCTGGTCCAAACTCCATTACTTACAGACCGCCACCATGTAGCTGGAATAGTGCTGAGTGTGGCGTTAAACAACCAACCAACTTAGCTGTTCTATGCTTTTGTTTGTTACTACCTTAAAGAAATAGAGAACAAATATTGAACCATTTGTATTTTGTGGACAATGGAAAATCATTGTTTTCAGATTTATATATGTTCATTTGTCATGTACCTGTTAGTTGAAATTATTTAAGGTCAAAGTGAAAACTGTTGAATATATTAAGCTTATTTTCATATGACTAATTGAAGTTTTTTTAATAGATATGTTGTTTAACATGAGGTTGTAATTGCTTTAGCAGAAGTAGTGTTAGTAACCAGGTGTATGGCCATTACCAATTCACATGATGATTTTTTGACTGACCCAATTCCAGGCTCCGGTCTCCACTACTACTACCAGCCATCAGCCACATGAGCTGCTTGCTCCAAATTCATCGGACTGTTCTCATATAGCATTATCAGCCCCCTAACTACTCCTACCACCAGCTGCTCGCCAGCCAGCCCGCCCCGACACCTGCCTTCACTTGCGCCCGCTCGCTCTACGTTTACCATCCATCCCTTCACACATTTTTAGTCAGCGGGCAAGTGCAAGTGGGCAGTCACATCGTCCAAGGCCGTCCAATCTCCTCTTCAGTCAGCGTCAACATCAATCCAGTCCCCCATCGTTCGTACCAGGTCCCAGACTAGGGCTTTCAGCCTGTCCCATCTACAATGAACCCCCTAAAGCGACACATCGTCTATAATCAACAAAGCAACCGTCAACTTTATGTACAGAATGAAGTTGTCAACGCCTTACAACTTTTCCTCTGCAACATGCATACAAAGCAACGTTAGGGACTACTACTACTACTTCTAACCTTCGCAGATTCGTCCCAACCTCTTCATGCAGGGTATGGGTATAGTAGCACTATCAAGAGGACTCATTTGGATGTTAAAGCTGTACTGTCTTGCCATCAGTTATTTGACATATCATTCATTTTGGCATGATAGAATTGAAAATGTAATAGGATCTGATTATTAGATGTAGTGCCATGTGTAGGTCAGATTACTCATTTTACATTTAAAATAAAGTCTAGTACAAAATTTTAAAAACTTTGTGAAAGCCGCCTGGTTGGAGAGTGTTTACTGTCCAGCCAATCAGGTCTTGACAACTTGGTTCTCGATTTGTCAGCTGTTGCATGTTGAAAGAGTCATAGCTGCTGCCAGCCGTTCAGTCAGCTCTTCTGCATCATCCCCTGTCATCATTATTACGGATTTAATTTGTCAACTTGCAGATCTTTCTCCCCACGTCGCAGATCCTACTCCCCGCGTAGGCGAAGTCGCAGCGATTCAAATTCACCTCGTCGTCGTAGCCGCAGCAGGTAAGATGGTGTCTAATCTACATATTTGGTAGTTCATGCAGTTGTATGCTTATTTTGAGTTGTAGTTGAGTTCAGTACCTTCTGCATGAAATGAGAATGCCATAGAACACATGCTTTCCAAAAGTCTCATGTTAAGATCTTTCAGCAGTTTGGAAGAGTGTTTTGGTGTTGTTTGTGTATTAACCAGATGCTCAATCTAATCCACTGTGTGCCATGAGAAAGTAAATGTCTCAAATGAAGTAAAAGAAATCCAGATCAGAAGGCATTGTGTTGCAAAACCCACCCGATGAACTCAAGTCATATGAAAAAATTCAAGTGTTCTTTAGCTACTTTTGAGTATAAGTCAATGTTTTTTAAAAAGGTAAATTTTTGAACAAATCAGCTGAATTGGCATTTTTCAATCTCTAATTGCGCGCCCTTCTTTTACCCTGGTTCTCTTTTGGCTTATTTCTTTATGGATGATCTTTCAGTTCACGGTCCCACTCTCGGGGCCGCAGTCGGTCTAAGGGTAGAAGCCGATCCAGGTCTAGGGGTAGGAGTCTGTCCCGATCTAGGGGTAGGAGTAGGGATCGTAGCAGAAGCCCTCATTCAAAATTGAGCAAGGAGAGAGAGGAAAACGACTAGAGGTAGCGTACACCTCGCCTCCTTCATTATAGAAAAAGCACAGCAGCCAGTGTCATTACTGCCATCCTGTCTTAATATGCACCTAAACTACTTTTCCTAGGCTGCCAATTTAAAGCAACCATTCTTAATGTCTGTCTCTGTGATCTTTCCAGTAGTAAACATTCAGTTATGCTCTCATATTTAACAAATAGTAAGGCAACTTGGGACATTATCAGTTTTGCTTATATAGAAGAGAGGATAATATTTGTAGCAGCATCTGTAAATATTAAAGTTATCACAGACTAGTGGCAGCTGTGTGATTTCGTAGGTTGTATATATAGCTGGGTTGATAACCATAATTATTTGTGTAACAGTCCTGTGTTTGTGATCAGCATGACGTTCCCTCTGCTTGTGGAAGCATCAACATTGTCTCACAAAATGCTTCAACTGATGTGTACTACTTTTGATGCAATTAACCCTCCTTTAGTGTACAGGTCGGATATATTTTAGAAAAACATTTAACGACACTAAATCTACCTTTAACATCTGTATACTTAAGGGATTCCTTAAGTTGTTCAGTCAAGGTCTTATAGTGTTGGTAGACATGGGCTTAGTTAAGTGAAAAGTTGTTAGTACCTGATCAAATTGAAGCTTCCTTTGGTGGACAGTGTTGAATGTGCTTCCCTCCCCCTTCTTTGTTGCTTAGATTCTTGTTTTGTTTGGGAGTGGAATATACTGATATTGTCGTGATGTTGGTAATATGCACTATATAGCCCATGACCACATGCTCTTAAAATGGAAAGCAAAATGTTTCTTTTCCAGCCATGAACTTATGTTTAAAAAATTAAATTCTTGCTTCATGAACCTAAGAATGTGATGAAATAGTACTTGATTGCATTAACATTTTTATCAGTCACTTAGAGTTCATTTGTTTACACTTGTTAAGTACTTGATTGGTGTATTGTAGATTGATGTAAATTGAGTGCAGTTACATTATTCTATTGATGAATTAAAAGTCACTGGGTTTATATTGTGTGTGAGTACAAGGCCTCATTTACCATTAATTTATTCTTTCTCTCTTGCAGATAAGCTGTTGACTGTTGATACTGAAGAATTACCTGTTTTGCAAAGTGAGTGCATGTTTTAAGAGCATTTAAGTATTTAAGGAAAATGTTTAAAAATATCCAGGCAAACCACAGCTCACTTTATCATACCTCAATTTCTTTTTCAATATTCCTTGCCCATAATAGGAAAGTTGGATACACAGAGTTGCTGTAATATACTCATAATATTACCTTTTATGGAGCAAATAAAATCTGAAAGGTGATGGTTATATGCTTAAGAAATTTTGCTTTTATTTTGGGGGGTGGGGTTATAAGCTTAAACCACCTCTCGCTGAAAAATGCTGGGATGCACAAACTACTGATAAGTCAGTCTATGAAACGTGTTTCAAATTTGAATTTATCTCGATATATATGTAGATCAGTGATCTGAGTTGAAGCATTGCCCCTGTTTTTTTTGTTAAATGTTCATGGATTTCATTTATTTCTTTGCAGGAAATCGGGGCCTAAATGTTGATACCAGCGGGGAGATAGCTCCTTGTCACATCAGTTATCTCCATAGGTTGTTGTAAGCAGTGATGTGTACTTATCACTTCTATGTGTTCACACTGCATTCACGGACAGTGACGATCAGTGACGATCCTCCCAGTACTCTGTATTTCTAAACCTGAGGCTACCAAGACCTTTTTTAACAGTATCACTAAAGTAGACTTACATTTTAATGTCTTATGAAAGTGGGGTAGCCTAATGGCCTAAGCATTTGCTTGTCATGCTTAAGGCCTTGATTCAATTCCTCCCAGTTGTTATATTGCTGGAATAATGCTAGAAGTGGCTAAAATCCATGTCACTTTATGTGTTTCTATTCATCACACAGTACTTGCATGTTCAGGGCTCTTGTTCACCAGGCAGTCATGGGGCTACAACTGTTGTAAGTCTTATGTTAAGGTATAGGGGTTAGGATAGTTCTAGCCCTACAATAGCTTTGTGAAATGGTGCCTAAGAAACATTGTAACCAAGAAAAAAATTGAAATACAATGTCCTTCCTGTAAATAAGTGTTTTCATTTTTATATAGGATTCATTCAGTTCATGATTTTAATAAAATGTTGCAAAGTTCAATCCAAGTTCATACATTACACTTGAAGCAAAACTGGGTTACACAGATCAGTGTTTTAGTGTGAACTTGTATTTTTATCAAATATCCTTTTGTTCTTGTAAGGCATTTTTACAAATTGTCAACATGTGCCTATTTTTCTTTGTCTTGCACTGTAATCCTTGGGATGATTGTTGTTTTGTTTAATCATGTCAATAAGACACACATTACGATGTCTTTATCTTGGAAGAATAGCCTTCATATGTATAAATCTAATTTAGCTACGAAATATTTTTGAGTTTCAGATTGATAAAATATTTCAACATTTTTAACTACTATAAATGTTCCTGAAGAAACAAAACAGAGATAAACAGTGAAGTTTAAGTTCCGAAGGCAGTTTCTGTAAATATGCTTGACTATATCACAGTAAACCTCTGATCTAAAAAAACATTATCCAAGATCAAAATTGTTAACTTGGCTTAGCTCATTAATCAAAAAGTTATGTTTTTTCTGAGGTTAGCTGTATATGCTTTGATTTTGTTCAATGAATCATTTGTCTGTGCTGTTATGTGTCCAAGTCTCAATTAAAAAATCAACTGAACAGGATTAGTGCACTTTACCAGGTGCACTATTTTACATTTCAATTAGCATGGCACAGAGGATTGAACTCTCAAGTTCGGCTAATGAGAACATCCAATTATCCAACAGCCTATACTGGGACCATGGCTGTTATCACAAACCATTAGTGCTCTTCTACCAAGTCATCAGCACTTGTTTATCTGTTTGTACATGCATAATGGCCGTTGATTTCACTAAACTCAGAAGAACAGTGAATACAGTGAGTTTCATCACTTGCTTTGGATTTATCATTTTGAAGTACACCCTACCTCACAACTTACCCTAAGGATTGAAATGTTTGCCTGACCCTTAACATCTTAAAGGGTGTTTGGTGGGAGTGGGATCTAAGGGATAAGGATGTTGTTAGGTGTCCTCACCCCAATGATTGAAAATGCTTGTGAGATCCTTGACGCAAGAGCTGGAGTTGCCAGATTGAGCCAGTTAGCACGACAGGTGACTGTACCTGGTAAATTGCACTCATGTCCAACTGAATTATTAGATCTCTTTGCTGTAATTGTCTAGTGTTTTAACGGTTACATTGCCAAGTAATACATTTTAGAAAATTGTATTTCACTACAATGGTATTGCTGCTCATGTATTCATTGAATAAAATTTTATTGAATGTAGATTTTGTTTTGTCGAAATTTACCTGCTTGTGTTTTTCACTCCATGCTGTGCAATATTTCAGTTTTATGAAGGCAATCTGGAAAATATCGAGTCTGGACAAGACTATCCAGATAGCTGTCACCTTATTGATCAAGGTAGTTGTGATACAATGGCTTGCTAAAGGTGGAGTAAAACTCTCTCACTCACTGAACATCTTAACTGTAAAAGTGTATTCAGGAGGTTTCGAGCTGAAAACATCCTACTGCATTGAAACCTTAAGTTGTTTTTAATTATAATTCCTTGGAATAACTTACCTCTGTTCATCCTAGTCTCTGTGTCATAGTGGTTAGAGCATCAGCCCAGAGAGTGGAAGGGCACGGGTTTGATCATACCGAAAGACGTTAAAATATGGTACTTGTTGGTTCCTGCCTGGCCCTTTGCATTAATGGGTACAACAAGGACTGTTTGGCTCAGTCAGTATAAATGTGTCAGAGTTGGATATTCATGCTTAACTGTGGCATGGAATCTGAGCTTAGCACACTATACAAGAACCACACATACACACGCATGCACGTTGTCATATGAGTGAAATATTTTTAAATTGATTATTTATTACAGCTAGAGTCCGTCAACTTAACTTTTGGCACCCTGTTTTTCACAATTTACATAAAACTCCTGAATATTTTAAAACGCTACTCTCTTCATATGGTAATTGTATACTGTGACCTAACAAGATATATTGATTTTAGTAATTCTAAAACGACTATTAAAGATTTTGCCTTTAAACCTGTCATATAATTGTAAAACTGTGGAGAGTTTTACGAGGGGTTAACGCAAGTGATGGAAAAGCCAACAACATTGTAAAATGTGTGTCAGCGTGATATGTACATGCACGGGTATTTACATTAGCACGCTCAAGTGATGTCAAAGATCGTCAACACACAGGTTGTGGTAAAAACGATGTTGTACAAAGATGACCGGTAAATCTTTTTTAAAGCGAAAGAAAGCCCTCTTTTTTCAATTGAGTGTTTCTCCAAAAGACACAATGCCACCAAAATCTGCAAAAGAACATAGCAAAGAGTTATCTCCCATGACACTATTTCAGAGACTGACGATGACATGGCAGTTAAATCGGGGTCTGTCTCAAAACATGCAAAGAAAAGATAGCTTGATGAATTCGATAGAAGGGTTGTGAGGGACGTCATGCGTCGGTTAAATCGATCCAGTGAGTCCATATCGTCAAGCAAACTGAAGAAAATAATGTTCAAAAGAAGACTATGACATCAATGTATCAAAGCATACCATATGCAAGCTGTTGCTCAAGTTTGGATCTTGATACAAGAGATTGAGCAACCAGTATTTAAAGACTTCAATAAATCTACTTGTTAAAAATGGATTTGTGATGATTATACAGTCTCTTTAGATTTGCTTGCAGGCGTTACAATGTAAACAAGATGCACGTGTGTCCCACCATGTTGTTTGCTGTTCCATCGTATCATTTTACTCCCTTGTATAACTACTTCTATTTTTCATATTTTTATAAGATGGCTTCTTAAGAAGAAGCTTTAATAATTGACATAAAATGATGAAATTTAAACCTTAGATAGGTCATAAGATATAAAGAGCGTATGCCTAAAAACATTTTGAAGGCATTTTTTGGTTAAAAGGTAAATTGTGAAAAACAGGGTGCCAAAAGTTCAGTTGATGGACTGTAGGCTGCTCACAGACGCTTTTTTCCCCTCGATCATAAGATGTCAGTCTCAGCGGCACTTCGTATTATCAATCTCAACTCCCTGGGGATCATACAACTCTTGCAGCCACAAGGCGCACTGAGTTAATGTGGCTTTCCCATCCTTACGAGGTACCCATTCACAGCTGGGTGGACTGGGACACATATACTTTGTCCAAGTTTACTGCACGTTGCTGTACCCGCAACTAGGTGTTTGCACGTATTCATGTGGCCACCATGTGGTCATATACCATATAAATGAGACGTTAAACTCCATTTCACCTCACCTCATCCTAGTCAAACTGTTTTTGGCTTGCACAGATATACATTTCTGTATATAGTACCCAAAACAAACAAAATCTCCGAGATCAGGTTGCTTTTTTTAGACCATCTTTTCTCAGGTAAAGTTGGAGATATTGTCAAAAATATACAATCAAAACATTAAATGAGTTTACAGTTATCTGTATCTGCAAAGGAAAGTTCCAAACTGATGTTTCTTCTGCTGCTTAGTATATATTCCCTCACAAATGGGATTGGGTGGTCTGGCTCGCCGACTTGGTTGACATGTCATCATGTTCCAATTGCTAAGTTCGATGCTCATGATGTTGATCACTGGATTTCTGATCCAGACTCGGTTCTTAACGGACTGCCACCATATAGCTGGAAGATTGCTGCGTGCAGCCCCGTTAAACAACAATCCAACCAACCAACCTAAAAAGAAATTCCCCAGTACTAGCAAGAAAGGGGTCAATTCCTGATACGGGATGAGACAAAATCAAACTTACTAAAAGACACATTTCAATATGAATTTCGCTTTATGATATCTTAGAAAACAAAACATATACAGTGTGTACAGAATATTTAACGTCAATAGAAAAATATGAGATAAAAGCATACCTGTGGCAGTGACTAACTAACACCACTACATCAGAAACAATGTGGTACCCTACATGTAGATCGGTTAAAAGTATCAACAGTATATTTGAAATTTGTACAAAAATCATGTACATACAGTGAAAGACAATACTAGTACATCGCAACATAAAAAGCTTTCCATTTCCTATTTCTCCACATATGGTGTCTACTCAAAAGTACTTATGTATCAAAATAACAAGTATTGCACGAACTATAAATGCAGTTGCACAGAGTATAACATTTCAGTATGATTCCCTACAGTATATACAAAATATGTATACTGTATGGAAATATATATAAATAATTTCATTCACCTTTACCAATCAATCAACAATGCAAAGAAAGGGTAAGGAGAGTAACTTGTATTACCTAGAAACCAAAGCCGCTGCAGATTTTAATAAACATAAGGGACCATAATTTATGGCTAGCGGGGGGATGATGATTTTAAGGGGTGCCACCCATTTTGTTCTGGGGAGGAAGGGGGTCATCAACTTTGTACAGATGTACTAGAGGTGGGTGTCATTGATTTGTGTATAGGGCATGCGGGGTTGGGGGGTGGGGCACTTACTTTGTACATATATTTTAGGGAGGATCATTCGCATTTTACATGCTTCTCCATAAAAATCATCCCCACCCCCCTAGCCATAAATTATGAACGGTCCCTTAAGATATACCTTGCTTCAGTTAAATGTTTTTGCGCTTCCTTTTGCACATCACGTGAGTTTTATAAATATTGAATTTTGCATAATCTCAATCAATATCAGTGGGATTGGCTGCAGGTTGTTGATTCTGATAACCTAACAATCATTTACTTTGTTTGGTAATTGTCATTTCGTAGCATATCCAGTCAAACTGGAAAATGCAAATCAAGGGCAGGTAATCTGAGATGGCAAGAACCACAGGAATTGTTACCCATCACATTAAAATCAGACGTTTTGCCACTCAACCTTCAAATCATCCTTGAAAAAAACCCCCAACTTTTCAGATTTCATGACACTATGATTAGTTTGTCACCGATATTAAAGAGCACCAGTTCAAATAAATGATGGTACAATGTATATTTAAAGATACAGTACAACCAGAAATTATTGAGAATTTAAGATTGTAATTTTATATATATTTTTTTCACTCATTACTCACATATTAAATGTGAATATTAGCAGAACATAACTCCAGATTCAAAGACAGGTGAACAGTTAGTATTTTGTCAAGTCACCATGGGCAGCAATGCAGGCTTCAATGCGGCGGGGCATACTACTGATCAAAGAAGTTAGAAAGTCATGGTCCATGCTGTCCCAATATTGGACCACCTCTTCTTTCATTTCAGCAATATTTGTCAGATTTTTCTTATTGACACTTTCCTTCATAAGTCCCCAAACATTTTCTACTGGATTTAGGTCAGGGCTATAGCTTGGCCAATCTAATAATGTCATATTTTGGGTCCGAAACCAGGCCTGTGAATGCTTTGAACGATGTTTTGTGTTGTTGTCCTGCTGGAAAATACAAAATTTCCATAGAACACGTGAGCAGATGGAAGTAAATGTCCCTCGAGAATATCTGTGTACCGCTCACTGTTCATATTCCCTTCAAATATACAGAGGGGCGTTGCCCCTAACACAGATATGCCACCCCACACGTTAAATTTCGGACTGTACTTTGGGAGCTGATACAAAGGTTTTTCAGTTTGTTTGGTCCAGAATTTCAGTGTATTAGGAAACAGCCACACAGAACTTTCATCTGAGAAAATCACATTGTCCCAGTTAAAATTTCTATGCTGTAAGCACCAGTTCAACCTTCACTCCTTTTGTTCAGGTTTCATGATCGGTGATGGAATTCCTCGACTTTTCTGCCAACCCATTGCATGCAGCTCAGTTCTAATTGTCTCCTTACAGACAGCCACAGTTCCTCTATCAATCATATCCAGCCTTAAGTTTTCTAAACTCCTTCGTTTGTTTTTTAGAAACAAGAATACCAAGCCGCCTCCTGTCACCGACAGTCAATTTTCTGGGCGAACCTGCACCTGCCTGGTGCTCAATGCCATATCCATTTGCAATATTTTTCAAAATACGATAAACAGTGGACAAAGGGATGCCTGTTCTACTTGAAATCACTTTAGCTGATCTGATGTCCTTGTTATAATACTCTAAAATCAACTTCCTCTTCTCTAAATCATCCATACTCAGGATCACTGAAAATGCCGTCTGCTAGCAAGTAAACAAAGGGGGGATAACTCTTCACAAACTAATGAAAAAGGATTAACGGAGTTCTCTCTCTTGAATGAAACCAAGCACTTGATAGCTGGTCAAGGTTGTTTATACTACAAATCCAATTAAACATATTCTTAAAATTCTCAATAATTTCTGGTCATACTATATTGGTGTCGTTTTGATAAAATACACAGAACTTAATTAAGCACCCCTTGTATTTTTGCAATGATAGGTTTTGAACACGTACATAAAACTTCTCGTGGTGACCACAATGGAAAAACTCAGTATTTTTCCCAAATGAGCAATTATCATCATAAAATCAACATGGACTCAAATCATTTTGTCGTTATAAATGAGTCAAAGGATGATACTGGTCAGAAAAACTCATTTTCATACAAAACCATGTATGTACAGGTATGGCTGTGGAATGTTAAATGTTGAATTTATTGGTGAATGTGAACATTCAAAATATCAATACCGAAAGTAACCTCCTTGTTACTGTATGACAGCCAGCACTCTCCTCCTCATACCTACTGTCAGCTTCCTGATCCTCTGAAGGGCCAGTCTACACCATTCCTCGGTAAAGCAGTTTCCAATTGGGCCAGGTTCCAAACAGGAGCATCACTTTGTTGCACACGACATCCAATCATGTCCCATGCTCCAAAGGGTTAAGATCGGGGCTCATTCATATGTGAGATAAGTCAGGAGGTGCTTAACTAAGTTCCTTGTGGTATACATTAATTTCAATATTGAATAGGTAGGACATTTAAAAACTATAATGGAAAACTGTTAAAATGTTAAGGTTTCAGCTACAAATGTTCATAGCATAACTTGATGAGTGTGAGTGAGTGAGTGAGTGAGTGAGTGAGTTTAGTTTTAAGCAGCACTCAGCAATATTCCAGCTATATAGCAGCAGTCTGTAAATAATCGAGTCTGGACCAGACAATCCAGTGATGAACAGCATGAGCATCGATCTGCGCAATTGGAACTGATGACATGTGTCAACCAAGTCGGCGAGCCTGACCACCGGATCCCGTTAGTCACCTCTTACAACAAGCATAGTCGCCTTTTGTGGCAAGCATGGGTTGCTGAAGACCTATTCCACCCCGGATCTTCACGGGTCAGCATAACTTGATGACAAAATGGGGTAGAAAATAACCCAGAAAATAAACAAATAATTTAGGACAAATTATCGATACACCTATAAAAATGTTCAAATGTAGAAAGGATACCTTTGACACAAACTGACACTCATTCGTTTTAGCAGTTTGGTACTTATTCCTATGCTTGGCAGATGAAACCAACGTCTCAACAATGAACTGGGACGGGTGAAAAGCTCCTGTAATGCCTACAAGATCTGACTATGTTGATTCACTAGACGCTAATGAAAGCAAACAACAATCTACTTGTTTGTCTTTGTCATCAGAGCAGAAGGTATTGACAGTCAGGTGTAAAAACATGCATTTTTTCAGGCTATTTTTGTGTATCTTTGACGGATTTTGATTTTGCACCAGCAAAGGTCCTCCTGGTGTGGTTGGCTACTAAAATGATTATATTTCCCACAAGCTACACTTGTGTACCAAATTTTACGTGTAAATTTCAAATAATTTGTGTGTAACAAAATATGTACCAGACCAGGGATGCACCTTAGTCTGGATCATTTACAAGCCAACAAAACATATCAATACAACCCAATATGTCACACATTGCCTAAACCATATTACTTTCCCTTCTGCTCAGCCCTTACAGAAATATGCTATCACCCTAAATGAAGCAATTCTGGAACTTTCACAAAATCAGGCTCTGAATCTCCAGCACCTCTTTGACTGACTGAGTATGGGTTTACAATGCTTCTAGCAGTATTCAAGCAATATCACGGCAGGGGGACACTAGAAATGGGCTTCACACATTGTACCCACGTGGGGACTTGAACCCGGGTCTGACGAGTGAACGCTTTAACCATTAGCCTACCCCACCGCCCCCACATCTCTTTAACACTAGACAAACTGTTTGGGTTGGGTGGCAGTGAGAATTATTACCAACAAGCACAAGAAACAATTTCAATGATGTCATTTTCATCTTGATCCTACTCAGAATACTCCACTTCACAGCCAGAGTCTGCACTGTCAAGCCTGCGTCCACCGGACACCTGGTGTCTGGTGTGGAACACAACCTCCTCCCTGGCCTCCAGTAACCAGTGACTGACATGCCGGTACTGTCTGGTGGTCATCCTGTAGCCACTCCACAGGAACCACGTCAACAGATAGCTAAGGACCAGTCGGTCCAAGGTCATCTGGGGGTGGACCCACAGAGCCAGCACCAACAGGACCGGGCCGGGATGTCGCACACTTCGGTAACATCTCTGTAACATCTTGGGTAGATATTGCAAAGGTGGGCCAAGTTCCATGTGGTAATTGTAGATCTGGGAAATAAGAGTCGATGAATTAATGGCATGTTAGCGATCTGTCGAGGTCCCCGTTAGAATTGGTCTTCAGTAACCCATGCTTGACGTAAGAGGTGACTAAAGGGATTGGGTGTTCAGGCTTGCTGACTTGGCTGACACATGTCATTGTATTCCAGTTGCGTAGATCGATGGTCATATTGTTGATCACTGGATTGTCTGGTCCAAACTTGATTATTTACAGAATTGGGATACGATGACATGTGTCACCCTAGTCAGCGAGCCTGACGACCAGATCCCACTTGTCACCTTTTACGACAAGCATGGGTTGCTGAAGACCAAATCTATCCCGGATCTTCACGAGATACAGTCAGCAATATAAATAACATGCCTTTCAGACGTTTCCCACTGTTCATTCAAGGGTAGTCCGATCTGTAAGCAATGTCTTATTAAATAAGTGTACACACCTGCTTGAGTCCTATCATCTCTAGTGGCTCCATGGTGAGGGCGTCCAGAAACATGATGGTCCAGGCGAACACATGGAGAAGTAAGAAGAAGAGCCAGAGGAAGAACCTTTCACTTGTGTCAAAGTACCACAGGTATGGGTTCGTGATGGGCTCCCACAGGTACATCACAGTCTGAAGACAAACACACATATGTCAGGTTCAACTATGTTTTCATGCACAAGCTAATATCCATAACATTAGATCGTTAATTGAGATACTGGTCAGTGGGAAGATCTAACTTAACTTCCACAGAAAGTTATGACTTTTACAGGTGACTTTTACATTTCAACATATACAAGGGAAACAGACTCTTATCAAAAGCTCAAAAATTCAGTTTGGTCAAGTAACTGCAGCTAATTATAGTTTAATTATGATGATGATAATAATAATAGTGTACATTTCTATGGACATTATGAAAACAGGTAATCTATTAAAAAATAAAATGGTTCTGGGAGTCAAATTCGGGATAGTAGACTAAAATATTTCACACAGACTGTGAGTGAGTGAGTCTGGTTTTATGCTGCTTTTAGCAATATTTCAGCTATATCACGACAGGGAACAGCAGAAATGGGCTTCACACATTGTACCCCATTCCAATAAATCTCCACTATACCCTGGATGCATCTACGGCTGATGATTTTATTACCTCCCTTGGTTGGATTTTTATCCAATCAGTAGCCTACGCTAGAAAATTGAACGTACCAATCACAACTCACTTTCGCTTTTTAAATTATCTAAACGATTAAACTTGGCAACACAATAATATATTGTTGCAGAGGTACTCTGAAAGAGATAGAAGGAGTTCTTGCATATATATTTTTCAGATTTCAGACCTGTCAATTTGTCTGTTTTCTCCCCAATCTGAGTCGCACTGCGAACAAACTTTCGCGGCTGCAACCACTATCTTTTTTGACACTGGGAAACTCGGTTGTTAACGGTGGCTTATCTGATTGGCTAGCCGTAGATGCATCCAGGGTATAGTGGAGATTTATCGGAACGTTTACCCTGGGGGATTATCGAGGATGATTGTACCCATTTTTGTGGGGAATTGAACCTGGGTCTTCGTCGTGGCAAACAAACGCTTTAACCACTAGGCTACCCAACTGCCTCACACACAGTCTGAACACAAAGGACAAATTTGTATATTCATTTATAAGTACTGTGACACGTAATTAATACAAGGTACAAATGTAGTCAAATACAGTAACCTGATATTTGTTTTGGCAATGCAACCTAATCAGGAAACTGACAATTAGTGCACTAAGGTTCCTTAGTGGATAAACCACAGCATGTGATGTATAGAATGAAATAGTGTGATATGTAATAAAGTGACAATTATTGTTGAAAGTTATTATCCCCCTCAACGCGTTTTGCTGGGGGGTATTAAAATGGACTCTGTCCGTGTGTCCGTGCGTCTGTCAGTGCCCATTTGTCTTTTCCGGAGCAGAACTCTAAAACCGTTCAATGTTTCTTCACCAAACTTGGCACATACATGGATCTGGTGGTGTACTGGTGCCTTTTGGTAGTTTTGGAATTCTGAATTAAATATTTTTGGCGTTTCCATGGCAACAAGTTCGACTTTGACTGAAATTGGTGATAGTGCTCCTTTCTGGAGCAGAACTTTCAAAACCTTTCAATACTCTCCTTCCACTTTTCTATATACACACCTAAATATTTGACATAATCATAACTCGTAGACATAATCATGAAGAGTATTTTGCCATTGCGGGGGATATTGATGACTTTGTCTTCTTGTATTCAAATTGTTTTGACTCTAATAAATTCCATGTATTTTGCTGTCATAAAGGCACATGTCCATTGGTCCATGTGGTTGGAAAATATCAGTACTCAGGTAACCTGTTCCAGCACAAATACAAGTAAGTGGGTGTGTCATTGAACCTCTAAAATTACTGAACACACATCACACACCTTGGCATGTACAACTTACCATGAGAGTAAAGGATGTGACTGCCACATGGATGAGTCTCTCCACCACTGTGATGCCACAGTATTCAAGGAACCTCTTGAATCTGTCTGTTGACATGACCTTATGTTGAAGAATGAAAAGAACAACAAGGCAGAGGTCAAGGAGACAGAGGCTGATAACTGGAGCATCTGAAAAAGAGAGAATGAGAGGTGGAGTTGGCCAGTGACATAAATATTCTAAGTGGAATGTTATCATGGTTATGGCAAAAAAGTCACCATTATGACTTCCTAGGTTGGTATACACTCTTATCTTCAATCATATCAATGCATTTATCAGCAAGAAACATGGAAAAACCTGGGCCCACTTGCACAAAGCAACCTCAAAACTAAGATGGTTTCGAAACTCCCTAGTCGAGAGCTGTGATGCAGTCACAGACAGCTGCAGCTTTCGGCTAGTAAGTAGATTATCTACCATACTCTAATATAAAATCAAAACTTTCGTAGCACTATGATTGCTTGTGCAAATGGGCCTTGGTGGTTTGAAATAATAACAACAGCAACAATAACAATAGTTCATAAACTCGTATTCCATCCAAGGCCTACATCGAGCACACCTAAAACGGTATAACCCGTATAGAGCACACCTTGCAACGTCGTCTAGTTATATGCTGGACTACAATAACAACAGCAAATATAACTCAGGGGATGATAAATTAGGTCGGTGGTTCGATCACAAGCGGGGTCATATAAAAGACAAAAAAAATAGCAATGGGGGCGAAAGGCGTGTAAAATTGTCATCTGTATAAGATATCGTACCTGGATTTGATTGGAGAACATTTTGACTTGAGACAAACGCAACGAACGTTGTAAGACAGCTGAATAACATAGAACATGTTATTAGAGGAAGTATGATATGGGCGACCAAAGTCTCCATTGCAAACCCTGTAAGAAATAAAAGATGCTAGTGACAGCAAAACCGATAATACAATATAATCAGCCGGTGCTGAGCTGATTGTTTGTCAGACAAGACAGTTTGGAGTTCGCTCCAAGTTTTGTGGGCCCCCTAGCACGACGTTGAGAAATGTTAACGGTGCCTCCTTTGCATATGTGTGTTTTGCTTTAGAAATTGACTATGATAAAAGCACTTAATTATCTTTATTATAGTCGAGAATGCTTCCACCAAGAATATCAACCGCAAATACACAGCACGTTTGTGTGAGCTGTAAGGGGTTGAACAAGGGACGTAACTCTGTCGAATTCAAAGATTTTGCAGTACAAAGACTGAGGAAGATATTTCAAAGTTCGAAACCAAGAAATATCAGAATTTGTTATTACCTTATAATCATTTCTCTTTTGATTAAACATTTGCTGAAATGTTTTATTCATTCTTCATTCTGAAACGATTTCTGTGAAAGTGCCAAATCGGAAATGGAGGAGATGGTACAAGGTTTACACGAAATGCAAATATAACTACTATTTTCGCCTCTTAGTAGAATATATAGAGAAACCGAACAGGGAATATACTCAGTTCAAATATACTATTCACACTTTGCTAAGGATCAAACCATTGATTCAACAGAAAACTATGATGTGGGGTCTAATTTGGTTTAAATATCTAAGCTTATTGTAAGCATGGATCCTAGGTTTCAGTATATCACCGAGTTTAGTTTTACGCCTTTTTAGCAATATTCCAGCAATATCACGGTGGAGGACACCAGAAATGGGCTTCACACATTGTACCCATGTGAGGAATCGAACCCGCCTCTTCGGCGTGACGAGCGAACGCTTTAACCACTAGGCTACCCCGCCGCCCCGAGTAACATAGAACATAGTAATCCCAAATATAACATATGTTAACATAGAACATGTTATTAGAGGAAGTATGATATGGGCCACCAGAGTGCTCATTGCAAACCTTTTCAGTCTGTTTAGTTTGCTTGATAACGGTGTTAGAACCTACACCGAAACGTCGCTCTCACTGTAAAAAAGAAGTTGTTCATCCATATATTGTTATCCTTCCTTACTGCTCCAACTACTAAAAGCCTCTCAAAGAAGTTACGATGTCATCGTTGAAGGGAACAGGCAAGCTACGTTGGTCCATTGGTTTCTGATATTGCTGACTGCGATATAAAAACTAGTCAGTACTGCCAGCAAGCACATAAACCAGTGATATCCATTATTACCATCTCCCTTTCCATTTTCGTTTTCATTAGTATTGTATTAGTTAAGCACGCTGAGTGAGTGGGCAAATATGGACATTTTTTACACTAGCTTAGGGCTTTCCATCTTCATTCAACTCGCACATTTTGCGTTGTCCCATCTACATCGAGGCACCACACACGAGCTTCACAGATTTTATCCATGTGGAGAATCTATAGCTCAGGGCTCGGCGTGACGATCCAGCGTTTTCACCGACATAATTTACCCCACTTCGATTTTGTTTTTATGTAGCCATGGAGAAGAATAGTTAAAAATACATCATCAATCTGAATTAATGATAAAGTATCTCGGAGAATCTCGAACACAGCGGTGAGCCACGGTCCGAATTCAAGTAATGTTGATCAAAATATCCGTTCTGTAGAGAAATATCCATTTTATAATCCATATGTTACCATGTTTATGTATCAAATATGGACAGCTCGGCTTGAATCATTTGTTATTGATGTAACGTACAGCAGTAATGTTCTCTGTCTGTATTGTTATTGATGTAACGTACAGCAGTAATGTTCTCTATCTGTATTGTTATTGATGTAACGTACAGCAGTAATGTTCTCTATCTGTATTGTTATTGATGTAACGTACAGCAGTAATGTTCTCTGTCTGTATTGTTATTGATGTAACGTACAGCAGTTCTCTGTCTGTAATGTTCTCTGTCTGTATTGTTATTGATGTAACGTACAGCAGTAATGTTCTCTATCTGTATTGTTATTGATGTAACGTACAGCAGTAATGTTCTCTGTCTGTATTGTTATTGATGTAACGTACAGCAGTAATGTTCTCTATCTGTATTGTTATTGATGTAACGTACACCAGTAATGTTCTCTATCTGTATTGTTATTGATGTAACGTACAGCAGTAATGTTCTCTGTCTGTATTGTTATTGATGTAACGTACAGCAGTAATGTTCTCTGTCTGTATTGTTATTGATGTAACGTACAGCAGTAATGTTCTCTATCTGTATTGTTATTGATGTAACGTACACCAGCATTGTAATGTTACTCTCTGTCTGTATTGTTATTGATGTAACGTACACCAGTAATGTTCTCTGTCTGTATTGTTATTGATGTAACGTACAGCAGTAATGTTCTCTATCTGTATTGTTATTGATGTAACGTACAGCAGTAATGTTCTCTGTCTGTATTGTTATTGATGTAACGTAATGTTCAGCAGTAATGTTCTCTATCTGTATTGTTATTGATGTAACGTACAGCAGTAATGTTCTCTATCTGTATTGTTATTGATGTAACGTACAGCAGTAATGTTCTCTCTATTGTCTGTATTGTTATTGATGTAACGTACAGCAGTAATGTTCTCTATCTGTATTGTTATTGATGTAACGTACAGCAGTAATGTTCTCTATCTGTATTGTTATTGATGTAACGTACAGCAGTAATGTTCTCTATCTGTATTGTTATTGATGTAACGTACAGCAGTAATGTTCTCTATCTGTATTGTTATTGATGTAACGTACAGCAGTAATGTTCTCTATCTGTATTGTTATTGATGTAACGTACAGCAGTAATGTTCTCTATCTGTATTGTTATTGATGTAACGTACAGCAGTAATGTTCTCTATCTGTATTGTTATTGATGTAACGTACAGCAGTAATGTTCTCTATCTGTATTGTTATTGATGTAACGTACAGCAGTAATGTTCTCTATCTGTATTGTTATTGATGTAACGTACAGCAGTAATGTTCTCTATCTGTATTGTTATTGATGTAACGTACAGCAGTAATGTTCTCTATCTGTATTGTTATTGATGTAACGTACAGCAGTAATGTTCTCTGTCTGTATTGTTATTGATGTAACGTACAGCAGTAATGTTCTCTATCTGTATTGTTATTGATGTAACGTACAGCAGTAATGTTCTCTATCTGTATTGTTATTGATGTAACGTACAGCAGTAATGTTCTCTATCTGTATTGTTATTGATGTAACGTACAGCAGTAATGTTCTCTATCTGTATTGTTATTGATGTAACGTACACAGCAGTAATGTTCTCTATCTGTATTGTTATTGATGTAACGTACAGCAGTAATGTTCTCTATCTGTATTGTTATTGATGTAACGTACAGCAGTAATGTTCTCTATCTGTATTGTTATTGATGTTAACGTACAGCAGTAATGTTCTCTATCTGTATTGTTATTGATGTAACGTACAGCAGTAATGTTCTCTATCTGTATTGTTATTGATGTAACGAACAGCAGTAATGTTCTCTGTCTGTATTGTTATTGATGTAACGTACAGCAGTAATGTTCTCTATCTGTATTGTTATTGATGTAACGTACAGCAGTAATGTTCTCTATCTGTATTGTTATTGATGTAACGTACAGCAGTAATGTTCTCTATCTGTATTGTTATTGATGTAACGAACAGCAGTAATGTTCTCTATCTGTATTGTTATTGATGTAACGTACACCAGTAATGTTCTCTATCTGTATTGATGACTTGTTCAGTTATGATACCATGATGCTCCTCAAATATGACTGGCAATTGTTACATAAACAACACACACGAAAGTAAACACATTGTTAACGTACTCTGCCATTTCTACAGGCTGAAATATATACTTGAGCATTTTAATATTGTAACCTTCATAATACATGAAGGAAAACCATGTTCTATCGATAACACCGTATCTACACCAAAACGTCACATTCACTGCAATAAAGAAGTTGACTTGTTCTTTACAACTTCTAGAAATGTCTCTCAAACAAATTCATAATACACGTTCATTGGCGGAGCCAAGCTTCCGGGGTCTGAATAGCCTGAATACCCGATCCAAAGTCGCCCCATACGACAAGCAATCTTGCCGAAACAGTTCTAACCCAGATCTTCACTGGTTTAGTACATGGGTTACACATTCTCGTGATGTTGTTCATCTTCCAGTTCTATGTTTAACAAAGCCCCACAAACTCATTAAAGAACAGGAAATGAATTGAAACATACTGCTTATTTTCTTGAAATGTTAAGATCGACATCTTGAAATTTCAATAACTCTATCTACCAGCTACCAGGGTCTATCTGCAGTGAAAATCACTAATGGATTGTGTGTCTTGATTTAATGACTGCTAAAGCGAATTTAGATTTCCCAAGAGGCCGTGATTGACAGATGTCTGGCCTCACTGTATGTTTCACACTACCGATGTATACTGACGATGATTACGTTAAGTTATTTTACACAGAGTTGACACATTATTGTTATTACAATGAAGTCGTTGAAGGACATCGATAAGCTTCCTCTACCCGCTCAGCGTGAGGTACCGTTATCAATGTATAGATGACTATAATTACGAACAAGAACCGATCCCAGCAACCCTTGCTGCACTGTGCTCATTGAATGATCTTAGCACTAAGGTAATTGTAAGTTCATGATAAAGCATGGTAGTTACAATGATAGAACGAGTGAGTGAGTTTTGTTTTACGCCGCACTCAGCAATATTCCAGCTATATGGCGGCGGTCTGTAAATAATCGAGTCTGGACCAGACAATCCAGTGATCACCAGCATGAGCATCGATCTACGCAAAAAATGATTTCTTGTTCATCATAGTACAGGAGTACATATATAAGGAAAATCACAAAATAATGACACAACACGTATTTTTTCTCCTACATGGCCCGTAACGTTTGGTAACAAATTTAAGGAATTAAAGAGCTGATACCGCTATTGTTTGTAGAAGTGAGTGAGTGAGTGAGTTTTACGCCGCTTTTAACAACATTCCAGCAATATCACGGCAGGGGACACTAGAAATGGGCTTCACACTTTGTGCCCATGTGGGGAATCGAACCCGTCTTCGGCGTGACGAGCGAACACTTTAACCACTAGGCTACCCGCCGCACTGATCTGCAACTTCTAAACAATAATAGCTGTGAGAGTGAACATCCCATTTTACCTGATCAAGGATGAGCTGGACTTTAATCGTGATTACTAAACGCATTATGATATAGTCGGAATTAGTGTAATAGAAAATAGTACAAAGGACTACTTTTATCAGAGATTCCATATTATTAGAAGAAAATACATGTTTCCAGAATTATGGGTTTGTTCAGAGGAAGTCATACAAGTACTACTCTTATTCTACTTCTGAAGACGAAGTTCGAGTTTGTTTTGTTTGGTAACTAGGCGACATTTGAAACACACATGAACGATCCACTGGGAAATATATAGTTTACCTTTGTTTACATATGTGTTATTTTACCAATGGAACTGTAGTCTGATCTTTCCGAACAAAACATACCTAGATCAATGTACTATTGTGTGACATACGACCATCAGACAGTCCCCTCTAAATGCATGCATTGTGTCGAACATTGGCGTTCAGGAGCGTCACTGTTATACTGAAATACACGGTTGAATGACTACCACAATACAAGTTGGTTTCCGTCAGACACATCAAAGGTGAAGGTCGTTTACCTATTGATCGACCTTACTATTACTAACCAATATTCACGCAGTGACCAAATATGATGATATCGAGAGCGGGATCTCATGTTTCGACTGCCGTGTAGCGCGATGTAAGTTTATCTCCGTTATAGCGAGGTTGGTTATTTCAACTCTGAATGGATATATGACAGGATTTCATAAACCACTACCTGCAGTGTAGGTGTACACCTTATTAGTCAAGGCCACAATCAAGGTAAGTCGCACTGCTTGTATATACCTCTATTGTGATGTGTTCTTGAGGCGCCAACATAACACGAAGTGCGGCTTTGTTGACATTCATTTCGAAACTGTGTGAACTTCAAACCCGATCAGGCTTTATGTCACTTTTCCTTTGAAGGTTTATACATTCTTATATATATTCTTTTTTTGCGTTGACTTTGGTTTTCAAAAAGAATACTTAGTTATAGTTATAAGAAACCATTCTCCACTGGCGTTCTTTCCTGCTTTCTCTGAATCAGCTCCAAATTTCATTTACACGAGGTTCTTGTAAAGAAAGTATCTGTCTAGACCTTAATGTAGTTATGCTCCTGTCTTGTATAGGGGCGGTGGGGTAGCCTAGTGGTTAAAGCGTTCGCTCGTCACGCCAAACACCCGGGTTCGATTCCCCACATGGGTACAATGTGTGAATTCCATTTCTGGTGTCCCCCGCAGTGATGTTGCTGGAATAATGCTAAAATCGGCGTAAAACTTAACTCACTCATTCACTTGTATCATGTCCTGTGTAAGTATTTATGTGCACTACACCACCCACTGTATGATCAAATTTACACGCAGTTATCGGTATTGTGTCAGTCAGGATACTTAGGAAGTAACGTACATCCGTCTTGTCTGTGTGGGGCGGTGGGGTAGCCTAATGGTTAACGTGTTCGCTCGTCACGCCGATTCCCCTATGGATACAATGTGTGAAACCCGTTTCTGTTTTCCCCCGCCGTGATGTTGCTGGAACATTGCTAAACGCGGCGTAAAAGCTTACTCATTCACTCCTTGTCTGTATGTTATACTGTGTCAAAGCCATGGGCTACGTGGGTCAAGCAATGGGACAAAGCTTTTTTGATTATAGTAATATATAACGGTCAACTACAGTTATAACGAACTCAAACTGACAACTAATTTTGTTTTCATTAAATCGTTAAAACCGCAATTCATTGTACGCATTTTGTCTTAATATAGTGCCTGGGACTGTACAGTTCGTTACAACCGTCACTTCGTTTTAAAGCAGTTAACTGTGCAGTTTTGGAGTAGTTCAATACCGAGAGCATTTTCTGGTGATTCGGAGGTGTCATCTTTACTGAGTGAGTGAGTGAATTTATAGTTTTACGCCGCACTCAGCAATATTCCAGCTATATGGCGGTGGTCTGTGAATAATCGAGTCTGGACCAGACAATCCAGTGATAGACAGCACGAGCATCGATCTACGCAATTGGGATACGATGACATGTGTCAACCAGCCAGTCTGACCACCCGATCCCGTTAGCCGGCTGTTACGACAAGCATGGGTTACTGAAGTCCAATTCTAACCCGGATCTTCACGGGTCTCAAGTTTACTGATTCTGTAAGATCCTAAGAGAAAGTCAATTTCCTTGCTATTTGCAAAGTACTTGTAAGATATCAATCATGTCATGCAAAAGTTGTTAATGGGATCTGACCTGATTTAAGTGTGTGGCGAAACTATGCTGCATATACTCTGTGATGTAGACATAGTGAGGTGATACCCTGGGTGTATGTGGTGTGTCCATAACCTGTGGCTTGGTATCCTCGTATCCTTGGTGATAAACATCGAGCCGGATCCTAGGTTGACGAAGTGGACTCTAAAATATTTATATTCTGACAAATGAATGGCAAAATCTTATCTTTGTTTGTGTTTGGGATTAAGAGAGTGAAGTAAAATGGCAAAGTAAACTCTAAATATTCATGTTCTAGCTATTGAACGATAAGGGCTAATCATCTTTCTTTTGTTTGGGAGTATATAAGCTAAGTGGTGTGACAAAGTATTACCAATGCCATGACAATTGAATGATGAAGGGCTATCTTTTATTTGTGTTAGAAAACACGCATTAGTGAATTAAATTTTATGGGGAAAGAAAGATAGAGAGGGACCGAGAGAAGGAGGAATAAAGAGCCGTGAAAAGCAATACCATCGTTGAGAAATACAAGAGAAAGACTATCGATATGGATAGGGAGAACAGGGAATATCTGGGACGGGAAACTAGCAATACGGGGATCAGTTAAAAGTATAGGGAGAAAGAGAGCAGATGGAAAAGTGACAGACGAAATAGAGATACATGGAGAGATAAATGGGGTTGTTTGTTGTTTTCTGCCGCACTCATTCACTTCACTTCTATGTTGACTGTCAGCATGGGTATTTTGGATCAGGTCAACGTCTTGTAGCTGGAACATCGGATGTTGCGGTGTTAAACACTAAGTAAACTTATAGGTCACTAACCAAACACTGACCACTCTACGTGTCATTTATCTCAGATAAAAGCGATCGTCGCTTGCTACAATTGGTTTACTTGCAAAACGTATTTACGCTGCCTCTTGTGCGTTTATTTAAACATTCACAGGCGAGTTTGCGTGATGGTATACACACGTGTAGTTCTGTTTGGCGTAACTCATGTATTAGTAATGCATGCCAGTGGGGCTAAGCAGGTGCTGTTATGTGTCTGTCCAAACATCTTCAGTGTTGCAGCCACCAGCATAGATGGTAATCGATCTCGCTGAACCGTGGCAATTAGTCCTGCCTGTGGGCAGTGGGGCAGTGGGCAGTGTCATGTTGGTTGCAGGTAACTGAGTGTACGGTGTGTGATGTGTGATGTTGGTTGCTGGTAACTGAGCGTGGGGGGTGTGATGTTGGTCGCAGGTAACTGAGTGTACGGTGTGTGATGTGTGATGTTGGTTGCTGGTAACTGAGCGTGGGGTGTGTGATGTGTGATGTTGGTTGCTGGTAACTGAGCGTGGGGTGTGTGATGTGTGATGTTGGTTGCAGGTAACTGAGTGTGGGATGTGTGATGTTGGTTGGAGGTTACTGAGTGTGGAGTGTGTGATGTTGGTTGCAGGTTACCGAGCGTGGGGTTTGTGATGTTGGTTGCAGGTTACTGAGCGTGGGGTGTGTGATGTTGGTTGCAGGTTACTGAGCGTGGGGTGTGTAAATTGTGATGTTGGTTGCAGGTAACTGAGCGTGGGGTGTGTAATGTGTGATGTTGGTTGCAGGTAACTGAGCGTGGGGTGTGTAATGTGTGATGTTGGTTGCAGGTTACTGACCGTGGGGTGTGTAATGTGTGATGTTGGTTGCAGGTTACTGAGTGTGGGGTGTCTGATGTGGTATGTTGGTTGCAGGTTACTGAGTGTGGGGTGTCTGATGTGGTATGTTGGTTGCAGGTTACTGAGTGTGGGGTGTGTGCTGTCGTATGTTGGTTGCCAGTTACTGAACCTGGGGTGTGTGCTGTGGTATGTTGGTTGCAGGTAACTGAGCGTAGGGTGTGTCTTGTGGTATGTTGGTTGGAAGTTACTGAGTGTGGGGTGTGTGCTGTGGTATGTTGGTTGCAAGTTACTAAGCGTAGGGTGTGTGATGTGTGATGTTGGTTGCAGGTTTCTGAGTGTGGGGTGTGTGCTGTGGTATGTTGGTTGCAAGTTACTGAGTGTGGGGTATGTGCTGTGGTATGTTGGTTGCAGGTAACTAAGCGTAGGGTGTGTGATGTTAGATGTTGGGTGCAAGTGACTAAGTGTGGGGTGTGTGCTGTGGTATGTTGGTTGCAGGTTACTGAGCGTTTGGTGTGTAAAGTGCGATGTTGGATGCAGGTTACTGAGCGTGGGGTGTGTGCTGTGGTATGTTGGTTTCAGGTAACTGAGAGTAGGGTGTGTGATGCGTGATGTGTGATGCTGGTTGCAAGTTACTGAGCGTGGGATGTGTGATGTTGGTTGCAGGTTACTGAGCGTGGGGTGTGTGATGTTGGTTGGAGGTAACTGAGCGTGGGGTGTGTAAATTGTGATGTTGGTTGCAGGTAACTGAGCGTGGGGTGTGTAATGTGTGATGTTGGTTGCAGGTAACTGAGCGTGGGGTGTGTAATGTGTGATGTTGGTTGCAGGTTACTGACCGTGGGGTGTGTAATGTGTGATGTTGGTTGCAGGTTACTGAGTGTGGGGTGTCTGATGTGGTATGTTGGTTGCAGGTTACTGAGTGTGGGGTGTGTGCTGTCGTATGTTGGTTGCCAGTTACTGAACCTGGGGTGTGTGCTGTGGTATGTTGGTTGCAGGTAACTGAGCGTAGGGGGGTGTGTCTTGTGGTATGTTGGTTGGAAGTTACTGAGTGTGGGGGGTGTGTGCTGTGGTATGTTGGTTGCAGGTTACTGAGCGTAGGGTGTGTGATGTGTGATGTTGGTTGCAGGTTTCTGAGTGTGGGGTGTGTGCTGTGGTATGTTGGTTGCAAGTTACTGAGTGTGGGGTATGTGCTGTGGTATGTTGGTTGCAGGTAACTAAGCGTAGGGTGTGTGATGTTAGATGTTGGGTGCAAGTGACTAAGTGTGGGGTGTGTGCTGTGGTATGTTTGGTTGCAGGTTACTGAGCGTTTGGTGTGTAAAGTGCGATGTTGGATGCAGGTTACTGAGCGTGGGGTGTGTGCTGTGGTATGTTGGTTTCAGGTAACTGAGAGTAGGGGTGTGATGCGTGATGTGTGATGCTGGTTGCAGGTTACTGAGCGTGGGATGTGTGATGTTGGTTGCAGGTTACTGAGCGTGGGGTGTGTGTGTGAGATGTTGGTTGGAGGTAACTGAGCGTGGGGTGTGTGAAATTGTGATGTTGGTTGCAGGTAACTGAGCGTGGGGTGTGTGATGTGTGATGTTGGTTGCAGGTAACTGAGCGTGGGGTGTGTAATGTGTGATGTTGGTTGCAGGTTACTGACCGTGGGGTGTGTGTAATGTGTGATGTTGGTTGCAGGTTACTGAGTGTGGGGTGTCTGATGTGGTATGTTGGTTTGCAGGTTACTGAGTGTGGGGTGTGTGCTGTCGTATGTTGGTTGCAGTTAGTTACTGAGTGTGGGGTGTGTGCTGTGGTGTATGTTGGTTGCAGGTTACTGAGCGTAGGGTGTGTCTTGTGGTATGTTGGTTGGAAGTTACTGAGTGTGGGAGTGTGTGCTGTGTGGATGTTGGTTGCAGGTTACTGAGCGTTTGGGTGTGTAAAGTGTGATGTTGGATGCAGGTTACTGAGCGTGGGGTGTGTGTGCTGTGGTATGTTGGTTTCAGGTTACTGAGAGTAGGGTGTGTGATGTGTGATGTGTGATGCTGGTTGCAGGTTACTGAAGCGTGGGGATGTGTGATGTTGGTTGCAGGTTACTGAGCGTGGGGTGTGTGATGTTGGTTGGAGGTTACTGAGCGTGGGGTGTGTAAATGTGATGTTGGTTGCAGGTAACTGAGCGTGGGGTGTGTGATGTGTGTGATGTTGGTTGCAGGTAACTGAGTGTGATGCGTGGGGTTACCTATAATGTGTGATGTTGGTTGCAGGTTACTGACCGTGGGGTGTGTAATGTGTGATGTTGGTTGCAGGTTACTGAGTGTGGGGTGTGTGATGTGGTATGTTGGTTGCAGGTTACTGAGTGTGGGGTGTGTGATGTCGTATGTTGGTTGCAGGTAACTGGGTGTGTGTGCTGTGGAGCATGTATGTGTTGCAGGTAACTGAGCGTAGTGGTGTGTGATTGTGGTATGTTGGTTGCAGGTTACTGAGTGTGGGTGTGTGTGCTGTGGTATGTTGGTTGCAGTTACTGAGTGTGGGGTGTGTGTTGTGGTATGTTGGTTGCAGGTAACTGAGCGTAGGGTGTGTGATGTTGAGATGTTGGGTGCAAGTTACTGAGTGTGGGGTGTGTGATGTGGGATGTTGGTTGCAGGTTGCTGAGTGTGGGGTGTGTGATGTGGGATGTTGGTTGCAGGTTACTGAGTGTGGGGTGTGTGTGTTGTGAGATGTTGGTTGCAGGTTACTGAGTGTAGGGTGTGTGATGTGTGGTGTGTGTGGTTTGCAGGTTACTGAGCGTGGGGTGTGTGATGTTGGTTGCAGGTTACTGAGCGTGGGATGTGTGATGTTGGTTGCAGGTAACTGAGTGTGGGGTGTGTGTTGGCTGAGTGTGGGGTATGATGTTGGTTGCAGGTTACTGAGCGTGGGGTGTGTGATGTGTGATGTTGTTGGTTTGCAGGTTACTGAGCGTGGGGTGTGTGAATGTGTGATGTTGGTTGCAGGTTACTGAGCGTGGGGTGTGTGATGTGTGTGATGTTGGTTGCAGGTTACTGAGTGTGGGGTGTGTGATGTGGGGTGTGTGTGGTTGCAGGTTACTGAGTGTGAGGTGTGTGCTGTGATGTTGGTTGCAGGTGACTGCTGGTAGGGTGTGTGATGTGTGATGTGATGTTGGTTGCATGTTACTGAGCGTGGGATGTGTGGTATGTTGGTTGCAGGTTACTGCGTAGTGTGGGGTGTGTGATGTTGGTTGCAGGTAACTGAGCGTGGGGTGTGTAAGTGATGTTGGTTGCAGGTTACTGAGTGTGGGGTGTGTGATGTGAGATGTTGGTTGCAGGTTACTGAGTGTGGGGTGTGTGATGTGGGATGTTGGTTGCAGGTTACTGAGTGTGGGGTGTGTGATGTGAGTGATGTTGGTTGCAGGTTACTGAGTGTGGGGTGTGTGATGTGAGGTGTTGGTTGCAGGTTACTGAGTGTGGTGTGTGTGATGTGTGATGTTGGTTCAGATTACTGAGTGTGGTGTGTGTGATGAGAGATGTTGGTTGCAGGTTACTGAGCGTGGGGTGTGTGATGTGTGATGTTGGTTGCACGTAACTGAGCGTGGGGTGTGTAATGTGGTATGTTGGTTGCAAGTTACTGAGTGTGGGGTGTGTGCTGTGGTATGTTGGTTGCAGGTAACTAAGCGTAGGGTGTGTGATGTGTGATGTTGGTTGCAGGTTACTGAGTGTGAGGTGTGTGATGAGAGATGTTGGTTGTAGGTTACTGAAGTGTGTGATGTTGGTTGCAGGTTACTGAGTGTGGTGTGTGATATGTGTGATGTTGGTTGCAGGTTACTGAGTGTGGTGTGTGTGATGTGTGATGTTGGTTGCAGGTTACTGAGTGTGGAGTGTGATATGTGTGATGTTGGTTCAGATTACTTAGTATGAGACGAAGTATGGGCCACTATATACTGCAGGGTTTTACACGACGCTGAAATGAACGCACAGATGTATTTAAACACGCAAAGAAAACACGTATACAGTAATCCGAGGGGTACACAGTCATTCATTTTACTAAACTCCCTCCAATAACAAAGGGTCTCGTTATGAAGCTTATGACCTTACATTAAAGTATGTCATCAATTAATACGGCCCCCTTGTACGGTTCTTTGGATTTCCTTTGGTCCTGATTTTAAATCGGTCAAGGTAAGACCCTGACATACTCTTTCATTGGTGGTTAATCCATTAATGCACATAGCCTACGTACCGCCTTGTTATCCGTTATAATCTTTACACTATGGAATAAATAATATGATCTTGCACGATATGCCATTCATTGATAACGGTGTTAGTATCTATACCGAAACGCCGCAATCATTGCTATAAAGAAGTTGACTATCCACAGAAGTTGGTTTTTCCTTCATCTTTACAACTTCTAAAATGCCTCTCAAAGAAGTTATAAGCTGTTCGGTTGATAATGGAAGAGCTTCAGCTTTATGTTTAACAGAGGGCAGAACCAGTCTTTGGCCACTAATCCGACGTGGGCGATCAGCCGTTGCTAATCCAGAATGGAACTTGAGGCAGTGTCGGGTAACCAGTCGCCAGCATCGGGGGTAGGTCGAGGCATAGAGGTGGTTGACATGGATAGCGACAGTTCTATGGGTTCGCCCAAACTACAGAAGGTATGTCGTTTTCCTTAGTAACTCAGCTCTGTGTGAAGACCGTGTTTTTGATTCTGAACTGCTAATCAGTAACTAACTATTAATGACATATTCGACTTCCCTCCACAGACGCCATTGGACTGATCACTGTGGGTGAATGCTTTAGTGACGTATTTGTCGCGATTTTCACCCAAATTACTTTTCAGTGAATGCTCAACATAATTTTAGCAGTCAGTATTTATTCCTACGAAAACTTTCCCAAATCGTCACTTCAGGTTTTCCAGTGGAATATCTCCAAAACCAGTCTCTAAATTACCCACATGGCTTTGATGACAGTGTCTATGCGATAGGGGCGGTGGGGTAGTCTTGTAGTTAAAGTGTTCGCTCGTCACGCCAAAGACCCGGGTTCAATTCCCATATGGGTACAATGTGTGAAGCCCATTTCTGGTGTTCCCCCTCCGTCATAATGCTGGAATATTGCTAAAATCGGCGTAAAACTATACTCACTATGTGATAGCTTGTTTGTACAGACAGTTTTAAAATCTAGTTATACGAACGATTTAATGTAAATGTATAGAAATATGCAGTGTAGGTATTTTAATATATACGTTATATTTAGTATTATTATCAGTTATATTCATCGAGTATACATTCGGTAGATTAATTAGGATACATGCTGCACACATGTGTAATTCCTCTGGGCCATTGGATATAATGTATAAGTGAATCACTGTACAAAATAACAAAGAACGGAAAACATATATAATTCGGTATCCATTCGTTCTAAAACTACCAACTTGTATCACAACATATGATATTCAAAGGGTCAATACTACACTCTAATGACATTAAAACGGATAATCGTCACACCTAATCCGGCCAATGTAACGTTGGGTAATTCCTTCCAGGTCTTAGGTTAAAGGGGCGGTGGGGTAGCCTAGTGGTTAAAGCGTTCGTTCGTCAAGGCGAAGACCCAGGTCCGATTCCTCACATGGGTACAATGTGTGAAGCCCCTTTCTGGTGTCCCCGCTGTGATGTTGCTGGAATTCTGCTAAAAAGCGGCGTAAAACCATACTTAAGGTTAAATACCACAATTTTAAAAAAAATAAAAAGGCTTTTACTGAATCATTTTGAAACATGAACAGGGATACATATATTAATCCAGAATATTGATTAAAAATTAACTGATTCTTTGTAGCATTTGAAGCGGTTTTCCACAGTCACAGGTGCATTGGCTGCCTTCCCCTACAGGGTGCCTGGCAGACAAACCCGTCTCGACTGTTCACTTGAAACACTCGTTTCACCAGAACGCATAACACAGGAAATGGTTCAGGCAAGTTGTACCAGCAGTTATAGTATTGGTTCTGTTGTAGTACTTTTAGCAGCAGTAGTAGTAGTAGTAGTAGTTGTAGTAGTAGTAGTAGTAGTAGTAGTAGTAGTAGTAGTAGTAGTAGTAGTAGTAGTAGTAGTAGTGGTACAGGGGCGTAGGAACGGTTTTCAGAGGGGGCTGTTTCTACGCCCCTGTGGTAGAAGTAGTAGGAGTAGCAGCAGCAGTAGTAGTAGCAGAAGCAGTAGTAGTATTAGTAGTAGCAGCAGTAACAGCAGCTTCAGCAGTAGGCAGGTAACTTGGCGGAGGCGACAAGTAGCGTGAAAACATGCATTAGCTACGAGTTACGTGGAGCCGTGAATGAAGTAATGGTTACGTGGAGACACGCATGAACTACGAGTTACGTAGAGACACGGATAAACTACGAGTTACGTAGAGACACGGATGACCAACGAGTTGCGTGTAGACATGGAATAACTACGAGTTACGTGGGGACACGCATGAACTACGAGTTACGTGGAGCCGTGAGAACCGTGGATGGTTACGGATACGTGGGGACACGGATGAACTACGAGTTACGTGGAGACACGCATGAACAACGGTTACGTGGAGACCGAGCATGAACTACGAGTTACGTGGGGACGCGCATGAACTACGAGTTACGTGGAGCCGTGAATGAAGCAATGGTTACGTGGGGACACGCATGAACTACGAATTACGTGAAGACATGAGACGTTTTCGAATCAGAAAGCTCTAGTCACGTACCAGCCAAACACATACAAACAGTTCGCGCCATGATGTTATAAATGGGAAGCAATTGAAAGATAGATCATTATATCAGTTGTAACATCTAACCGTTTGTAGTGATTGTACCTTCAACTAACAAATTGTTTTATTAGTAACATTTGCAAATTAATACTAATGTTTTAGGTGTGATTAACTAACAATACTTCAATTAGTATTCAGCAGTTTCGGGGGGTGGGTGTGTGTGGGTGGTGTGGTGTGTGTGGGTGGTGTGTGTGTGTGTGTGTGTTGTGTGTGTGTGGGTTTGTGTGTGTGTGTGTGTGTGTGTGTGTGTGTGTGTGTGTGTGTGTGTGTGTGTGTGTGTGTGTGTGTGTGTGTGTGTGTGTGTGTGTGTGTGTGTGTGTGTGTTTGTTTGTTGCCTGATGGTTAAAGTGTTGGCTCGTCACGCCGAAGACCCGGGTCGATTCCCCACATGGGTACAATGTGTGAAGCTCATTTCTGGTGTCCCCCGCCGTGATATTGCTGGAACATTGCTAAAAGCGGCGTAAAACCAAACTCACTCACTCACTCAGCAGTTTCTACGACAATAAAAAAGAAACGGATCTTTTACACCCTTACCTATGTCACTATTTATCATTGATTTAAGGAATCGCGATGTACATATTTCTGTGTTTTAATTGTGCAAAATTTAAATACTTTATCTTATTTCTGTTTGAAAAAGACGTGTTGAAAGCAGCATCTGAACTGAATGGGCATCGCATTGTCACTTGACAGCTCCGCGCATAGTTTGTACTTGGAGAAAGTGCATTTCTTGTGTATTCTTAATGTTTCCAAGCAAGGGTAAATTGTGCTCATACAAACTTGGAAATGAGAGACTCCTCTAAAGAAAATGATAAAAAGTTCAAGAGTTGCAATCACATGCGTGTTATAACGGGGTATTGTCGATACCTGTTCCCCAGCCACTATATATTTTAAGAGTTGTATTTGAAAGGATCAGAGTTTTACGGTAGCGTTCGAATCTGCTGTTTGCTGAAAAGACGATGCGCCAATGATGTTTTCATCAACAGATCAAAATACACTAAATAATGGAGCTGACATGTTGCGTTGATCAGACCGCAGCTAAAATCTCGATATGCTCATGGTAAGCACGTGATGTTCGTGCATCGTGCATGTTACGTCCCAACGTGCATTGTGACCATGCTATTTGATACCGAGTTTAAATCGTTTTGTTTGGAAGAAATGAGATGTCAGCCCGGCGTTTAAAACGGGAGGAAGAAAGTGACCCCTCACCTACGTCACGTATTCATGAGGTTTGTGACGACATCGTTAACGGAGATGTTGCGCGTATATTGTTAAACTGGTTTCAGTATTAGTTTGCGCTGCCACATAGGCTGTTTTAGGCTGTTTTGTGTCCACAGTGTCGATTGAACTCACATGAGACATGTTCAAACCTCGAATATTATTTTAGGTTACAGAAACCTTATAACAAACAGCACCTTTGACATTAATTGTAGTGAGAACAACCTTTCTTCTCAAAGAAACTTCAACAAGGCCGTTGGTGATAAGTGAATTATGTTATGTGTCATTGAAATTGCCTGGTTACTTGTTAAGCTAGACAGGATCCCAGTCACGTACATTAATAACGATCTGAATTCGAACAAAATGCTACGCAGATAATCGACCTTTGCGTTGACCTTCTCAGACACTTTCAGCTTACTATGCAATTATTAGTTCATCAGGACATATATAAATTATCTTATTAAATTATTCTTAATTATATGATTTTGAATGCCTTATCAGACCTATTTTGTCAGGAACATATCAGTGATGGATGATGCTATATATTATTATTTTAAAAATATAACAGTATGGCGTCAGATAGCTTCCTCTGACCAATCATCTTTTAGAGGGTTTCGCCTACACCTCAATTCGCCTACATCCCATATCGCATACAAAAACAATGTAGGCTAATTGGGATTAGAAAATGCACCCCTACTCTTATAATGAACCTGACTCACTGGTCAGTGCCATACTAATTAGGTAAATTATCCTTACTCATGTCTAAATTACTTTTTTACGACACACATTTTGGAAAAAGTAAGCATAAATGGATAATAACATTAGATATGTTTTGGACGAAATTGGACTTAGTTATATCTGGAATTCCCAAAATTTTGAATGTAAACTAGAAGAGGCGTATATATATAGCTCCTTATCTAACTTAGATTTAAGGTTGAGTAAATATTTGGATATTTTAAATGATAACTGTTCAAAGGCATTGTTACGTTATGAAACAGTAAATCATAACATACCCATTAAAACAGGTCGCTGGAGCAAAAGTATTCTGTAATATTATCATAAATGCTTTTAAGAGTCATCGGTAAGAATATTCCATCTAATTATTTCTATTATCTTTATGCAATCTATTTGTAGATAGATTTGCAATCTATCTATCTATCTATCAATATATATATATTACTTATTCATCTGTATACATGAAATACTCGACTGCACACACTATGTGAATATATTTAATTGTAACATATATGTAACCTCATATGCCGCTGCCTGTGGCCTGAGTTGGAATAAAGTTCAGTTCAGTTAAAATAAAATGAAAAGGCTTAATGCACAATCTAAATTGTAAAAGCAATGGTGATATGTAGTTAATTTCTCAATGTAAAATACTCAGTTGTTATAAGGATATGTAGCTGAGTAAAGAGGATTGGTGCATCCACTAAGAAGTTCAGACTGAGACAACGTGTTCGTGATGAAGTGAGAATGGACATCCGCACAAGTAAACTTCCTTAACACTAAGCATATGTGATATGATGTTATATGATGTGAATATCATTGTGATCGGAAAATGGACAAATAACAGAGTAAATAAATAAGAGACAAATAACAGAAATAAATTCTTTAAAAAAATGTCTTTTTGTCCTTCAACTACTTCAACTAGAAGAGTCCAGTTTTAGATTATAGGGGTGCTAGTTTACCATTGCGTAATCAACAGTCTACAGACCATGAAATATTGTTTTAAGACTGTAGGCGAATTGGGATGTAGGCGAAATGAGAACATGCCTTTGAGAGACCCGTGAAGATCCGGGTTAGAATTTATCTTCAGTGACCCATGCTTGTCGTAAGAGGAGACTAACGGGATCGGGTTTTCAGCCTCGCTGACTTGGTTGACACATGTCATTGTATCCCCATTGCGTAGATCGATGCTCATGCTGTTGATCACTGGATTGTCTGATCAAGACACGATTATTTACAGACCGCCGCCATATAGTTGGAATATTGCTGAGTGCAGCGTAAAACTAAACTCACTCACTCTTTGAGAAATACTAGAATGCTTAAGTTAGTTGACCAGTTTTTACTTTGAAAACTTCAGCGTTACGATTAAGCAAATATACTAACCATTTTATATGTATGTCTCAAAAGAGGAAGACCTGATGGGAATCATAAGCGTTTCTCCCGTGATGTCATGCTCATGTCTCACAATAAAAATTGTTTAAAAGTTAACACTGCTTTGATATTTTATTCTTTTTTTAACAATCTCGATACACAGTCTCAATGTTTAATGAATATCAGTTCACTATAATCCAATTTGAAGTAAATAACGTAGTGTCGTACATATATTAGTGCGCACGAGAGGGCGATGCCTCGACGCTGGAGGCGATTATCAACGCCCTGGGGAAGGATATCGAGAAGCACGTGAACTCACAGGATGAGATAGGCCTGACCCCACTCCACTACGCTGCCCAGTACAACCACCCGGATGTAGTGGACATACTGCTGAAGAACAAAGCAGGTGATGATGATACTAACCCTCGATACGAAACAACCTAATTCCCAGCTAACAATTTCACGTTATCACAACGTTGTTTCAGCGTTTTGCTTTCGTTGTTACAACGTTATTCTGTGGACTCCCATTTACGTTGTCACAACGTTGTGGCCTGACGTCGCCACAAGGTCTATAAGTTATTTGATGCTAACGTATTTTACGTTGTTTTAACGTTCTATTTAACGTTAATAGTTGAATAGTTTTCACAGTATTGAACAGTGCATAAGAAACAAAGCAGAAATTCACTTCAATGTTTATTCGTCAATTTGCATGTTGTTTTGGTCGGGTGTTTTCTGAAGCTGTAGCTGAATAGTGAAGAAAGAATCTCAAAGTGAAAAGTTTTACAAAAAACTATCGTGACACCAAGTTATAAGAAACGTTGTTATAACGTTGTGAGGAGCCCAAAGCGTAACGTTTCCTCAACGTAAATTTGCAACGTTGTTATAAATCTCTTGAGATGAGAGATAGATGTTATTTGATAGAAAAGGCAAATGTTGTTGTGTATTTCTTACTGTTTGGGTCTCTATTCACAAGCGACCGTAAATCGATGTTATATTATTAGGAGCAACAACTGCTTTGTGACACGGGTTGTTGCTCCAAAAACCATTATAGCATTGAGGTAGACTGAAAGTAGTTCCACTGCAATATCGATTTTATGTCTCAGATAATGTGATATATTGATTTCATGAGACCGTGTTCAAACAAAGAAGGGCGGCGGGTAGCCTAGTGGTTAAGGCGTTGGTTCGTCATGCCAAAGTCCCGGGTTCGATTCCCCGCATGGGCACAACGTGTGAAGCCCATTTCTGGTGTCCCCCTTCGTGATATGACTTACTCACTCACTCACAATGATGTCGCCATTTATATCCCATTTTCTCAGATGAAAAAACTATTGGTAATACCAAGAATGATAAACTATTAGCCAGGGGAATTTTGAATTATTATTTTTTCATAAATCATAAGAGTCTCCAGGACTGAAATTATCCTTTATTTCCGTGTATCTCGTAGTTTATTCTGCAAGGACAGAGTTCTATTTTAATCCCCTATATTCCTCAGATGTCAACATCAGAGGGGAAGAAGAGGGGGCATGCCCCGCCCACTATGCCGCAATGCCCGTCAGGGGCAAGAAGCTCAAAACCGACCGGACGGCCCCACAGAGCGTGAGTAACGGATCTAGGATTCTTAAAGGGGGGTATCCATATATTGATTGAACCAAACACACGAGATTGTAGGTTTATGGTAAGGGTATAGTGGGTGTGGGAAGTGAGTCAGGGCGTTTGTCATTTTATCCACAAGAAATGACGAAGAAAGTGCTAATGCAGGAGTAACGTTTAAACATATCCTGTTACACTGAAACTACCTTTTGCGGACAACTGCAAAAAACTGATTAAACAAAATGCTGTAAGAAAACCAATTCCTTGATAAAACAGCAACAAGAACAATAACGATTGTAGTGATGATAATGATGATGATTATGATTGTTATCAGATGGACCAAGTTTGGTCGGGATCTTCGTGTGTCCCAAAGCTGAAAGAGAATGGCGCCGACTTCACCTTGCAAGACACATATGGCCAGACTCCTCTTCACTACGCCGCTATTCACGGCAACGTTGTCGCCGCCAGGGACATCCTCGCCTTTGAAGATGTGAACATAACTGAGGTTTGTGTCTTTGACGACTGTTGTACACATTCAGCACTTATACCCATACATGCTTCTATCTTGAGTGAGTATTCATGCTTCACTGCGGCATGTCATCTCAGTTGGCTAGCACTATAAAACCAGCTTCAGTCTGGGCTAGTACAAGCAGCCGCACATACACATACACACGCATGCACGTCGTCATATGAGCGAAATATTCCCAAGTACGACGTTAAACCCAATTTCACCTCACCTCTATCTTGACTGAGTGAGCCGGTCATTTCGTTAGTCTAGCAAAGTTCGATATTGAAATCAATTCATTTTTTTCGGTTTTATTGGCCGTTGGCCCATGTGTAGTAGGAATACAATGAACACAATAAAGTGTAGCAAGTTATACAGAGAAAAATGCAGTTAAGTGTTTACAGGGGAAGTAACAGATTTCTTTACTATATTTCGAACCGTTAAAAAGTGTATGGGTACAGTTGCTGCTAATGAAATTAAAATATTTAGTCAGTATGCTATCCTGTCCACAATACAATTGCGTTGATCGATGCTCATGCTGTTGATCACTGGATTGTCTGGTCCAGACTGAATGATTTACAGACCGCTGCCATGTAGCTGGAATATTGCTGAGTGCGGTGAAAAACTAACTCACTCACTCTTTCTCTGAACTTACCGGAACAACATCCTCATATTCGCCCGCGTCAGTTGTCCACCATTTAGTGCGGTGTAAAACTCAACTCACTCACTCACTGTCAACAATATGGAAAATACTTATCTCTAATAAAATTCTGTACTGTACATTCAAACATGAAGTGAATTTCATCTTCATTCGAGCTTCAGTCACACATTTTACACATCTTATCAAAATTAATACCTCTAATTTTACAGCTCAATGGAAATGCATGTAATCTAAATGTATATTTCTTCTAATTGCTATGTGATTAATGGAAGTAATATAATATTCAACATTTAACAATGATTTAACTTCTGTAAAATATCTGAGATGGAGAGGTATGGAATGTTGCAAGATATGTCGCATTGGTATTTAATGCTACTTGATGCATGTGACATCAGAAAACATTATCTGCTAAACATCGTAAAATACTGTAGTAACTTTGTCATGAAATCATAGTAAAGCGATCCTTTATATCTTGCTATTGCTGTTCCAGTCTGAAGATAATCAGAACATGCGAGCCCTGCACGTCGCAGCTCTGTATGATGAGCTGGGCGTTGCTAAGCTCCTCCTCAACGCTGGTGCAGAAATTCGGTGCATGGATCACGAGAGTTCGACACCGCTACATCACGCATGCTCATCGGGGAATCTGCCTCTCGTCAATATGCTTTTTGATATCGCAGCAAGAGATCCTAATAATAATGTTACAGAGCTGGTAAGAGAATGGGATAGATGCAGATTCTTTGTTTCTGTGCTTCAGTTTAGTTATCTATAGGACATTAAAGTTACGAATGGCCCAGCCGTCTGAGAGCGCAATTTGCTATGCAGAGTTGCGACCCTTAGGTTCGCCAGTATCCTATGAACGTTGGTTCGAATACCCTATTAGCACTGTGTCAGCATAGATAAGACAGGCATCCTCCCATACTGACCTCACACGTCGTGATATATCTCACTCTAAGATTGAAAATCTCCTCGCTTCAATATGTTACCATATAATGTGTCCTTTCCAGACCAAGTGGATTGGTGCTTATGCTATCGACCACTGAAATGTCTGGCAAAGAAGGGTGAAAATCGACTTCGACCGGATTATAATCTATGGTATTACGCCAGGATCATATCCGTGTCGTGGGTTTCAATAAATACACGTTTTAACTGTTTCTCCAACATTAACATCAAACGGCTTGGCACAACTGAAATCCTATTCGAATCCCGTTGAATCCAACTCTTTCACTTGTAAAGTGTACATTTGTTTTCAACATGGCTTCTACAGCTAGTACATGACCAGGATGTTGAAGGAAGCACCTGTCTCCACCTAGCGGTAGAAAATGGCCACAGTGAGATCACCCATCTTTGTGTTAAAAAAGGTGAGTTGTGCCTCTTGAACGTCTTGGAACAATAAGCTTTATCAACCGCGGTAACTGAACAAGAAACAGAATGTTTAAAAACAGCCCTGGTTGTCTAACGTCATGCATATGCATAGGTATAGTATTTACGAAATATATTTAATTCTTCTTCGAGACGGTCACGTATCATTATTCCTAGCAGGTAAGCTCTGAATCGCCATAAATATACAGCCGTTTTGGGTGGTAAAGTAAAGAAGTAAACAAATGGTTGCTCGATGGTTATGTGGTTTCACCGTTGTATGAGGACCCTAAGTTGTCAGTGTTTCGGCGATTCTTTCAGTCTTGTTACGTTTTGATAACGTCATTGTGTCATTGTTTGGCCATTTTCAAATGTACACTTTCATTTACCCGACAATATATAAACTTTACCTGTAACTTCTCCGTGGGGACTTCGTGTCTGAAAATGTCCAGTAATAGGACGACTGAAAAGTATAGAATGGTCTCAGTTTATCGTCTTTGAGAGGCATTTTAGAAGTTGGGAATAACGATTAATACAATATTAACAAATTGTTACAAACGTTCTGGATAACAACTTCATTTTCACGAGTGCGTCGTTTCGATACAGATTCTTGTATCGTGGTCAAGCAGTTTGCAAGAAAACGGTACATGAATCTGTATGCCTCACTCACAAAGTAAAACACGTTGTTATCCATAAACCTTTGTTAATACGGTTTCAGTTTCTGAACTGCCTGACTCAAAGAACTAATTGCTGCTCACGCTATCAAACACTGGTTTGCCTGGTTTTGGCTTGAGTATTTTCAGGTCACCTCAATGTAGATTGGACATTGATGTTATCTGTAACACACCTACTTAATCTATGCATGTGTTCTAGGGGCAAATGTCAACCAGAGCCGCAGTGACGGTTTGTTCCCGCTCCACCTGGCGGTAGTGTCCGGAAAAATTGACATCATACGGCACCTGGTGGACAAAGGGGCGATAATCGACGCCTCCAATGACATGCAAACAACCCCTCTACACAAAGCAGCCCAATTCAACCGTGTAAGGGCTGCGAAGCTGCTTCTCAGAAGGTAAGATAAAAATCACTACCGTATATTTCAGTATAAGAGAGCCATCATGAATGAATATCTGACGGAACATTTGCTAACATTCACATGTGAATACAGAATGGGAAATCGAACAACTGAACACGTTTTGAAACTGGCAATAATTATTAGACTACACTTTTAATTATGAGAATGAATATTATGGATCACAACTTCTGTGTTATATTTCAGGGCTAACTCCTGCACCTTTTCAATTGCTATCCCTTTTCTTTACACCATATAACAGGTGAAGATCCGGGTTAGAATTGGTCTTCAGAGAGACAATTGCGTAGAACGAAAGCTCACGGTGTTCATCACTGGGCAGACTCGATTATTAACACACCGCCGCCATATAGCTGGAACATTGCTGAGTGCGGCGTTAAAAACCAACCAACTTTACTACATATGATATCCAGCAGTGACGGCGTTTTTCAGATCAGATGGTCATGAATGGTTACATCTTTCAAGGGCAAGGAGTTACCTGACTATAAAGGTCAAGTTTCCGAAATTGGCTGGAATTTTGTGTCTCGAACGTAGCGCCACCAGTGCCTGTTACGAGTTATGTCCCGTCTCTTGATCAATCAGATTTCAAATCCCACATCACTTTATTTTGCATCAACACAAGCGGCGCCGAGACATGTCTTTGTGATCGATAATCGATATATTGTAGTGAAGCAAGCCCTATCTCGCAAAGTGTATGAGATCAATTTAAAGTCGTTATAGAAAAAATCCGTAGATGGTGAGTTGTCGGTTCACATGCTTTGCGGAGCCCGCAATCAACCGAAATCTGCACAGGGTTGTTTTGAACCGGTTGTAGATTATATTATATTAACTTAGATTGATTGCAGATTGTTAGTCCAACCAAAAATTTAAGTTCAACAAGAGTAGAAATTTACTCCATTGTCTCGTGAAGATACATGATGTGGATATTTCCAAACGACACACATATTATTAACTAACACTTAGGTCTATAAATATAGCTACTTTCACTTTACTTGTATAGGCTTACTGCAGACGTACATGTATATACACCTGGTGTACATATATTTACATTACGATTTCACTGGACACAAGTAAAGGCAAAAGGTTTCCCTTTACAGCAGTGACGGTTTCCTATAAACAGGCAACGATAACAGGTTTCAGTGTACACAGGCAACAAAAACGTCTTTCAGTGTATACAGGCAACGATAACAGGTTTCAGTGTATACAGGCAACGATAACGGGTTTCAGTGTATACAGGCAACGGTAACGGGTTTCAGTGTACACAGGCAACGATAACGGGTTTCAGTGTACACAGGCAACAATAACGGGCTTCAGTGTACACAGGCAACGATAACGGGTTTCAGTGTACACAGGCAACAATAACGGGCTTAAGTGTATACAGGCAACGATAACGGGTTTCAGTGTACACAGGCAACAATAACGGGCTTCAGTGTACACAGGCAACGATAACGGGTTTCAGTGTACACAGGCAACAATAACGGGCTTCAGTGTATACAGGCAACGATAACGGGTTTCAGTGTACACAGACAACGATAACGGGTTTCAGTGTATACAGGCACCGGTAACGGGTTTCAGTGTACACAGACAACAATAACGGGCTTCAGTGTACACAGGCAACGACAACGGTAACGGCTTTCACCAGGTACAGGCAACAGGTTTCACCTTACATTGTGTTTATCACAGGGGTGCCAACATCGAGTGCCTTGACAAGGACAATGATACTCCGCTGCTGATCGCCGCCATGTACGGCCACGTCGAGACGGTGGTGATGCTGGTGAAGAAGGGAGCTGACATCGATGCCACTAATCTGAAGGAGAAGACGGCTGTCTATGTTGCTGCTGAAGAGGGCAACCTGTCAGTGCTCCAGGTACATTCAGTATTCTCACCCAACGTAATGCTTAGGACTGTTGACTCATAATAGTCTATGACAACATTCGATCAACTCATAAAATAATGGGATACGTCGATCATGAGCGCCGACCGACGTTGACCATGACCTTGTGTAATGCGTCATGGGAGTGAAGGGTGTTGCTAGTTGTTCTGTCGGGATGTGGTTGATACTGCTTCCAGATTCTGTTTCGTATCACCACCAATGGCAATCACGGTACCTAAAACCAGGGTCTTTTCTAGCAATTAGAAAGTAGAAAAGAACAATTGAAGTAGATCGTTACAGATCGTGTCCAAAGATAGACCCTAGCTGGTTTGTGGTTAGTGTGACGTGTCCAGTTAACATATACATGGGGAAATTATCTTAATGTTGCCATGGTTACAGTACTGGACGAGAACAATTGTTTAGTGTAGTACTGAACATTATATATGTCATACGTGTTACATGCCTATCGTTAAAGACGACTATTTTGGTTGCGTGGTCTGACTTGCTTGATGTATGATTGGTGCATATCGGTATATCACAATATCGATACTCATGATGTCCAAATACTCGAATAAATATATAACGCAGCTGGAATATGCATGAGTGTGACGTTAAACGACAAACGAATATGTCTCATTGAACGCCATTGCTATTGGGTGTACCCTTACCCTTTTTCACAAGTATATATAGATATATTTCACCAAACATGTATGTATATATATATATATATATATTTCACCAAACATGCTACCCGGATTTACCTTTGACCTGTAAAACACCAAAGTAACACCCACCCAACGATTAGCTAAATATTCAGATACGCAGATGTATTTGAACACTCCAAGCTTGTATTATTATTTTATCTAAATTGTTTACCATAAATATGGTTTCCGGCCTTGGCACAAATAAATACCTATCACAGAACGACGCTGTTTGTTTGTTCCCAATAAAGGCAACTTCACATTTACGTAGATCAACAGAACTAGTTGAACAAACTACAGGCTGTTCAGTACCATTCGCATCAATGGATTATGAAAGGCACTTAAAAGACAATTCTAATTAATCAGAATAAATAGAGAATCTCACCCAAGTGTCTTCTGATATCAATTATATCAACACGAGTTGATAAAGTTACAAATATCCGAGGCTTGCCGAGGATATTTTTACTTTTATCAACGAGTGTTGATATATTTGATATCAGAAGACACGAGGGTGAGATTATATTTATCATCCAAAATCACTCTTCATTAATTTTCAATGAAAAATGTACATCTCTGAACATGGTACTGCCATTAAACTTGCAGTGCAGCAATGTCATAGCATTGTGACGTCATCAAGTTGATGACGTCATAGCATTGTCAGGGCATTGTACAAAATCTACTGTCAAAACGATATCTCCTAGGAGATATCGTTTGATCTCACACAAGCGATATCTCCTGTGGAACACAGTTTTTGGATGATAAACAATGAGGTTTTGTTTCCATAGAGCTTGTTGTCAGTTCCTGAAATGCAATGTCTCATCAACTGGGGCGACCGTGACGGCAATACTCCACTACATATTGCTGCTCAGAAGAAAAACCTGCACATTGTCAAGGTAAGACCACTGAACCAAGGAGATGACAAGATGAGCAGTTCAAGGTTGAAGCACATAGATATGATCGTTAGGCTGGAACGAAACCGGTTTTACAACAATGGGCGCGTGTGTCACTTCGTTTCTTCTTGTCTTGTAAAGAAACACATAATGGTTGCATTTCCTTTGAAGATGAAATATTAATAGTGCCAAGTGATCTTTGGTGTGGCATCTGAATCGAGGAAAATCAATGATGGTTTAGCTGCAGGTAGTGAATGTTTGTAACTCTTTTGCATTTTGTATATTTTATCACTAATTTTCATTGATACAGGGGCGGCTGGGTAGCCTAATGGTTAAAGCGTTCACTTGTCACGCCGAAGACCGGGGTTCGAATCCCCACATGGGTACAATGTGTGAAGCCCATTTTTGGTGTCCCCCGCCGTGATGTTGCTGGAATATTGCTAAAAGCGGCGTAAAACCAAACTCAGTCAGTCAGTCAGTCATTGATACAGTCCTGTAATTTCACAGCTATTTTCCCGTTAAGAACCCCCACAACAACAACGACGTTGTATTTGGTCACTGTTTCTGGTGTTGAACTGTAGTCTCCGACATTCATCATAAACTCAGCACCCCCGTTGACACATGTCATCGTATCCAAATTTTGTAGATTGATGCCCATGCTGTTGATCACTGGATTGTCTGGTTCAGACTTGATTATTTACTGACTTTCTATAGCTGGATTTATATAGCTGGAATATTGCTGAGTCCGAGTGTAAAATACCCCAAAGGAAATATGACCGGCGTGATACTATTGGTGCCATTGGTACACATTTGTTTTTACAGATTCTCCTCAAGAACAAGGCGTCAATATATTCCAAGAACGAATTAGAGGAATCTCCACTACACATGGCGGCCAAATATGGGAACGTCAAGTAAGTTTCGATGTTCCTGTCGCGATATTGCTATAGTATTACAAGCGCCATACAACTCTACTCACTCATTCTCGGGTTAGAATGAACCTTCAGTAACCCATGCTTGTCGTAAGAGGCGACTAACGGGATCAGGTGGTCAAGCTCGCTGGCTTGGTTGACACATGTCATCGGTTCCCAATTGTGGAGATCGATGCTCATGCTGTTGATCACTGGATTTTCTGGTCCAGACTCGATTATTTACAGACCGCCGCAATAAAGCTGGAATATTGCTCAGTGCAGCGCACAACTCACTCACTCACTCTATGGTTCTTTGCTACTATGATGCGCGGTCTATGTTTCAGCACCATACGGGAAATTGTGAGGAACGGTCAAAATTCTGTCTTTGCCGAGGACGAGAAGAGTAACACACCCTTGCATCTGGCTGCGCTGTATGGACATGCGATGAGCGCGGCTGCACTCATTGAACTTGGCGCTGATGTTTCACAAAAGTAAGCATTCACAATCTTACCAATCCAAATAAGTAATCCGTTTTTCTAACTCAATACGTCACTGATTTAGGGTTGCCAAATCTGTTTTAATATAAAACTTTAAATTAGATGAAAAAATATGGAATATTTGATGGGAATGCACACCGTCCTTTGAGACTGATCATGAAGGGGTCCCCGGGTAAGAGGTGTGTGTGCGTGCGTGTGTGTGTGTGTGTGGTGTGTGTGTGTGTGTGGTGTGTGGGTGGGCAGATGGCGGTAGCTATTGTTGAGGCCTTCTCTTTACTTCCTGAAATTTAATAGGATGTCAGTACGATTATCATGTTGCTGACTCGTGAAGATCCGGGTTAGAATTTTTTTCAGTAACCCTTGCTTGTCGTAAGAGGCGACTAACGGGATGTTTGCGAACACAAGCACACTTTTACACTGATGGTGCCAGATGTCGCCAAAATGTGACCATCTCCTGCCCCACCAATGGCATCCGTCACTGACAGGCCAAGTCAGTTTTTCACCTGAAAACGGGAACTTATGGTATAAGTTCAAACAGGGACTTGCGTTTGATATTTGAGTTTTTCCAACCTGAATACACGTCTTGTGGTGGCAATTTGTCCCTGTAGGAACTGTGTTCTGTGGACGCCACTGGACATGGCGGCAGCACAAGGCTGGAACAACACCTGCAAGGTTCTCCTGGATGCCGACGCCCCTGTAGATCCCACCGACAAGAGGAATGTAAGTACCACCCAAAGTGCAACAAAAATTCAAACGCTTAGTCTCTCAAAATGTCTAATTTGAATAGAAGCAAACAACTACATTATATAGAAAAGGATCCCATAGTACTACCAAACACTAACGCCTAGTCTCTCAAAATATACAACTACAAATATATAGAGAAGGAGCCGGAAAGATTCAGCATTACAGTAAGGACTCGGCTGAATTGAGTGGTAAAGGCATTCTATGGCAGACTGTTACAACCACTTTGAATCGCGTTACTCACGTTAGGTGACGAGTGAGTTTGTTTCAACACCAATTTGAACAGTATTTCAGTTACATCAGTTTCATCTGACTGTTGGATGAGTGAGTGCGTATAGTTTTACGCCGCACTCAGCAATATTCCAGCTGTATGGCGGCAGTCTGTAAATGATCGAGTCTCGACCAGACAATCCAGTGATCAACAGCATGAGCATCCATTTACACGATTGGGAACCGATGACATGTGTCAACCATGTCAGCGAGCCTGACCACCCGATCCCTTTAGTCGCCTCTTACGACAAGCGTGGGTTACTGAAGATCAATTCTATCTCGGATCTTCACGGGTACCGAACAGCAGTCCAAATGCTATGTGATGGTGGTCTGAAAACAGAACAGACAGTTACGTCTTGGACAAGAACATTCTACAACACAAGGGAGAAACGGGGTCATTTTAATGATAGAAACCCCATGTGCTCATGTCATATCCTGCGTATCCTTATAAAATATTAGTCATGGAATCTTCTCCCCGACCCAGACTACTCCCTTGCACCTGGCCTGCTCAAGTGGCCATCGAGAAGTCGTGCAGTTGTTGCTGAGGTGGAACGCCAGCGTCACCAAGCGCGACATCAACAACATGAACTGCCTTGACCTTGCTATTGAGAACAATAAAAGGTACTGTCACTTTTTGTTTTCATATTTTCCAATATTTGCTAAGCACAAAATATGTAGTCTTTAGTCAAAGGTATTGGTGATGGCTCGCAAGTGCTGAGAAGTACAGTATGCATTCTGGAGTTACAGGGACGATTCTCCACTGTCTGGTGTCAAATTCTAGTCTACATTTTCCTTTTTATAAGCATGTAAACTTTGTTTCAAATTTATGAAGACATAAACTATTCTATTACTGCCAACTGAAATCCTATTCTGAAACATGCTTTTACACAATTTCAATCATTAATAATTACGAAATTAAAAGTATCGATTTTTGTATTTGAAATTCTGTTGGGATATAGTTTCTAAGCTGAATCGAATCGTTTTTCATCCGAGTTGATAAAAAGTACAATGATAATTTAAATGGCGGAAATTAACTAAGGAGAAATGTTTTACTTCAGTGACATTGCTCGTCAGATCATCCAATCACACAAATGGATGGATGCATTACGTCATGCTCATATCACGAACAAGAGAGGTAATGTCACTATAGATACACCTCTACGTCGGCTCATCAGGAAGATGCCAGGTGAGAAAAATACAGTTGTGGGTACAACAAGATTGCCCTTTTTAAGCCTAGTTCCCTGTGTTCACTGCGCTGGTTCTTCACTGCTGGCACTTCACTAAAGTGTCAGGGCAGCATACCCAGGGAACCAGACTGGCCACCTCTTGAAGGGCTTTTTTGGTCATTCTTTAAAATATTTCAGTTTGTTGTGCCCTTTTTACATTAAACTTATCTTTCTACATTAGCAAGTGTATGTTTGCTCTATACCAGCGTATAAAGGCCTGGAAGTATTGTAGCATTCCTGTAAACAAGATTTAACCCGATTGTAGTTTAAAATGATTGCGTCACTTTAGGTCGCTATGTCCTGATACTATCATTCGGCCTCTTTCTGGTTTGGATTTGATACCCTTCAGGCCTTTCAAAAGATCTAGAATGTGTAATTGTTTTGGTTGTAGACTAATAGTTAAAGCGTTCGCTCATCACGCCGAAGACCCGGGTTCGATTTCCCACATGTGTACAATGTGTGAAGCCCATTTCTGGTGTCCCCCCTGTGCTATTGCTGGTATATTGCTAAATGCGGCGTCACCCGTGAAGATCCGGGTTAGAATATTGATCTTCAGTAACCCATGCTTGTCGTAAGAGGCGACTAACAGGATCGGGTGGTCAGGCTCGCTGACTTGGTTGACACATGTCAATTGCGCAGATCGATGCTCATGCTGTTGATCACTGGATTGTCTGGTCCAGACTCGATTATTTACAGACCGCCTAATATTGCTGAGTGCGGCGTAAAACTAAACTCACTCACTCAATAAATGCGGCGTAAAGCCAAATTCACTCAATCAATCACTTACTCACTCACTCACTTTACAGACCCTGCCATATAGCTGGAATATTCCTGAGTGCGGCGTTAAACAACAAACAAAACTATTTACACAAGAGCAGGGCGCATAACTGTATTACTTCAGGTTTTTCTTTCACATTAATCGCAGTGATACTTCTGAAATACTGTTAAAAATTAGTTTTATCCCAGTGCGTGAGTGAGTCTTGTTTTACACTTCAATATTTAAGTAATATCATGGCTGGACACTAGAAATGGGCTTCACACATTGTACCCATGCAGGGAATCGAAACCGGGTCTTCGGCGTTACGAGCGGACGCTTTAACCACTGGGCTACCCCACCGCCCCTATTTATCCGATTTCCTTGGATCATTAAAGATGAGTGTAACTGTATGTTGCAGATGTGGCGAAGGAGGTGTTTGACCGATGCATCACAGCAGGGGAAGAACAGGTTCCTTCTGATACAGACTTTGAGCAGCGTTACAACTTTGAATTCATCGACGACCTCTATGCTGAGTGGGCCCAGCCTCCGTCTAATGACGGCGGCACATCGAAAACAGGTACTTGGTTAATAAAACAGGTGTACGTACAGGGGCCGCCGAGTGTTGCCTCCAACTATGTGTAGCACCCAAAACTATGAAGGTGCAATTTGGATAGTTGATCACGCTGTCAGCAGCTGATTTATCTGGTAAGGATTATTGGAAGTCCATTAAACAGGAACATCCATCCTTTCTTTGACTGATTCAGAATTTTGAACGATGGTGGTGGTGGTCGTGTTGACAGGGATCACGTTGACACGAAATACGATTGGTTGGTTGGTTGTTTAACGCCGCCTTCAGCAATGTTCCAGCTATATGGCGGCGGTCTGTAGATAATCGAGTCTGGACCAGAAAATCCAGTGATCAACATCATGAGCATTAATCTACGCAATTGGGATACGATGACATGTGTCAACCAAGTCATCGAGCCTGACCACCCGATCCCGTTAGTCGCCTTTTACGACTTGCATGGGTTACTGAAGATCAATTCTAACTCGGATCTTCACGGGTCCACGAAATACAACTGAAATAGAGTAGTGCCCGTCACAGCAACCCACCACCTCTGTATTCATTGATTAAATTGCAAATAAAACTGTAATGACATTTTAGTTTACTGATTGGAGAAACTTTGTTTTCAGAGCAAAAGATTTCTTACAGGCGGTTTGGGAAACTAACGCCCTACTCTCACAGGTCCAAGACGATAAAGGAAAACCACCCCCTGTATATAATGGTACGATATTGTTTTTTATGGATATACTATCAAGGGACGTGCTTCTAAGGAATGCTAAAAGTTAAAAAGACTGTGGAGTGGTATGAGGCATCCTTGAGCTTGTAGTTCGGCACCATTTCAGTAACAGTTGTCACAATTGTTGGTCACTGCAAGAATGTTAAGATCATGGAGGATTCCCTATCAGCGGATCGTTCCGCAAAGCAATCGTAGCCCTAAGGCGTTACTCCACTACATTAACACAGATTTTTGACTGTCGACTCTCGTAGTGTTACGGAGCCCAAGAGTGAGTGAGTGAGTTTAGTTTTACACCGCACTCAGCAATATTCCAGCTATATGGTGACGATCTGTAAATATTCGGGTCTGGACCAGACATTCCAGTGATCAACAGCATGAACATCGGTCTACGCAACTGGGATATATACGGGGTCTTGGAGACTTTGGCAGATGTTTCAAGGGTTCTATTTGGTATAAATTGGAGGCTTATGTGATACCAAGACTCTTCAGTTGCCAAGCCGTGACAGTGATCCGCAAAATAATTTTACACTTCAGTTTCAAATGTGATGATATCTGTACATCTGAACTACATATGTTTTGTACCAACAGGTATCTGCCCACCAAGAGCACCTGCTTGCCCATCCACTGGTGACGTCATTGATTTCACACAAGTGGTGGGCGTTCGGGGCGTGGTTCCATCTATATTCCTTCTTCCTCCATCTGATGTTCATCATATTCCTGACAATGTTCACCCTCAACACGACGCCACCGCACCTTTAGTGAGTTTTAAGTCCTAAGCTATATGTTTATAATTCGGTATGTGAGAATTCCTTAAACACATTTGGCCGTGATTTTATAAATCTGGAGTAATTTTCTGAGTCATATCTTCATATTGGTGTCTACTGTTGTCAGTCATTACCCATTTAGTGAGTGAGTATGCTTTTATGCCCCTTGAAGCAGTATTCCAGCAATATCAGCAGAAAAGGGTGTCATACATTGTATCGGGCGGTGGGGTAGCCAAGTGGCTCAAGCCTTCACTCGTCACGCCAAAGACCCGGGTTCGATGGGTACAATGTGTGAAGCCCATTTCTGGTGTCTCCAGCCGTGATGTTGCTGGAATATTGCTAAAAGCGGTGTAAAACTAAACTCACTCACTCATACATTGTATCCATATAGGGAATCGAACTGGGTCTGGGGCATGACCATGACAAGCGAATGCTTTAACCATCAGACTATCCCATCGAGTGTTAATACCTGGTGAACATGACTTTACTTCACACTCTACAAATCTGGTTATGCTTTTCTGTTTTTGAGGAGTACAGGGTTTTACCCAGGGGGAGTTAAGAGTCCTTGAGGACCATATGGGGGTCCTATGGAGTGACAGTGTAGAGAATTGTCCCTTTTGATAATTTCTTTAGAGCTTGGAATGAATCATCGATCATGCAGTTTACTGTTAGAGGTGAATGTGAGAGATACCCTCTATATATGTATATGTATTTAAACGCTGTGTTAGTTATTGGTGTAAATTATTAAGTATACCCGAATATAGGTACCTAGAAAGTGCTATGATATGCAATTACGGGTACTTATAAATAGAAAGATTAATTGGGCTCCTAAGATAAAGTTTCTTTGGTATAAGTATGGACTTAGATATGTATGGGAACAAGAAGTTTACTTCCCAGATAAATTTGTATCTGAATTTCTTTGGAATGGAATGATATATTTCAGTATTTTCAATTGATCAATACATGCTCATACATGTTTTAGATGCAGTTCCCATACACTGCATATAGAAACTGAAAGATATAATAAAACCCCTCCTGACCAAAGAACGTGTTGTACTTGTGAACAGGGTTACGTGGAGAGTGAATTCCATTTATTGCTCGTGTGTCAGATGTATGATGATCTCCGATAACAGTTCTTACAGGCTAAATACTATGTACACCCTACTCTTCAAAAGTTCAACATATTGGTGTCTTGCGAAAATGAGCATGTCATTAGAAATGTTGTTTTGAACATATACTTTGGAATGCGCATGTGAATTGCATTTTGCAACATATGACTATAAAACTGTGGTATGGAAATCTGATCTGAAAGAAACAACCAAACACTTAACAAAGTCATAGATGTGTTGTGGGTTACAATGAATAATACTGTGATCTTTTCCTGCGTCCATTCTCTACATTTGAGCGTCCTGGACGCACATTTGCGCGTCGCGTGAAACCCCATATATTACTTTCAAGTTTAGGTTTGCTTTGTTTCAGCACACCTGCCATTGCGGACACCATCAAAGGGGGTTCGTGTGATGCAATCAGCAGCGACTATCATCAACCCGAGAGCACCAAGAACCAGAAATATGTTGTCATATTCCTCGTCGTGGTGTGCATCCTCAATGAGGTGTGTTCGAAATGAGATGTTTGTATAAGCCGAAACCAAATTATATAAAAAAGATCAATCAAGATCAAGGTTAGTGAGTAAGTGAATGAGTGTGGTTTTACGCCGCTTTTAGTAAAATTCCAGCAATAACACGTCGGGGAGACACTAGAAAAGGGCTTCACACAATGTACTATACTACACAGTAGAGCGATTGAGCATCGATCCAATGATCTAACGATCCAGCCAGCCAGGGCATCACGTCTCCTTTCTATTGTGATTAATAACGTGAACCTATCCACCTGTGTAGCTTCTTTAGGACCAAATTCGAATGTTACGACCCCAGTACAAGTCGTCCAGATATCTATGGTATATAATTATATATTTCTTCGTTGTTCAAAGCTGTTCCCAGCAATATACTAGCTGTATACTCTTGGAATAATCTATTCTGTGCCATAACATGATGGGTATCGAAGTATACAGATTAGATGAGCCTTCTCATCCGGTTCCAATAGTCGCCTTTGCATGCATTTGGTTCGAATAGGTCCAGGGCTGTTTAAATAAACTCGAGATAATATACATTAAATAGACGTAATATTCGAGTCGAGTTCTCAGTAACCCTCAGCGTTCTTTGTTTTTTTTATGATGATGGTAGGTGACCAGATGGTGGACACACGAGCACGTGCAGACACCTAGTTACGGGTATAGTAACGTGCGGTATCACTGGGCAAAATACTGTGACTATGTGTCCCAGTTCACCCAGCTGCAAATAGGTACCTTGTGAGGATGAGGCTGTGTGATAACTCGCTGCGCCTAACAGGCTGCATGAGTTGAATACTCCCCAGGGAGTTGAGTTGTTTAAGAGAAAGCCAGAAAAAGGACATCCGTTGATTAAGGGAATACTCCATCGCCTTGAGCATGTACTAGTTGCATGGATATGTGCGCTATATAAATATCCTATAATTAAAAAAAATAAAAAATAATGATGACCATAATATTTACAATAATTTATCAAACTTTGTAAACAGCCATTTTCTGTTTTTAGTTGTTCCAGATATACCAGAGCAAACTGTCATACTTCTCCGTCAACAACGTAACTGAGTGGGTAGCATACATCTTCACCATCCTCGTCCTCGTCGACTTCAACAACTGCCAGACCATCACTGGCTACAGATTAGTAAGTCATGGACCCTGGTTTTTGTTGTTGTTTTGTGCCGTTGCCAGTCACTTTCCATTTTGTTTAAGTTGTAAATTACCTGTGGCCATTTGTTACCATAACACCCTACCAGCCGAGTCATCTAATACGTCACTACGCCTGCCACTAACCTATGATCCTGACTTGGAATCCCAATTCGTTCTTACTTCTGTTTTTAATTTGTCAAAGTGATCTCAGGACATCTAAGATCTGTCTCCATTAGCATTCCCTTCCACGTGAAGCTACACACCATGATATAAGTACAACAATGTTATAATAGGCTTTAAACTCAACTCACTCACTCAGGCACTCTATTGCAGGACTGGCAGTGGTCCCTGGCTGCTCTGGCCGTGTTTCTCAGCTGGACGGACCTGATGTTCTTCGTCCAGGGGTTCAGCTCTCTGGGGATCTACGTTGTCATGTTCCGAGACATCCTCGTCACGTTCCTCAAGGCAATTACAGTTTTCTTCGTGCTCATCCTGGCCTTCGCCATTGCCTTTGTTGTCCTGCTGAAGAACCAGGTAAGTTTCCAAACCAGGGTCCCGATCTACCGGGCATTCGTAACGTTACGACCTGTCGTAACTCTACACCTTTTCAAAGGCTCACGAATGTCGTAGCGCTAGAAACGGTTTGTGAATCGGGACCCAGGTTACCAGTGTTTAACTTTCAGGACTTTAAAAATGACAATTTTGTTATATAACAGGCGAAAGATACCATCAATAACGAAGGCAAACTTACGGGCATATATTCTTTCATGACACAAGGGGCAATATAACGTTCAAACTCGAGTATACAGCCGGTTATATCTCACTTCTGTTGAAAGGATGTTCGATACACTGCGTAATCGAGGATGTATGACTCGCAACGCCTATCTGTTGTCAGATCCCATTTCGTGACGTGGGGAGTTCGCTGATGAAGACGTTTGTGATGATCATCGGTGAATACGACTTCAACGATATCTTCAACGCCGGCGTTCAGTCTACGGCTTCAGAGGATGAACTGTACTATCCTGCAGCTACCTCTATACTGTTCGTCTGCTTCGTAGTGCTGTCATCCATTGTGCTGATGAATCTACTGGTAAGAAGCTGAATAGTGTTTTCATGATGAGAATGATGATGATGATGATGATGATGATGATGACACATTATTTTCAAGTTTCAGGCTTCGGAAACATTTTAAAGGTCAGCATAAGGCTTAGAATTTCGAATCAAACATGGGTCAATTCTGTTTTGAAATCGTTAAATTAGCTGCCCATCAGGTTTATCTCTAGCCAGTCTACCATGACGAAAGTTGGCCAAATATGATAAAAGCGCATGTGATGAGTAAACCATGGGATCTGCATCACTTCGGATTTTCCTCCCATACTGAACTACCACACCACGAAATAACTGCAGTTAAACATTCGCTCTCTCAGAGAACCATCCACTCCCTCGCTCACTTATCTATGTTTCTTCAGTCAAAAACTTGACGTAAGATCATTTTGTCGTCGTGGCTGATTGCATAGGATTGATTGTACGGCCCAAGCAAAGCAAACCTCATCTAACTGCTAACAAAGCGAATATCCCTTTACATACACAATTGACATACACATTTACATATACAGTGCATGAACAAGTGGAACAAGTCGGTGAACGTCATCCCTCTGTCTTCTACTTATTATTTCTGAAACTTCTAGGTTGGTTTGGCCGTGGATGACATCAAAGGTATTCTCCGCCAAGCAGCGCTGAAACGAATGGCAATGCAGGTGAGTACAGACGTCATTGATCAAGTGAGTGAGTTTGGTTTTACGCCGCTTTTAATAATATTCCAGCAATATCACGGCGGGGAACAACAGAAATGGGTTTCACACACTGTACTCATGTGGGAATCGAACCCGGGTCTTCAGCGTGACGAGCAGAGGCTTTAACCACTAGGCTACCCCACGGCCCCTCATTGATCAAATCTGTTGGAGATGGCATTTAGGTATTCCATATGCTGCTGAAGCCCTGAACGGGACTTCTCTCATCATGATTTTTTTAGCGCACAAAAATGTCTATTATTATGAGTCTCAAGTAGTGGTTATAGCTCTTGCCGTGTAGCGAATGTTAACATGGTAGTCATCGAGGACTTACTTATCTGTGCGGCATATAATGGAACTGCCTAATGATTGAGACGGGAGGTAACTTTCGTAAACTTGTGTCCCCGTGTCGTTCAAGGTGGAGCTGACGCTGGATGTAGAGAAGATCCTCCCCGACGTCATCAGACAAAAATTCTTCATTTCGACGAAGATCATCAAGCCCAACCTGGAGTCGAAAAACCCGCTGCGTCACGTGATCGTCGCCTTCACTGACTGGTGGACAACGGACGCGGGCGAAGATGAGGATGTTGTTCTGGTAAGAGTTCAGAGAAAGAGTGAATGAGGTTAATTTTACGTCACACTTAGCAATATTCCAGCTATATGGCGGCGGTCTGTAAATAATTGAGTCTTGATCAGACAATTCAGTGATCAACAGCATGAGCATCGATATACGCAATTGGGATACGATGGCATGTGTGAACTAGTGAAGTAAGACACGGAGCCTGACCCGTTCCCGTTAGTCTCCCTCTTACCATAAGCATGGGTTACTGAAGATCAATTCTAACCCCGAGCTTTACACAGAAAGATAAAATGCAGTTTTAACATCGATATGTATGTGTGTGTGCTCGCGTGCGTGTTTGTGTTTGTTTGTTCCTGTGTGTGCATATATTTTTATCCCCCCCCGGCATATAATGCGGGGGGATATAGTCAACACCTCGTACGTCTCTCCGTCCGTCCGTAATCATTTTGTTTCCGGAGCATAACTCCAAGACCGTTCGATATTCTTCACCCAAAATTGGTAGATATATCAAACAGAACCTAACGTGGTACCTTTTACTATTTACAGGTTTTTGTCATATTTAGTTTTCTCGGTTTCCATGGAAACGATTCGGACTTAGTCTCAAAAGGGAGGGGTAGGTTTTGTTTCCGGAGCACAACGCGAAAACTGCTTAATATCTTTCAGCAAAACTTGGCAGATATGTGAGGCAGATCCCAAAGTGGGGCCTTTTGATATTTGCAGATTTTTGTCATTTATGTTTTTCATGATTTCCATGGAAACGATTTGCACTTAGTCTAAAATCAAGTTGGACTTTAAGTAACTGTCAGATGATTTGTTCTTTCAAAGATGTGGGGGCAGGGGGGATATGTCATCTTCTGATGACTCTTGTTTAATCCTGCATTCAGCAATTCCCCAGCTGTATGACAACGGTCTCAGAAGAAGAAGAATTTATTTCGGTATATAGACCATTGGCCCGTGTACAATAAATGCAAAGTGGTATATGATATATGACAACGGTCTCTAATTATCGAGTCTGGATCAGACAATCCAGTGGATGACATCATGAGCCTCTATCTACGCAAATAGGATACCATGACATGGATCAACAAAGTCATCGAGTCTGACCATCCGATCCCTTGACATATCCTAATTACGTGGGGCGGTTGATATTTGACGCTGTGACTAATGTAATCATCCTTGTGGTATAATTTTAATATTTCCTGCTTCTTTTTGTCCACAGAAGGATATACCGGAAATTAAAAACACCCAGATTAAGATACAGAAAGAGGTCAAGGCCATCCGAAAGGTCGTGAACGTTGTACACGACATGCACCTGCAGAACAAACGCATTGAGAGCATGCTGAGGGCGATATTGAAGAACTCGGACACTATATCGTGGGTGGAGGAGGACTACTCGAGTGATGAGGACAGGAGCCTGACACAATCCATGGGGAAGCTCTGAAACATGGATGGTTTGGCTTCAGTCTCAGACTTTCAGACCGCCGCCATATAGCTGGAATAGTGCGGCGTAAAACAACAACCAATCAACAAAAGGAATATTTTGTCCGAGACATTAAAACAGACTCCCAATGTGTTGTAAAACGTATCAAGCAGTCTTAATTCATAATTTTCTAACTCACTCAGACACAGTTGTAACATAGCAATTATTCTGCAAGTTCATGTTTAGTTTTAGGAGACTTGTTTCTGATGAAGCTGAGAAACCATCCTGCACAGATACACGGGTTGAGAGGGGTCTGCAATATTTGAGCTTTTCGTGGAGGGGTTGTTTTTTGAAACGGGTTTTGCATCCCGATCAACGTTTATTTTCTCAACTTACACCGATCTCATGTTCTGAATACCACGTGACCTCGTATCCGGAGTTGATATGTATGGTGTTGAGCTGAAAGGTCTTATTAAACATATGTATGAAATCAATAACGTTCGAGTTGATGGAGGTTCTATGTACAGAGTATAATGTATTGTCCAACAGCAATGAGGCTGGAACAACCTATTCAAAGGTGAACTCTATGGATCATGTAAGTGTTTTGACATCAACTGATCGAAATATAGACAAATGTACAAAGCTCATCCTCCAATCATATTTGTTATTCAACTTTTTGAAAACATTCTCCGAAGTCCTACGAGTGTTGTGCCTTATCTAGAGTTTAGCTATTTCCAAATTTACTTCCATAGAAAAGTCAAAGGGACCGCAGAGTTATGTCCCTTTCGCCTGCAAGGATCCTATAAACGGGGTTTGAATCTTAGAATCAACCTGATCATATGACCTCTGTGCCATGAATTCCAGTCATTAGGGAATTGCATCACTAACTTACCTTATTTGTAACCACAGACATTCTTTTCAAATGAATTTAATTCATTTTGTTAAATGAATAATGTTTCTTACTTAATAAATCTTCAAACATACAATGAGATTAAGACAATTTATATTTTGAATATTTGTTGTGTTTTCAATATTTGTTCTACTTGATATACTTTGTTTGAAATAAAACAAAACTACCCAAATAAATTCCATAAATTATCGTTGTAAATTGTCATTGTTCATGGCGTTAAATATGACGTGTCAATGAATGATGACTTGGTCAACTCTGACTTCCACAAAGAAGATTTCCTGTTGGTCTGGACCCGTGAAGATCCGGGTTAGAATGTTGATCTTCAGTAACACATACTTGTCATAGGAGGCGACTAACGGGATCGGGTGGTCAGGTTCGCTGACTTGGTTGACACGTGTCATCGTATCCCAATTGCGTAGATTGATTTTCATGCTATTGATCACTGGATTGTCTGGTCAAGAATCGAGTGCGGCGTAAAACTAAACTCACTCACTGTTTGTCTGGTGAGATTGAAATCATTATGTCTTTATTAAACGCAGTCACCTAAAAAGTAAACTAACATGCTGCACCAAAAGGAAGAACTCGCCAGTGTTTAATGGTCTATACACAAACAAGCAGGTTATTTGATGGTGACGCATCTGATTGGGCTATCATGGTTGTGTTTCAGATCTTAACTTTGCAGTGTTTCGGTAACAGTCACAAACTAAAGTTTTTGAAATTATTCATTTCATCACTAATCTACATTCACTGCGGATTCTAATGAGGTCTATGAAAGACAAACAAAATGTTGACGTCATTCCATCGGCCCATGACGCAGATGGTGACGTATACACACCTACGTAACACTCGTGTTATTCCGTTTGACACTCTGAAGGACCCCCTGCGTGGTCTAGTGGATCCAGTGTTTACCTAGAAACTGAAGATCGGTGGTTCGATTCCCAGTTGCCTCGTGCCATAAGAAATGAAAAGATGGTAGGTGTTGCTACCGAATGCTTGTCATATGAGGCGACTAACGGGATCGGGTGGTCAGGCTCGCTGACTTGGTGACACATGTCATGGTATCCCAATTGCGCAGATCGATGCTCATGCAGCTGTTGATCACTGGATTGTCTGGTCCTGACTCGATTATTTACAGACCGCCGCCATATTGCTGAGTGCGGCGTTAAACAAACAACTGAACCAAACCATCCCGGTGGCTAGCACACGCATGCATGCTCGCACACATAAGCACGCACGCACAGGGGCTTGTATTGCTGAAAATAATACGTCCTGGGTCCTACAAGCGTACACTGATATCCATATACATATAAAGAAGGAAAGGGATGTAACGCACACAAACTTGACGCTGTACGAAATTGGTGGAAATTGTATGTCACAGCTGGAGTTCTTACTGTGAATCCCTTTCGATTAGATCCAAAATTATCAAAATCGGTGCACTATTGACCGAGTAACTTTGCTTGGAACTCGGGAAGATAAACTTTTCATTTGCGCCAAAAAACCTGCCTACGAAAATCATCGTCGGCGAAGAAATACTAAGATTTCACTCGGCGATTTTTCGTCGCTGGCTCCTGACTCGATTTATTTTTACCTGCCATACATTGAATTAGCGGTATCGAGTGATCAGGGCCACCATGTTTGTCCTTCACCTTCAATAGACTCGCACCAACGACGAGCTACTCTCTGATTGGTTAAAAATAAAATACCAGTATTATTTTTATTTCGTGGCGCGATATTTAGGAAATAAAGTTCATCCTCGTGCTTTAAATATAATAGTTAAGGGCAAAACTATACTTTATTACTAACACATTGGGGTAGAGCGAACTTTATTTCCTAAATAGAGTAGCTCGTCGTTGGTGCGAGTCTATTGAAGGTGAAGGACAAACATGGTGGCCCCGATCACTCGATACCGCTAATTTTCCAATAAAGTCGTGTATGGCAGGTAAAATCAGTAACTCATTACATTTGAGATGTTGTAATGCGAAAGCGGAATATCTAGCGATTACGAAAAGGTTATGTGTTTTCGCCGATTGCGTGTTTTCAATTGAAATACTTAGTATTTCTTCGCCGAGAGGCAATGATTTTCGTAGGCAGGTTTTGGCGTACAAAAATGAAAAGTTGTCTTTTCACGAGTTCCAAGCAAAGTTACTCGGTCAATAGTGCACCGATTTTGATAATTTTGGATTTAATCGAAAGGGAATTTATCTGGCTTTATTTCAGTAAGAATCCCGGCTGTGTATTTCACAATTTCCCACCCAGATTTCGCCCATTTACGAGAGGGGGGTGTCTGACAAGTTTGTGTGCGTTACATCACTTTCCTTCTTTATATGTATATGGATATCAGTGTACGCTTGTAGGACCCAGGACGTATTATTTTCAGCAATACAAGCCCCTGTGCACGCACGCACAGCTATTCTTTATATGTGCAATGATTTTGAATGCGACTTTGAACATCATTTCACCCGTCCATCAACAAGTGATCTCTACATGTCGCGTCATGTCTGTCCTTTTGTTGTCAACAATCCGCACGAACAAATCACAGGCCCTCGTGTCTTTGCAAGGATTAATGATTAAAAAAATATTGGTTTTGAGATGACCCCGTCTCGAAATGCTTCACAGTACAATACGTTATGACAAGGCCAGACACTTCGGTACACCCCACCCGACTGCTTTGCCGATCGCTACGATACCATAACATGCAATTGATTAAAACTTAATGTAAACATAATCATGGATGATTGGCCTATCGAGCACCACTCATGACACCTACCAGTTCTTTATTGTTATTTCTGCAAGTCGATTGAAACCCGATTTTGACCCTCAGCTAAACGATCTTGACACAAATGGCTGACAATATATCCGCACAAAATGGGGGTGTGGTCGAAGCAAGCCCTCTGGTTGGTCAACGCTGCTAAATCTGCACATTCTTTATAAATTCTCGGGAATATTTACTTTCATCGACTGCTTGACTTGGAAGAAATGTAAGATTTTTTTCCATCAATGGCTTCTCAAAAGAAAGCATCATTTGTAAATGTCTCCTTAACAAACATCAACCAACCAGAGGGCTTGCTTCGACCGCACCCCGTTTTGTGCGGATATATCGCTAGCCATTTGTGTCAAGATCGTTTAGTTGAGGGTCAAAATCGGGTTTCAATCGATTGCATCCGATGGTAGCGTAGCGATCGGCAAAGCAGTCGGGTGGGGTGTACCGAAGTGTCTGGCCTTGTCATAATGTATTATACTGTGAAGCATTTCGAGACGGGGTCATCTCAAATTTGTGTATATATTTTATAAAATCTCTAATCCTCGCAATGACACGAGGGCCTGTGGAACAAATGTAAGACACAATCCTGCCAGACTTCCAGCGTTCGTTGGTATACGTGTAAAAATCACCAGGTATTGCACATCGGATGATCACAATGAATGGCGAGTACGGACCAATATTTATATTTTACCTGCTAACCGAATACGATTTTATTTACCACCCACCAGCAATATTGTCGAGCCACAAATACCCTCTAAGACTACCGCATACCAAATACTTTTTGTACATGACATGTAGGGGGGTCCACTTACTTTGCACATAAAGGGGAGATCATTCACATTGTACGTGCTTCTCCATAAAAATCATCATCACCCCCTGTCCATAAATCTTGAACGGTCCATAACAGTAGTTCAGTTATAACATGGCATAAACAACTACACAACTTCAAATAGATATAATTTCTTTATTAAAATGTATATACAAAAAATCAGTATTTAGAAAAATCCCATAAAATCAAGGACTTATAATAATGCTTTTACAAGAATGCACAATAGTTTGTTTTACAAAATATTACACAGTAGTGATTGAATATTACTATAAATGTATGACATGGATGTACAGGATGAAAGAAATGGTCTGACATGCGAAGTATGAAGAATAAGGACTATTTTTATGGATATACAACTTCTTTATTCTGTATGGGCAACGTTTCGACATAGATGTTAATGTCGTTGTCAGGCAAGTGGTGAGGTAGACATTAGAATCTATGTCGAAACGTAGAATACAGAATAAAGAAGTTGTATCTCCATAACAATAGTCATCATTCTTCATCTACCCAACTTCTAGAATGCCAATCAAAATGCGAAGTATGTCTACGCAAACACTCAAATTTCTTTTATTTTTCAAACAAATCCATATCTTTCTCAAGTAATTTGCGTTTAGATTATGTTAAGTAAACAGCTCTGGAAATAAATCTGGGGATTGTTTTCGTTGCTGGACGTCGCGTCGGTCAATGTACGATGACTTGACCAACGCACACCAGCACGTCTACCTCTTGTCTGCACGGATGCTTTTTTACCCTACTTCGTGTCTGTTAACATGGTCTAATTCCAGATTTAAAACTGTTAGGAAGGAAGACTAAAAATCTCGATTAAATACTTCACTATCTATGGCAAACATTATCATACATTATATACTACTCAACTTTTGATAAGAATATTACGCAGGACGTATTCACAGAAGCTGTCAGGTGTATATTTACATACAATGGCATATTAGCTTATCCTTATGAAAAGTGGAGTAGTATATTCATACACGAGCAAGCCTATAACATATTTACAGATCAGTAAATGAATATTCTGAATTATGCCGATTTGTGTTTTTCTCAAATATAGCACGAATTGTGGACACATGAAATGCTATCCACAGCTGTCTAACGTTATCCAGGGTCTCTGGATAAGCTCTAGATCTACTTGAACACAGAATTTGAAACTACAAAATGCATTATGTAAAATATTCCATCTGTTGATTGCAGTGTAATGAACACATCGACGTCATAAAAAGACCAGGGATATTACTTCATATACAGTCGGTTTGATTTCATTTGAGACCAATGAATTGCTAACACAAAATCTAATAAATGCAACAAAACCAAATTTTGCACAGGTACATGAAACCGACAGACCAACTCTGATGATTTGTCTCATATTTTTGGACACCCGAATAAAAATGTTTGGAACTAACGATCATCACTTTGTTGTCACTTCTTTCTATTTTGTAGGAGGGGGAACCACTTGCTAGTAGAACAGCAAGGTGTGCGAGTTGCACATGTGAAATGTCAATTTCACTACACACGCTTGTTGATTACATGGCTGTTCTACCAGCAAGGGGTCCCCCCTGGCCAAACAAATAGCGAAAAGTGACAACAAAATATTGATCGTTCGTTGGACAACTTTTTTATTCGGGTGTCCAAAAATATGAGACAAATCAACAGAGTTGGTCTGTCGATTTCATGCGACTGTGCAAAATTTGGTTTTGTTGCAATTATTATATTTGTGTTAGTAAGCAATTCATCGGTCTAAAATGAAATCAAAGGGGCTGTAAGTGTTTATGTAAAAACAATTTAATTTCAAACACACTAATTTTGGCAAGTGGTGTTTTCAGTTATTGTTCCCAGTGGAGGCGATTGGTATTGGGCACACATTGTATTTTCGTATGAGTCTTTTTCATCACGTTGCATAAAATCGACGACGTTATATGGACATGATGAAACGGTGATGTCTCTAGCTATCTCTTGTTGAAAGCAGCTACCGCCACGGACAGTAAGACAGTAGTCGTCAAGGTCGTAAGGTTGTACATGGAGTTGGCGCTGTTGCAGCCGTCCGTGCTACATCTACACTTGATAACGAGACCCCCGGCGGCCTGGGTACCCTCACACCCGTCACCGTACCCTGGGTCTCTAGTGCACCCACGTGTGACAATCACAGACTCTGAAAAAGATAGATACAAAATAGACAAAAAATAAATGTAAGAGTGGGTGAGTATGGTTTTATGCCGCTTTCAGCAATATTCCAGCAACATCACGGAGGGGGACACCAGAAATGGGCTTCGCACACTGTACCCATGTGGGGAATCGAACCCGGGCCTTCGACGTGAGGAGCGAAAGCTATAACCACTTGGCTACCCCACCGCCCCGTAAGAGTGTGCGAGTGATATGGGTTTTAACGCTGCTTTGAACAGTATTCCAGTTATAACATGGGCTGTATGCTCAATTTGGGAGGAAGGACCGAAGTAATAATACTAGTATAGGTTTTCAGCTTTGGTGAAACATATTGTCCCGGTAATTCTGATTAGAAACGATCGTATAGGTTATTCTACACCAAATCAGAACCCGTAGATTAACAAGTACGTATTCGTACTATCCGTAGCCTTCAGTGCAGACTGAATCGTCTGACCGCTATGATTGGGTGATTTTCTGTAAGATTTTTGTGTTTTTTAAAAATGTACATCCATCCAGTAATTAAAACAAACCTCATATCTATTTTATTATTTAGTGTTGCCTCTTTTTACATGATCACGCATACTGACTGTGACCACAGTTTTTTTACAAGCGGTTTACATTTTGTGCAGAACTGGGGTTGGTCTGTTAAGCTTCCTGTACTCGGAAAGGGGCTGCACAGGGGAGGGAGTGGTTGAGTCTGGTTTTATCAATATATCAAGCAATGTCACAGGACACTAGAAATGGAATTCATACATTGTACCAGTATGGCGAATCAAACCCGGGCATGACGAGCTAACGCTCTAACCACTGGGCTACCCCACCGTCATAATGCACCTACCTCTCAAGCGGCCGTTGATGTAACCTGAGTCTCCAATCCATACTTTTGTCTTGAATTTGACACAATGGGTGTCTTTATCTCCGCAATCGTCAATGTTGTCGCTATTAGCTGCACCGTCGTAGTAGTCCCCGCAGTCGTCGCCTCCCACCATGGCGCACTGGTGACACTGTATGCTCAGGCCTGGGAGTGAAGTAAGTGCACGGATGAACAAAATATTACGTAACTGTTTTAATTTATGTATTTTCCTTCTGTGTTATGCTCACTAACTTACTTATTGAATGTATTGTGTAACTAGGAACTTCACAACATTACAATTGTATGAGAACTGTATGTAAATAACCGTGTGGACCGGACAATCCTGTGATTTACCCTAGAAGCATCGTTCGAAGGAGTGGGTAAGGTTTTACGCCGCTTATGGCAATATTCTGGCAATATCACACCATAAATGGGCTCCATACATTGAACCCATGTGGGGAATCGAACCCGTGTCTTCATGACGAGTGAACGCTCTAACTACTAGGCCACCCAACAGTCCACATCGTTCGAAGAGAAATCAATCAATCAAGTGACCTCCCGATCCATTTCGTCTCCTCACACTGTAGGATAATCCCAATGATATACGACGCACCTCCTGTCACTTCACAGCTAGCAGGGGCGGTGGGGTAGCCTAGTGGTTAAAGCGTTCGCTCGTCACGCCGAAGACCCGTGTTCGATTCCCCACATGGGTACAATGTGTGAAGTCCATTTCTGGTGTCCTTTACCGTGATATTGCTGGAATATTGCTAAAAGCGGCGTAAAACTAATTCACTCACTCACGGCTAGTAGCAATTCTGGCCACACACGCCTCGTTTGCAGCAGATCAGTATTTCTAATGTGGGATAACCCCACATGCAGCTTGTCTGCTACTTTCGAAAACCAACAAATACGATTCAGGTGCTGGAAAACTAGAATTATTATTAGGGTGAACCGGGAGATAAAATCCGCGATCGAAGGAACACTGGCCTAAGGGACATAACTCTAAACAGCGTCGCAAGTCTCCCCACTACCATTTAGAAAAAAACCCGAACTGTGCACATTGAATCTATTCGTCCCGGAATCCCCTCAGCGCCATCATACTGAATACTACTGAATGAGTAATAAGTTAGTTAATTATCGACATTTAGCAATGTGTGTTTAATGCGTGTTCGAATACGTGTATTTGTTTTTCAACGCTGAACTTTGCAGTATTACAGCTATATGAAAGCGTTCAGCATATGAAAGCGTTTTCACCATACAGTCCATCGAGTGATAAAATGATCAATCAGAGACGTAACGTGTACGCGAGACGGGTGCGCTCCGCGGTACTAACTGAAGCGCTTCACCCTATAATGCAATAACCGTGGGACCAACTCGATTGGGTACGAACACGGCGCGGGGTGATTAAAGCGTCCCGTAAAATCCCCATGCGTGGTGGTTACTTGACAGTCGTGAATAGAGAGGTTTCTCGATCTCGGATTTCACGCTTTCGTCATTTACTCTGAAGAGATTACCATGGATGAATCTTGTTTTCTGCAAGTTGTAAAGTTGATTATTTATTTCTGTCTAAGATTAGTTTGATCACTAGATCTATCTTTTGTCCGTCAAACTATATAAAATCAGCCTATGTTGATGTATACTGGGTGGGACTCTATGTTTTTGCGGCACGTGAAAACATCGGGAAAGCAGAAACACCACGCCCAGGGTGGGCTGTTTACATATGCAAATTAGGTAAAAACAATTCATCGCATTTGAAAAAGCGATTTACTTCACTGGAATGTCATGTCATAATGATAAAGACATGTCTCCACGAGGACCAGGGCACACCATCAGCTAAGTCAACATATGACAGGTTGATCATCATCTATCCCTTATTCTTCCAATATCCATATATCTCTTTCTTATGCATCCATTCTCAATCTGTCTTCATCAAATATTAGTTCGAATATCCTTCCATTCATTTTCTATCCAATCATCTAAGCTCATCATAAGCCTGGTTTAGTTTTATCCACCTGTCTTCATCAAATGCCAGTTAAACATATATTCGTCTCTCCAACCATCTTCATCAAGCGCCAGCTACAATATTCATCCTTCATCAATCGCTAGGTACAATATTCATCCATCTTCATCAAATGCCAGATAGAATATATATCATCTATCTTCATCAAACGCCAAGTATAATATTCATCGATCTTCATCAAACGTCAGGTAGAATATTCTTCCACCCAATCATCATCAAATGACCAGTAAATATTCATCCATCCATCTTCATCAAACGCCAGGTAGAATATTCATCCACCCAATCATAATCAGATGACAAGTAAATATTCATCCATCCATCTTCATCAAACGCCAGGTTGAATATTCATCCACCCAATCATAATCAGATGACAGGTAACATATTCATCCATCCATCTTCATCAAACGCCAGGTTGAATATTCATCCACCCAATCATCATCAGATGACAAGTAAATAATCATCCATCCACCAACCTTCCATTTTTCTATCTTCATCATATGTCTTGCCGAAAACGTAAACAGAACAAGTATTCCCCGAGCACATCTAATTATATCATCAACAATTGTTTAGTTTAGTTTTACGCCGTTTTTTGCAATATTCCAGCAATATCAAGGCGGGGTGTGTGTGTGTGTGTGTGTGTGTGTGTGTGTGTGTGTGTGTGTGTGTGTGTGTGTGTGTGTGTGTCACAAAAGACCGTGTGGAGGGTTGTCAAATACATCTATATATGTTTATATATGCCTTTGTGTCGTCTCCAGTGCGAATATTGTTTCCTACGAAGTGTTGACTTAAAAGTAATATACTTCCAAATAAAAATATATTATGATCGCTGCATTAGAATACTGCCCCACACCGTTGAGCGTCACTGCTGAGTGAACTGGGTTTTAACCCTGCATCTAACACGAACAGTTACATCGCAGTGCTTGGGAAAGTCAATTGTAACTTGCAGGGTTGGATATTGTCTTGGTGAGTGAGTTTAGTTTTACGCCGCACTCCGAATTATTCCAGTTATATGGCGGGGAAATTGTATTGTGATATAACAGACTTAACGCTGAGACATTTCAACACTATGACCATGGTCGGTTTGGTGATATTTAAGAAACCCTTAAAACCTAAAAACCTGAATTGTCAACATAGAAACGGTGTCTTTTTCTCAAAATCTCTATACACGCTTTGTAGATTTCAAATACAAAAGTTCTGCTTGAAAACTGACGTAATAACTACATGTACAGTTGCCTCATTATGTAAACCCGACCTCCGTGGCAGCTCAGGTACGATATATTTATCAGGCTACACTGCATGGTTGAACTGCCAACGTACTGCGAGGGGTCAGGTTGTCACCCATTCATTATCAGCAGCACACACACATACCTGCACCTGATCATGATGAGTGACATTGTCAACCTTTCTACCATACCAAACTTTCCATACGATTCATACAGATCTACATACATTTTCAGAATCATTTAATGTACATTGGACGCCGTTTTGAGAGATCACTTCCGCTATTTTCAACACTTGTCAGTGTTTAGAGAGGCAGTGCCTCAGCGATTTTACGTGTTCCGTTTGTTATTCAAATCGGCTGATAATTGGAATGTCTATTGTCTAAACAATATACGGGTTGCGATTTGTGATATATACTTACATGATCCAAATAAACTAACGATCAACACCAAAACTATTAGTAACTTCTCCATCTTTTCGGTTTTCGAATACCTGCGACAGGTGTAAATACTAATTGTCTGAAAACTAATTGTTTTGAATGTTTATGTTCTGAAACTATATGAGCAATCCGACATTGTTGGCAATTTTAAAAATAAGTAGCAAGTGGACTAAAAATAGATACAAAATAGTAAATGGAAATGGAATGCATGTATAGGCACTGTTGTGAAAACTCGTCGTTAAACAACATTATTTATTATTGAGAGTATATTATCCTGTCGAAAAGTTCATATATTGTGGTAATTTTTTCAGCTTCTTATTACATAAATATACAGTATTTTTACAAGTTATATCCAAACAATATCTAAAGGATCTATTCCCTTAAACCGATGTTTCTTCAAATATACGCTATAAATATTTGTCGCCCTCTAACTCTCAAAGTTCATACCTCGCAGGTAAGATAGTATGACAAAGCGACCTCTGACGGACCCCGGGGACAATAATCTCGTTCAACCAGTCACTTTAAGAATGCTCTTTGGGTATCATGACTGGATCAACGACGCACTAGGGAAGGCTGGTGTGTCGTGTTTCTCGCGGTTGAACTGTATCGAAAAATACGAAGAAGTCTGATGTTTGTGATTTGTTTTTAATAAAAAATATGAAAGCATGATATATACGACCATTATGAAGTCGTGGTATTTACAAAGAAAAACGCAACATAAGTTTACAATTAAGTATATAAAACATCATACAAGTGTCAATGAAATATACATTTATGATTATGTTACTGAGTATGGCTAAATACACACATTAATACTGGATATGATCATCATGAGTGAATGCTCGTCCTTAACTATTTAATACATGACCGTATTGTTTTCAAATACTAATTTGTTGAATACCAGGAATTTATAAATTCAAAGAATACATTTGAATACTTCAGAAAATAGAATGTCAAACGTCTTTCAACACGACCAACATACGAATGAAAACATGCTTTGAATGAAAATAAAACGTAGGCATGACAAGAAATATGAGTGAGTGAGTGAGTTTAGTTTTACACCGCACTCAGCAATATTCCAGCTATATGGCCGCGGTCTGAATAATCGAGTCTGGACCAGACAATCCAGTGATCAACAGCATGAGCATCGATCGGCGCGATTGGGAACCGATGACATGTGTCAACCAAGTCAGCGAGTCTGACCACCCGATCCCGTTAGTCGCCTCTTACGACAAGCATGGGTTACTGAAGGCTCATTCTAACCCGGATCTTCCCGGGTCCAAGAAATATGAAATGAGTACTAAAGTATATAATACACTCCAGATCTGCTGTCGTTAAAAACTACAAACATATTTACAGATACAGTGAGGCAAGGCGACGATTCCAAATTGTTGTAGATATTGAAACCTTTAATACCAAACATATTATGAATTACTTATTAGATTTGTAATCTGACATGTAAGGGTAACAATACAATATGCATGTTAATAATCAGGGACATGATTCAAGAAGAAATATTAACCCACATCAAAATAATGAGGTGGATAAACGTGAAGGTCCTCTTATTTGGACCAATCAGATGTTTTACGTATTGTCCAGTGTTACTTCTAATGAGTGAGTGAGTGAGTTTAGCTTTACGCCGCTTTTAGCAATATCCCAGCAATATCACGGCGGGGGACACCAGAAATGGGCTTCACACATTGTACCCATGTGGGGAATTGAACCCGTGTCATTGGCGTGACGAGCGAACGCTTTAACCACTGGGCTACCCCACCGGCCCTTACTTCTAATGAGTAAGTTGGGGTTTCACGTCGTGTCAGCTTGATTTTGAAGGATTTGATGCAGATTTAAGATATTTGTCTCATTGGTTTCTGGAGTGCTTAAGGGACGCAACTCTGTACAGCGAACTGAATTCTGACCCACTCAAATCCTCTACTTTTAATTCAAACCGAAAGAATTCATGAATTTTTTAGTTCGGATTTTTAAAATAATTTAGATAATATGTATACATTATATTATTGATGGGTCAAGGGATACATTATATTATAGATCTAACGTAAATATATTTTGGTTATGAGGACATGGTATAATATCTAAATATCATTTTAAAAACTTGACAAAATAATATATCTTATGACAAAGTAACCCGAAGTTGGTGTAAAGTACTGTAAAATTATTGATCTATGTTACACGATGCGTCTATAATGAGCACATGCTAAGACATGATTTAAAATTAAGGGAATGTTTTCTTTTTCTGCCCACAACAAAGTAGCTTACAGTAGTAGTTTTCCTTTCACTGGAATAATCCATCTGAATGGAACCAATTAAATGGAGTGAGTTGCATTTAAATAATATTTCATTTCTGTCAACTCGTGATAAAGGATACGCGAGGCCTTTTACAAAGGCTCCTTGCCACTCGTGGAGCCCATGGGTACGTGTCTGGTACGGACAGACCAAGGATCAGTCAGCAAATTGACCCTTTAGCTGCTAATGGCAAAATAGCTATGCAAGAATACAAAGAACCAGCTGGCACGGATAATGACCAGACCCAAATGCGGTCTAGGGGAGGCAACTCTAACAGCATTAACGTGGCCATTTTATATACAGTGGCCCACAGAAACCTCAGTCGTTGAAAATGGCCCTAATAATACATATCTTGAAATCATCCTGTTGAGCGTAGATAAACCAGTAAGTGAATCTACGCCTTGCTTTTTATTTAGCTGTCATCGTTTCCATTTATTCATGTACAAACTGACACTTTGATTACAGCGTCCAACCAACAGAATCATTCGGAATACACCAGACGTGAATGTCGACAGCAGAAAGGATTTGTATCTCAATCAACAGCATGATTCAAAAATCAAACGCCTAAATTAGTTTAGCTGCCTCGGAGAAATAAATTGCAATCCAGTTTGAATGCACATTCCAACCCAAGCCCAACTCCCAAATATTCCGCTTCTTTAAAACGAACGATTCACCACAACTCGTCATTCCGTCAAATTGTTATATTTACGGAGAGGAGACGACACCGAAGGAAGTCAACTCTGTAATGCTAGTAGTGAGTTATCTCCCTTCACCACATGATTATTCTGGTTCCGATGGCCACCAATACTGTAAGAGAAGACAGTGTGAATGTCGTTGCAGGGCTGTTACAGTTATGCTCGTAGCAGTAGCAACGTTCAGTGTAACCGCCGTTGTTCTTCTGGTAGTAGCAACCGGCATCCTGAATAAACGCAGTCGCTGATTGTTTGATGCAATATCGCGAGATCACCTCTGAATCTGTGAATTGAAAATATAATAATTATACATGTAAACATATATAACTATCAGAAACAATTACTGTATATATTCTGATGCAATGTTATTGTTTAGATTTGCCTGTATGGCAGTATGTGATGTGTTCCGTTGCAATTGCATAAAGTCGATACTTGTAATACTGTACATATTTCAATATATATATAATAATAATATATATTGGAGCTTCATTGAATTTCGTGTTTTTCCGATCAAGTTGAACGCTGACAAATCCCAAAATGTAACAATGAACGGAGAACGACTGGGAGGTAAATATGTTTCTTATGCCCGAACTATTCTTGTATCCTTTTAATGGACAATTTGATGGGTTAACTTAAAAACCTAGCCCTGCCGTACTAACAATTGTCGCACTGTGGTCACACTGTTTTACAACATTTATATAGACCACTCTTGTTATACTTACACTGGCCTTACCAAACTTATATTGGCCTTATTTTCCTTGCACTGGCCTCATTATATTTACAATTCTCTTACTATATCCACATGGGCCTTACTACAATTGGACAGAATTTACCATCCTTACCTGGGTGCCGTTCCACTAACCGATCTTAGCCCAACGCCAATCGTAAACCCCTAAAATCCCAATCTTAGCGTGACGTTACAATCGGCATACCGTTCCACTAACCAATCTTACCTAAGTCAATCGTAAAGTTAAGATTCAAAGTCTAAGTTGCTCATGACCAACTTAGGATAGCTAAAATCAATCGTAGAGAAACCAAAATGGTGGCTTTCCTATTCTATGTGAAAAATAAGAGCGAGCATTTCACCGTGAGCGTCCCCTAAAATCCCCCCATAAAATGAATTTGTATATTTCTGTGATGTAAACAAACACTGCTCTGAAGCCTTACAAATGTCAGGCCAGTCTGACCACTGTCGTCATAGGAACACAACCGAGCGAGTCGGTGTAACACATTTGTACAACAATATTGCAACGTAATGGTTAAGAATAGGGACAGCCGTAAAGTGAACAATGTTCTGAAGCAAAAAGATACAAATATGCTTGATTTTACTGCGCATATATGGTGGGGGATTCTAAAGGCAGGCCGCGTGTTATTCAAGACCACTGACAGATTCTACATACGTTATAGCCTCGTCATGCCTTGTTTATTCTGATTGACAAGGTTCAGGCACATATTAAAAGCTCTGAAAGCTCTTAAAAGTCCAGACTTAAAACCTGTTCTCAGTATATTACTTATCATCTCGGCTGTAAATATTCTCGTGTAAATTATCTGTACACAGCGCTTTGAGCATGCCCAAGGATGTGGAATAGGCGCACTATAAATATGCATTTATTATTATTATATTTTGCTTGATACCCAGCGTTCTCACGCACTTGCACCTGAAACCAAGGTGCCCACTACCCTAATATTTTGCTCTAGGTTTTTTCTCCACGTTTACACTTGGTTGGAAAAATACCCATGAAGGTCCGGGTTAGAATATTGAACTTCAATAACCCATGCCTGTCGTAAGAGGCCACTAACGGAATCGGGTGGTCAGGCTCGCTGACTTGGTTGACACATGTCATCGGTTCCCAACTGCGCAGATCGATGCGCATGCTGTTGATCACTGGATTGTCTGGTCTATCATTTGCACGTGCGTGTATTTGAATCTCTCACCGTCAATCGCATGATGCTTATCCAAAACTTCACATTAGACAGCAAAATCCTGTTAGCTAAGTTCTTTGTACTTTCAATATGACGATGTATATTTTTCATGACTTTTTAAACAATGACATAATGCCATAAACGATTTAAGTACTCGGGATTATTTTTACCAAAGCACCGCAGTCATTTACGCGCGTTCTGATTGGTTTGTCGTATTTTCGCACATAACAAGCATCGAGAGGGGGGACGAGTCTTCTTGCAGGTTACGGAAAGGGGCGAGTGGTGACGAATGTTGCTAGACTATGCAAAGGGAGATAACTCGTGCCTCGCATTCCTCTATCTCTCGCACGAAAGAGTCTCGATCTAAGCTTGGATCGGATCGTAAGATCGGGACCAGCTACGATCGGCCTAAGATCGGTTAGTCGAACGGGTGTAACTTTTAGCTAAGACGATTGTAAAATTGGCGTAACTTGCTAAGATTGATCTTAGATAAGATCGGTTAGTGGAACGGCACCCTGGTCGTAGCCAATGTTTTAAGTGAGTGAGTGAGTGAGTGAGTTGGGTTTTACGCCGCTTTTTGCAATGTTCCAGCAATATCACGGTGGCAATGTTTTAAGAATGGTCTAAGAAGTTCGTTGGGCTACGAACGTTTGGAAAATATAGGCCCAAGTCATTTTAATCTTTTTTTAATGACCCTATTATCCTTACTCGTGCCCGGCTAATACTCCTATAATAAGCTTACTTTCCTTACACCGATCTTACTATCCTTACACTGACGTTATTTTATTTACTCTGTTCCTATTGTACCTACATTGGCCTTACTACAATTACACTGACCTAACTATTTCTCCACTGTCCTAACTGACCATACTATACCTCCATGTATACATATACTTACACGAGTACTCCCCCAGTCTGTTATGGAGCCGTATTTTGGTGTATGTTTTGAGACATGCGAAGCAGTCGTTCATCTGCCGCGGGTTGTCACACGTGTTGGTAACTCCCTGACTGAACACGTTGCACTGGGAGCAACCGATTGCATCTGAAACACAAACAGGAAACACTGGTGCATCACAAACAGGAAATCCTGGTACATCACAAACAGGAAACCCTGGTACATCACAAACAGAAAACAGGAAACACTTGCACATCACAAACAGTGTGTAAGTGAGTTGGGTTTTACGCCGCTTTTAACAATATTCCAGCAATATCTCGGCGGGGGACACCCTAACTGGGCTTCACACAATGTGCCCATCTGGAGAATAGAACCCGGGTCTTCGGCGTGACGAGCGAACGCTTTAACCACTTGGCTAACCCACCGCCCCACATCACAAACTGACCGACATCTCAAAGCTTCTCGCAGACAGGCTCACATCACCCTGCAAACTGTCTGGCATTTAGCTTTTTGGGAGATTGGAAGTAAACAAACTTTGTCCACGTTGGAGCGTTAGGTTAAACAAAAGGACCCTGAAGTATCAGGAAATCCCGCTACCCGCTGCTCTCAGCAACGTCAAACACTCAAGTTCCCTAGAGCGCTATCTCTCTTACGTTCAAAAGAAAGCACACCTGATTCTTTGGGAAAATATTTTCTTTAAAACAGCATTAATATTTAAAAAGTGTTTTGATTCTGCCTTGTCATAAACACTGTGCACGTGTTTCCAAAACACCACAGATATTGTACCCAATTACAACATTGCTAGCAACATAGTTATGGTTTTAATGGGAATAGTCCCATAACACCAGGTGTATACTTTCTTATGTACGTCAGTATACTATCTCTGCTACCAATGCTTGGCGGCCACATCCATGAATGAGCTGAATTAATCTACTGACCTTTAAGTTTACATTAACGTTTAATGGCTGTTGTTTAACGCCGCACTCAGTAATATTCCAGCTACATGTATTTGGCGGCGGTCTGTAAATAATCGATTCTGGACAATCCAGTGATCAACATCATGAGCATTGATCTACACAATTTGGATACGATTACACGTGTCAACCAAGTCAGCGAGCCTGACCACCCGGCCCCGTCAGTCGCCTCTTACGGCAAGCCTGGGTTGCTGAAGACCCATTCTAACCCGGATCTTCGGCTATGCGTGTTATAGACGGGGGTGGTCACACACGCCATTAATACGACGTATCATTGAAAAGCGATTTTAGATGTACGTGCCCACTGTCCATTACGTTGAAAGCTTGTTTTATTTCACCAACTCATTTCGAGCAACTACCATGTCAATATCGCTGTTTCATTGAGATTTTAGTAATTAGGGCTCCTTGCCTCTTGGCAGGAGACCTATTGTAATCGTTCGGATTATTATTGTTATTATTATTTATTACTCCGCCGATTTGTGTACCAAACATACCTCCTAAACCAATGCTCCGAATCGCTTACAAAAAATCACACAGATGCCCACCGAGGTGAAGCTCTAGGCCCAATAGCAAAGGGGAGATAATTCAAAATTAATTTCAAAGTTTGACAGCAAATATCTCAAGAACTAATTGTTCCAACACTTCCAAATCTCTTGTTCAGATGCACAATCGAATTCTGAACAATTTTTGCCTGGACGGGTCAAGTCGCTAAAATGTACCGTTTGGCAGTTATTTTTGTTTTCAGTTTTTGTCCATGTTTTTCAGCATTTTTCAGAGTAGTTTGCTCCCAAATGTGCTGAGCTCGAACCATCAGCTCTAGACATTCCAAACTTTCCATAACTGATGTCCCAGTAACCATTGTGCAAATTCTGCACAAAGTGCCAGTATGGTAGATGACGTCTTGGTGATTCCAGAACACTAATTGTTTTGACCGTAGATCCAAGAACAACTGAGATACAGCATTTTAAAGAGGGAACTATTTCTTCTCCGCATGACCCCCGCGACCCCGGCTGTATTTGAAAGATCCGCTAGCCTGTCAAAACGTGTTCTGGCTCCGTTTTGGACGATGATTTCTAGCCCTTAAATACAATAGATAGAACTAAAGCCAAGGAGCCCTCATCGTTGCTTGTAACTATATTTTCAGTTCATTTTACTTCATGCATCTGCCTTGTATCGATTTTTTAAGTAGACTGATTTAAAACTGTGCTAAAATTCCCGTTGGCCCGTTTAACAGGAAGAATATAATTTTAAAACCTTATCTCAGATATTAATCACACACCCACTGCTGTCAAGAAGACTGATTAATAGATTTGTTGGGGTTACATTGTTTTTCACAGCAACACGTTGTGACGTGTTATAAAAAAATGAAAGGGTAGTTGAAATGGCGAGACGTTTAACAAACGGTAGTCTTCATTCTTGATCTACATGTAAACAAGGGAATCTACACATTGTTAATTTTTTATCACTTGCTGACCTTTTACCTCTCAGGGCGTAAAAAGGTTAAGATGTATGGAGTCTATTATTTTTTAGTATGCTGTGACAAAAGAATTGTGTTACATTTAATTCAGTTGACAAACATACATGATAGATTGGTAATGTTATCACAAACATGGGCGTATTAGGAAGGTGAATTGCAAGTTAGAGTAGGGATGCTGTATCACAGCTGCACTGTCGCATGTCACAGCTGCGCTGGTCCGATCACGATAATGCATGGGAGCTAGGAAGTATTTGCTTTCAACATGTACTGCATGTTCGTTTGTTGTTTAACGCCGCGCTCAGCAATAGTACAGCAATGTGGCGGCGGTCTGTAAATAATCGTGTCTGGACCAGGCAATCCAGTGATCAACATCATCAGAATCGGTCTGTACTACATGTTTTCGACCAAATTTTCACCACCATCACCACCATCATCATCATTATGACCAGATATCCAGCTAGAAGATGTAAATTAAGAGAAATTAACATGATTTAGGGTCATATTTAATTCACTATGCAATCTATCTACTTCGGATCTCATTAGGGAAGTGAAAGTCAGAGTTTCTCAATAAATACATATGTTCAAACATATATGTATACTGACATGTGTTGATATTACATACTGGGCAACAGGTCACCGTGACATGCCTCGACATACCTGTTGCATGGCTGCTTTCAAGGATCGATATGCGCACAAATACATTACGTTCAATTATTTAAATTTGAAAGATGAGCTAACCGTGGTTACCGCATATCTAGCAGCCATGGTTAACTAGACTCAGTCTGTGATATCCAGCGTTAAACACGAATAACTTTCACGAACAGAAAACAAAATGCAACCTTAAATTTAATTCAAAGTAGTGGCAAGACGGCGACAGCAGAAGTTGGGGCATTTAGAAGTAGGGGTGGTTCTGATCAAACTTGTATATATGCTCCTTCATCCTTATGCTGTGGGGCGGTGGGGTAGCCCAGTGGTTAAAGCGTTGGCTCATCACGCCAAAGACCCGGGTTCGAATCCCCACATGTGTTCAATGTGTGAAGCGCATTTCTGGTGTCCCCCGCCGTGATGTTGCTGGAATATTGCTAAAAGCGGCGTAAAACCAAACACCGAAACGTCGCTCTCACAGCAATAAAGAAGTTGTTCATCCATATATTGTTATCTTTCCTAACATACAACAGGTTGAAAAGAGATTCATTTCCTTTTCTGTTTAATGGTTTAAAAACGAAATGAAAGTGGATACAAGCGTCAATTTTTCGAGACTGAAAGTGAGAGACAACATGCATATTGAGACAAGGCACACTTACATTTTCAATTTCATTATGTGCTGGGAAAAGTAGATTAAATGCAATATCGTGGAATCACAATGAAATGCAAGTACTGCATCGTATACAGTGAAAATACTGGTGATATTACATCCCATTTTCATTTAAATGAATCCATGTTCATATTTTTCGAAGAAATATATTTTTTCAATTTGATACACATCTTTTAATACCGCTTTATAGATACTAAAACTGGGTTTCAAACCCTTTATGTTCATTACAAATATATTATGGCGTTTGGCCAATAAGATCATGTTGTTGAGTAGGTGGTTGCTATTGCAGCAAAATAAAGTATCTACAGTAGAAAGTTCATATGTTATGTTCAATAGTCTATTAACGAGATTGATGAATTCTTTGGGAAACAGTCTGATAGTTGGTTATTCAACATATACATGATAGATGTTTTCACTTACCGAACCGCACAGTGAACATAAATCATTATCAACTAGTTTCATTTTAAGCAACTCTCTCGTTTTTGTAATATTTGAGCCTAACAGAAGAATGTCATTTATAGGAAAACCAGCTAAACTATAGCAATTAGAATTTGACACGTATCTCTTCAAACATGCAAGTTTTAGTGAATCAATAAAAGTTTTGATATCAACCATTCTCAGACCACCGTCTTCATATTTTCGCATTAAATTAAGTCGCTTTATCTTGTCTTTCTTATCATTCCATATGAATTTAAAAAATAAATTTTTCAATTTTGATATGAAATCTTTCGGAGGATTGGGAAGAGATGAGAGAACATGAACTATAGTTGATAGAGCTAAACTTTTAATAACGATTATTTTTCCAATAAGGTGTAAGTTTCGTTTTTTCCAGTTCAAAAGAATTCTTTCAATATGTTCAAGTTTCTTCATTGTATTGATCACCCACAAGTTTTCTACTTGAGCATGTAGCTATATTCCCATAACATCAAAATTGTCACAATGCCAGTCCAGCTTGAAATCATGGGATAAAGTTATTTTACAACCAGCCATGGCACCAATCTAAACTGCTTTTGTTTTGTCAATGTTTATGTTCAGACCAGGCATATTGTAGACAGTGATAAGTGTTTTCATTACTTCATTAAGAGAGGCTTCCGTACCGTCTAAGAATAATTCAGTATCGTCAGCCAATGATATGTTCAATTTCGTTTAACAATATACCCTTAATTTCCTTGTTTTCGCTTATCATGATACCTAGTATTTCGGTTACAAATAAAATAAATATGGAGAGATTGGATCACCCTGTCTACAACCCCTTTCATTATTAAAACACGAAGATACATGGTGATGCATTGGAAATCAATATATTAACCCATTTCTGTATGTTACAACCAAAACCGAATTTATCCAAGAGCATCATAATAATTTTTTAAGAGACAGTATC